TTAGCTAAAGCCTCAACGCACAAAGTGACGTCACATTTGAAATTCTAAAAAAAACACACAAAGTGACGTCACATATGAATTTGTAAAAATATTTCCCAAAAATAAGATAGGATTAGGATTGATTCAAGATAGATTTGTAATACTGCCATAAATAAAGGCAACAGTAGTATACCGCTGTTCGAAACTCATAAATCGATAGAGATAAAAACAAATCCGGGTTACAACTTACATTTATTAATAACAATGAAAAATACAATACTTATTAATATCAAATTGTGGTAGTAATTAGATAATTAATTGTATTATCTAGCTATGTCGGTGTTTCTTCTGAATCAAACTGTAAACCAAATATATCGTATAAATTTCGTTGAACCAAACTAAAATCTAATAAATGAAGGGGGTGATTAATTATCTATACCATAACACACGAGTATAACAGAAAATACGTTAAGACATTTGACAATATCCGACGAGAACAAAAAATATAACATCAAAATTAAATACATGAATTTGGGATAGAAAGTTACCGTGACACGTCTTATAGCAATGCGGTTTCACACTCAGCAAAACAGTCACAATCGGGAATAAGTCACGTTCGGTAATTAAAAGATCAGACGACGTAATGACAAACCACAATCTAACACGTGGTAAAAATGTCCTTAGTTAGTTTTGACAAAGACACATCGTATTGATCAACCAATTGGTGATGGTGTCCGTAAAATTTACGGAGTGTCATTTTTAATCTGTCCTCGTCATAACTTTGTTGAAGCAGTTTCTGCGTAAGGAGCACACCCCTATATATGAAGTCCGTATAGTGTGAACAAGCACGAGAATAACGTATCAATTGAGATATGTAAACACCATACGAAGGGGCAGAGGGTATGTTACTGCTGAGAAATGGGAAATTGATAATTGGAAAGTTGAAATCGTTCCGTTTATCATAGATTTTCGTGTGAAGTCGTCCATCTGTGTCAATATTGAGGAAAAGATCAAGGTATGAAGCAGTCCTTCTAGTATCAGTAGTATCCTTAATTTCAAGTTCACTGGGATATATGAGATGTAAGTATTGGCTGAAATATGGGTTATTCAATGATAGAACATCATCAATATATCGGAAAGTAAAATTAAAGAATTTCGTAAGGTGCTTTTTCTTTTTGTCTTTTAGAAGGTCCTGAATGAATTCTGCTTCATACGAGTACAAAAACAAATCGGCCAGTAGGGGTACACAATTAGTTCCCATTGGAATACCGACTGTCTGTTGAAATATTAATCCTCCAAACTCAACAAATATATTGTCGATCAAAAAGTCCAGCATTTTGATAATATCATCTTCAGTATATTTTCTGGTAGATTCAGTGTGGTTTTTCACAAAATATGTGTGTTGCTTTTGTATATAGATGACAAAATTGACTTTTCAGAGAAATTTATTTTCAACGATTAATATAAATTATAAATTGATCAAATCAATCATTTACATCAGATACCCCCCCTTTCCCCGCAATGATTACACGATTTTACCTTAAAATGATAGGTTAATTATGTAGTATTTTGAAAAAAAAGCATAAATTACGTGTTGTGGCGTGCAGTTATTTAACTAATAGGTGATGCTTGTTAAAAATGGATGAGAAAAATTAGTTCATTTATACAGATCATATACTAGTATAGTATTTTTCACCTGTATCTCTAATTACCTCGAAGTCTTGATATTACACAATGTAACTGATAACTTGGTTCAATTGTACTTGTCTTTAACAAGATAAGGATTACATTCATTTGATTATTGCAGTTCGGAAAGACTGATTTCGCCTCCGCTTGTGGAGACCGTCTTGCTCTATTTTAATGTATAATGCATTGTAGACAATTGGTTGCTGTTTCGTCGTTTGTTCCCTTTTCGTCAACGTGTTTTTTATTGTTATTTTTTCTAGAGTGATTCGTATACGAAAAGTTGTCATAAGATTAAAACATGTGTAGAGGATTAATTGTACAGTAAAACAAGAAACCGTTTATTCTAAAGGAAAAGTCAGTATGCATGGTGTATTTATTCCTACACACATGACAACAGCCAAAGTAAATATCCCCTGTTTTTGCTGTACTTTAACTCAAAGCAACATTGAGATTTTCAACGTGGTAGAAAAGCTTTCACCTCACTGCAAGTTCAAGACGACCACGAAAACCGATGCGTGCATATGGCATCGACTTTGTTTTCAAAAGTTTTTATGTAAAAATCAAATTCATTTTGAAAAAAAAGAATCCGAAATGAGGAAGTATAGAGTTGCATTTGTTTTGTTTTTTGTTTTGTTTTTTTATATACGGTAAGCAAGCGCAATGATATGCCTAATTACAACCAAAAGTTTACAAATTTGAATTTATACACAGAGATATTGAAGTATTTGTTGTTATAAAAACAGCCAATTTTGTATAATATAGAACATCAACTATAGGGAAACCAGAATATAACCTAAAATCTTATTCAATTCTATCTTTAAAATCACGTTAAACATGGATTACAGAATATGTCAATTTAACAGAATTATCTGTACTGAAATCGTATACGTTTGTGTATATCTAAAAGAATTATTTAATATGTGCATACCTATAAAAGATATATGAGACATGTTCAAAAGATAGGATCTGACACTCATCAACAAAAAATATCATTTCATGGTCATAAGGCATATAGCAAACCATGCTTATTTGCAAAAAAACAATAGCAGATTTCCTTTGATAAGCAATACAACAAAATATTATAAAAGATTTATTTATACTTTAAAAAAAGTTTAATTGGCGAAAAATATATAACTACTATAATTTTGTAATTATGACATAACTATTTTCTTTTCAAAAGAATAACGGATGTCGTACTTTAGTATTTGATATGGAAACTAACACTTTATAAATTTACGAATCGCTTTTCTGGATTTACTTTTGCCGGGAACACTTTAAACTAAAAATGAATGCCAAGGATTCATACTAATTGAATTCTTGGAAAAATTCCTTAAAGCACTCCCACTGATTAAACTTCTAACTGTTATTGTTTTCAATTAGTATGGCGGGTTTGTCATATGGAACTCTTACCGAATTCTTCTGTTCCTGTTAGTGAAACTTAAGGCCATGCCATGTAAAACTTCTCTTTTTTTTTGTGTACAAATTTTTTACTGTTTAATTCTTTAAAGTAATAACTTAACAATTATTTGACATGCATTCAGTTCTATTTTCAAAAGTCAATTAAAAGTTTCAAGTGTTAACAAAATTAACGCATTGATATAGTTAATATTCAATTTAATTAAACTTTTTTTCAAAATGGTTCCAGTCTCAATGTGAAAGCGGCCTTATTTGCAACTATGGTTAAATTACTTCCCAAATAAATGCATAGGTGTCATCATCAAAATGAACTTCAAAATTTCCGTCTATGGCAAACCACAAATACAGATACAATGCTTTAAAAGGGAGACTGGAGAAGGTATCAATAAAAAACTATAAGTCGGAGAAAGACAGATAACACTATAAAAAAAGTGTAAAACTTGGTGATATCAGAAACGAGAAAAAAAGAAGATTCATTGAGGCAAACGACAGGTGGAACATATCCTTGGTCATCTGTGACACTAATATTCCATAATGATCAATCAAGTCCCGATGGCATCACGATGGCGTTCGTTTAATTTTTGAAGAGATGACTTCAACGTTACCCTCAAGGAACCTTGGTTCAATAGCTCCCTTGTAAACACTAATGTTCTATTTATGAAAAATAAAACGCAAGCTTGTAGATATCGAATAAACAAGGGGATATTTTTTTAATATGCAGGTGCAGCTGGAAAGCTGCTAAAAAGAAATTGAAGATTCACATTTAGAAAATTTAATTCGCCTCGTATTTTTAGTACTTAATCTATCCAGGCTTGTAATGCTAAGATGTACGTGAAGATATGAAGCTGACCTAACCGAATGTGTCGTATCCTTAATTTTAAAGGTCAATGTGATTTAGTTCAAAATAGTCACCAAATTTGAAATATTCAGTGAGCCTACATCATCTATATAGAGGAAATGAAATTAAGGTTTAATGCTTATTTTTTTTCATTCATCTTAAGAAGCAACTGTATGAAGTTTCTCTAAATCCCCAAAACAGAAAAAAAAAACGCATGAAAGAATTAAATTTTCCGAAAGGATAAGTAGTTTTTGATATACCGGTGGTATCATTATATGTTAAAAACAAAATCGGTGATAATTAAGTCGCATTGGATTGTGTCTCAATCGAGGAAAAAGTAAAATAACAAAAATATGGAACTCCAAGGAAAATTCAAAATTGAAAGTCCCTTATCAAATGACAAAATGAAAAGCTCAAAAACATCAAACGAATGGAAAACAACTGTCATGGGAAATAAGGTTCAAGTTGAACATATCTTGGTCATATGTGATATTCCATAACGGTCAATCAAATAATGTTTTGCGTCCACCGTTAGGGTTTTCAAAGGGTTGACTTCAACTTTGGCATTTGAATAACATCCTTGTGAGTAACCCTATAATATGGATATCATAATAGGAAACGCTAGTCTTGGAATATTGCAATCCTGGCAAAAGAAAGTATTTAATTTGACATCTTGAAACAGAGATGACTGACGGATGAATGGGTAAAAAACTATCTACCCCCTTCTACTTCCCAGCATTGGATACATAGAATATCTGATCTAAATAAAGCCTGTAAGTTTCCAAGAAGATAAAAAGTAAATGTTTAATCATCTCAAAGTCACTGTGAGATCTTCAACTTTTGTTGAAAAGGCTGCTTTGAAGTTCATCATAAATGTGAAAATTGTAAGGTTATTTAAAAACATAAAAAAGCATTAATGTTCATATTCACTAAAAGGATGAAGGCACCAAGAGAACAATTAAAAATAAAAGTAAAAAAGACAACAAACAAACAACACCAAGTGCAATAGAAAGATAAAAACAACCTATTTTCAGTTTTTTTTCACTCCTTCCAATTAAAATCATGACAAAGCAAGCAAAACAATATTATTATTTTTTTATTATTTTCATAACATAAAGATCCTTATAAATAACAAACAAGTATAGTATATAAAATATAGAAACATAAAAGTTATAAATAGTGTAGTCTCCTGGGTGTATTCATTTAAAACATTTAAATAAGGACGGATATTACATCGCATAAGGGTAATTCCTGAAGTTATCACAGCTTTTAATCATCTAATCTGCCTTTCCCCTAAAAAAAACTTTGAAACTGTTTTTGTGCTAAATACTTACCAAGAAACATTCTCAACTAAAAGAAATTCTTTACTTTACATCAAACAATTGAAATAAAGTTTAAAATTAATTGTAAATTGAGATCTTTTTTGTTGCTTGCACTTCTTTTTCTGCCTCTTTAATATTCTTACTCTAAAATATTTTTCTACTTTATTCCATGATGCATGTCCATGTATACAAATCTGGTCCCTTGAGATAAATTTTCATAAATTCTGATATGATATGTTCTTAAATCTATTTGAAATTGAATCCTGAACAAATTTTGGTTCAATAAAAAAAACAATATTAAATACTGCAAAAGTTTTACAACATACATCTTAAATTCATCAAGATTATTTGGCACGAATGATTCCTATTATAAATTAAAGCACCTTATACAGCAGTTTCTGAAAATGGTCTTAAATTTTATAATTTTGATTTTATGAACAATCAATCAGGATCTTAAAAAAAATAAATGGAGAATGTGTCCATGGGACACAGATGATGCCCCTGCATGCATATAACGTTATAAAGGGCATAACTAGAGAACAGTAAAAGTGAGGCCAGCAAATTTCGAACTAGATCTGTGTTTTGTGGTAATAAGCATTGTGTCTAAGTTTCATAACATTTGGTTGAGGCAAACTAAAGTTAGAGAACAGAAACCAATTTTGGGACGTACCAACAGACAAGTTTAACACTTAATGCCCCTTCTGGTGATGGTGGGGCATAAAAATGACATGATATTCACAGATTTGCACAGAATTTCCATTAACAGAAACATGAAATTTTCAAAATTTGAAAACTTTCTACATTTTAAACATATAAAGACAAACCTTGAACATAAATTACAGTTTTAAATATGAGATTGTTCTGGAAAAACAGTATCAACTAATCTTCTTACTGAAACAAGCAGTATCAAAAGTCAAGTTATCAGAAGATTTCATTCTCAATATTTAAAAAAAAAATCCCTGTTACACTTCAATAGTTACAATTGAACAGGTGTAATGATGGCGTCTGATGGGACAGGATCAAGCTAGACTCTAAATGCATGAGTGATCATCTATTTGTCAACTCTAACAATACCAACTGGTCAATTTAAATGTCCCAATTGTATTGTCAATTTTACAATCTGGTTGATCAATAGGTAAAGGTTAACAGCAACACCTATAGTCAAGTAACAGTAAACATATAAGGACAAACCTTGATCATAAATTACAGTTATAAATAGGAGATTGTTCTGGATAACGGAATCAACTAACTTTCTTGCTGAAACAAGCAGTATCAAAAGAAAAGTTTTCATTTTCAAAGATGAAAGCACATTATAATATTTTATGCTGTTAATTCTAAAATACAGTATGTATTTATCAATCCCTGTGTTGAACAAACAGACAAAAATGTGGCTTTCAATTATGAAATCTCAGGAATTACTACATAAAAGAACTATCAAATTTTAGAATGCAAGAGATTCTTAATGATATTTTAATCCTGTCACAAATTTTGTATTAAACTAGAAAAATATTTCTGATTACACAATATCAATTACAAAATCACAAATATTTCACTAGCGGTTTATTTATTGTAAGTTAAAAATCCACAACAATAAATTGTGTTGTCTTCAAACAAAATAAGTTTTTAATGCACCATAAGTTTCCATGTCAACTTTCATTTTCTATCTTTTCTTTGCCAGTTCTTTAGCCCTTCTTTCTTCTCTCCATTTCTGCATCAATTTAATCATCTTTTCACTTGTATCTTGTTGTTTCTTTGGTGGCATCTTGTCAAACTCTCCTGGATCCAATGTCTTGCCAAATACTTCTTTCTGTAAGTAACAACATATTCATATATATATAAATAGTAAGTTATTTCTAAAGTTTACAGCAATCAGTTTATCCCAAAAGTGTATTATACTAAAGGGGCCACTTCAATCCATTTGTGGGTGAGCAGCTGAGACATCTATCTATTGATTGATTGATTGGTGATTGCTTTAAGCCGCATCAGCACAAAAAGGCTATATGGGATGATCTGAGACATCCAGTACCCCACCTTTTTTACATATTTTGAATAACAAAAATGCATACCCTATCATATATTTTTTTATACAAAATAAACCGTTAGCTATCATGCTTATGCTATTTCATGGAGAGTTAAATAGATTTGACAAATAGCTCATGCATTTATGATTAGGGTTTTAATCGCAGGTGTACAAAAAATTGACAGCTGATTAGTTGTAGATACTCATTATTTAATTAGCAACCGTGTCATATATTTCATATTAATTTCTCACCCTTATCATATATCATGAAGCTTGAAATAGTGACCTATTCCAGAGGCTCTGACATCCTTACCACTCATTACACAGTAAGTGCAGATAGTAAAGAAGAAAGCCTGTAATATGGTAATATAAGATCCCTACAATAGAGTTACCTGAAGAGAGCCTGTAATATAGTATTATAAGATCCCTACAATAGAGTTACCTGTGCATTTTTGATGTCTCTAACATTTTGTCTAAGATATCCTTCAGTCTCTCTGTCTAAATCTGACTTATCATTTCCCTCTGCATGGGCAACTAGAAAAAAAGAAAGAACATTACTGTTATATCTAGATATACATTTGTGAAATATTTATAATAATATTTGACTGTTACTGTGAATTCATTCATTGTCATGAGTACACATTATACTGGATATAAACTGTATGTTTGTGGAGACTTAATTTTGGGGTTTTTACTTTCTCTGCCAGAACTAAATGTATGTTTGTGCATACTCAATTTTGTGGTTCAGAAATTGAATCCTTTCAGGTTTGTTATTAACCATTGAGTTTTAGAGAAAACAAGTTGAACTTTGAGCTACTGCTCCCTAATGAAACTCCCACTATAAGTATTCGATAAACATGAAGTTGATTAGCAATGGATATGAAAACACATCACACAGTATAGCACGCTCAAACAAGGCTTGATGCCAAATTTCAGGAAGCTGTGATTCATAGCTCCCTCCTTAGGAACAGGGGGTTAATAAAAATGTTATTTCCAAAAAGATTTCAATGGTAACAATGTACCACCATTGCAACTTTATTTGCCACCAAACCAATATAAGATGATATCTACTTTGTAGGGGGTTCTAATAGAAAACATATGCCATCCATACTACCATGTTTACTACCATTTCAGCACTAAATTGAGATGGTTAGAAGAGCATCTCCCAATCATCTAATACATATCATTTGTATTTTCTGAGAGGAAGATGTTTTTTATTGTCCTATCCGAGTCAAGAATTGCCTTTGGTAACCATTCTATACTCAAAAAAATAAAAAGTTTACAGCAATTTTCATCATTTAGTTTGTGTATTTTCTTTTTTAAATTGACCAATCAGAATTAAGGATTGCCTCTGGTGGTCTTGTTTTTTTCATTTAAATCAGAACCAAAAAATATTGAGGTGTATAGAAACTTTAACTGAACCTAAATGTTGACATCATCAACGATAGAATTTAAGAAAAACGACAATTATTATTCTAAGTGAAATGGTTTAAATCTAAAAGTCATCAAAAAAGTCTTTCAACCTTTATCTGAAATATTATTCTACAGGGGAAATATATATATGTTTTGGTTGATTGGAAAATACCTTTATCAACCCCATGCTTTGCACGTCTAAGGAAGTCTATGATGATTTTATTTCTCTGCTCTGTAGGTGTTTGTGCTGGAGTTGGTGTCCTTGCTTCCTCAACAGGAGGCAACACAACTAATGGTTCTATTGTTATTTTTGAGGCTCTGCTGGGTGGTGGAGCTATTATCAAACGACTGAAGTAAAACAAAAATATTAAAATATTTGCTCTCTAAAACTAATGAAATTGATAAAAAAAAAAAACAGCTACAGTAATGCTAGCTATTCATGTACAATCTGGACAACAGTGTAAACCCATTTTGTTATAACCAATCAATTTCACTTAAATTTTATCAGGACCACAAAGCTTTAACTGATGCAACACTTGAAATGTTTTAATTTCAACAATTATAATAAGATGTTAAAAAAGCTCAATGAGACAAAAATTAATTCAAAGTAACAAGAGGTGACTGCTTTTAGATCTGAAGATTGCTTACATAGTACAATTCATCTTTATACGTTCTCATCTGGAAATAACTTTTTTCAGTCACATAGAAGGAAGGACAAAAGGACAGAAAAAATTATTACTATTTACTCCAGAATTTTTCAGGGAGCATTATGAATGAATCCACAATTTAAGGGCAAATAAAGGGATGAGAAACAGACATACAAAAAGGACACAAAGATAGGTAAAAAGATTCACAAATAAAATTGCATAGTCTTCTTCTTGCCTATATCAATATGCCTGTTGAAATTTTTTCTACTTTACAATTTATATTACCATATTTCAAATAATATTAAGAGTTATTTCAGTCTGTATTCTAAAAATAAGGGAAAATTAAGTTATAAATTATCAGAAACACTGATCACGGAACAAATTTCATTAAACCTATTGCAAATATTTGGAGATGTTTTCAAATGTTAGTATGATCTTTTAACTCCCTTTCTGTAAAAATATTTGCACATTTCGATTAACAATTAGGTAAAAAATAACTATTGATATATCGTATAAACAGACCTTGACCAACTATTTTATCAAATAATGAAACCAGATCATTTTTTGAACAGTTTTTTTACTTGCTTGGTGAACTGTATTGAGCAGGACAAAATGTAGACTCACCTAATATTTGATGACATGCTGTTTGTTGAAGGAGCTCTAGATGGCTGAAAACACAATTTTAAATTTATGGTTAAAAACTTTTAAATGCATGAATCAGATTTTTGATGAAATAAATAATTACAGAATATAGCTTTCATACCAGAAGTTATTTCTATAATTCAACCTTTTTTTATATTTTGAATGTTCGATTTGATGACGATTTTGCAAAAAAGAATATATAAAAAAGTGATAACTAATTAAGACAAATTTAGTCATCAAAATAAAATACAAAAATATAAATAAAGCTGTTTCACTTGAGTTATTTATCTTGATACAGCTTACAATTTTAAAAAGCTTCTGTAACAATTTAAAAAGAATTTACAACAGACCTTATTGGTATTTTGGAATCTGTGACACTTGACCAGACATTTTGCTACCTTGAACTACTGACGTCATACAACAATCACCTTTGCATTGTTGCATCACATTTTCTCTTATAACGTCAAAATTTAACGGAAACGACTGTGATTGCCGGTTATAGCAGACAAATAGTGATAAGGTGTATTTACCTGAGAGCTAGTTAACAGATGGATATTTTTTGTTGTAAAATATAAATAAACTTTTACTGTGATATCTTTACATAAAAGATAGTATATTAAAGAACCCCAAGAACTCAAGACTTTTAATTAAACCCTATTGAAATTGGTCAAGAAATAAGCAATTTATACAAAGTATTAAAAAAGTATTGGTGTTTGCCCCTTTTTGACCCCTAATTCATAAACTGTCAGGGCCATACCCCCAAAAATAATCCCAACCTTCCTTTTTTAGTAAGAAACCTTTTGGTACAATTTCATAAGGACCATAGACTTGTACTCGAGTGATTGTCTGGAAACCAGAAAATCCTTGGTTTTTTTTGCCCTGTTTTTGCCCCTAATTCCTAAACAGTTAAGGCCATAACCCCCAAAATCAATCCCAACCTTCCTTTTGAGGTTGGAAACCTTGAGATACAATTTCATAGGGATCCATACACTTATACATAAGTTATTGTCCTGAAACAAGAAAAATGCTTGTTTTTTTACCCCTATTTCCTAAACAGTTAAGACAATAACCCCCAAAATCAATCCCAACCTTCCTTTTGCGCTATGGAACCTTGTGGTACAATTTCATAGAGATTCATATACTTATACTCAAGTTATTGTAAGGAAACCAAATGTCTTTTGACAACAATGACATCGCCATAACATTATAAGGCCGCAAAAATTTTGCGGTCATATAAAAAAATTAGTTAACATTTCTTAAAATCAATATTACTGGTTTTGTATGTTTCATTGCAGCTAACTCTAGTTTAAGTTGATCTATTTCAGCTTGTGCTCGTTTTTCAGCTTCAATTCTTCTCCTTCTTTCCTACAACAGAACATAATACAAAAAGTCATTAGAATAACCTTGATTTTGGCATGTTGCTATGGTTACAGATATACATTTATATTTTACTTTACATAATTATCCCTGATTCTGGAATGATGCTATGGTTGCATCTAGACCATAGTATTTTTTTAAAACTTTACATGGTTCTCATAGGATGCAGTTTTCTTTAGCTGTCTCTAAAACAGTCATCAAATGTTTTGATATTTTTCATCAAGTATATTTATAGATATCTGAAGGCATCCTGTTAAAAAAATCCAATTCTAGTTTTCACAACTTTTTCTTTTATCAATTTTCCTTGCATAAGAGAAGAAATCTTAAATACACACAGAAACTATAAAAAAAAACCCAATATCTTAACATTGGAAGCTCCTGCAAAGTGAAACAATTGATTTTGTTTTAAATAGGTATACATTAAATGTTTAAAGTCATGGATAATTCTGTATTTTAATCCTTTTCATGTATCTAAGATTAGATATCGCAAAAACAACCTGAAATCTTTTTAAAAGATACAAGAAAAGTAGTATGGAGCTTTGTCAGATCCTTCTGAGTTTCAATGTAAGTGAAGAGTGGACACAGGATCAGTATTTTAATCAAGTATTGTTACCTCATCTAACTGATCTTGTAATGCTATTCTTTCCTCCTCCACTCTTTGTCTGTCTACAGCAGCCATCTTGAGAAAGGTTTCCTCTTCATCTCTGTTAGAATTATAATTCAGGCATGATTCTTATTTGTTGTAAAATAGATTATTTAGATAGACAAAGATACAGGAATAATAACAAAATTAGATCTCACTGCAACTATGCTGCAATTGTATAGATTAGCACTGCTTTCAGTAAATTGTTTTGTTCATAAAATATGAATAATGCATATACATTTTAAAGGGAAGTAGAGCACCCTTCATTAACCTAAATAATCATTTACTTAAAGAATATGATAATTCATATAATAATTTATACCATATAATATATGTAACAAAAAAGAGAAGATATGATATGGTAATGACTTGGCTAATCTTTTAACCAATCATTTGTTCTTTTAATCTTGTCATCATTAAATTTGACAATACTAAACAATCAAAAAATAAAACTAGAGGCTCGTGTCGCTCACCTTGGTCTATATGCATATTCAACAGGGGACACTCTCCAACATTGTAGACGAGAATAGAATTAATGACAAAAATCTCTGTTTTTTTTTGAATCTTATATTGCTGATCATTGAAGTCTGTTTAGTTTCTCTCTATCTTCATGATCTTATTTAGCTTTTGCTCTAAACACAAAAGAGGGTAAAAAAAACTCCTATAAAGAGTAACAGTCTACTTATTATATCAGCAAAATTTGACTTGTTAGTAGGTCTCGTCTTGCTTATCATTTTTGATTATTTAAGTTTCTATCTATCTATTATAATTAATATCATACAAGGAAAAATGCCAAAAAAATGGTAAAAATCATAATTAAAGGGCAATAACTCTAATAAGGAGTTGTTGGACAATTTCTGCCATTTGTCCTAATTGTAGATTTTGTCTTGCTGATCATTTTTGTATATTTAAGTTTCTTTCTATCTATTATAAGTTTTAAGATATAAGACAAAAACGCAAAAAAAATTGTACAAATCAGCATCAAAGGGCAATAACTCTAATAAGGAGTCAACTGATGATTTCAACCATAAGACTTATTTGAAGAACTTGTCCTTCTGATCATTTTTGCAATTTAAAGTTTCTCTCTATCTTTCATAGTTTTCAAAATATGATAATAGGCAAAAATCGAAAAAAAGTGGTAAAATTTGTCATTTAAGGGCAATAACTCCAACAGGAAATTGTCTTACAGTTATGACGTATATGAATAATTGGTAGAGCTCAACATTCTGAACAATTTTACCCTATTCAGATTTCCTCTTTTTATAACGGTTATCAGAATAATAGACAAAACTTGCATTTTACCCCATATGTTCTATTTTTTGCCATGTCGGCCATCTTTGTTGGCAGGCAGGGTCATCGGACACATTTTTTAAACTGAATACCCTAATGATGATAGTGGCTAAGTTTGATTCTATTTGGCCCAGTAGTTTCAGAGGAGAAGATTTTTGTAAAAGATTACAAAAATTTACGAAAATTGTAAAAAATTGACTATAAAGGGCAATAACTCCTTAAGGGGTCAATTGACAATTTTGGTCATGTTAACTTATTTGTAGATCTTACTTTGCTGACCATTATTGCTGTTTACAGTTTATCTCTATCTATAATAATATTCAAGATAATTTCCAAAAACTGCAAAATTTCCTTAAAATAACTAATTCAGGGGCAGCAACCCAACAACAGATTGTCTGATTCGTCTGAAAATATCAGGGCAGATAGAACTTCACTTGATGAACATTTTTACCAATTGTCAGATTTGCTCTAAATGCTTTAGTTTCAGAGATATAAGCCATAAACTGCATTTTTCCCCTATGTTCTACTTTTAACCATGTCGGCCATTTTGGTCGGCGGGTTGGATCATCGGACACATTTTTTAAACTAAATACCCTAATGATGATTGTGGCCAAGTTTGATTCTATTTGGCCCAGTAGTTTCAGAGAAGAAGATTTTTGTAAAAGATTACAAAAATTATGAAAAATTGTTAAAAATTGACTATAAGGGCAATTACTCCTTAAGGGGTCAATTGACTTATTTGTAGATCTTACTTTGCTGTACATTATTGCTGTTTACAGTTTATCTATATCTATAATAATATTGAAGATATTACAAAAACTGCAAAATTTTCTTAAAATTACCAACTCAGGGGCAGCAACCCAACAACGGGTTGTCTGATTTGTCTGAAAATTTCAGGGCAGATAGATCTTGACCTGATGAACAATTTTACCCCTGTCAGATTTGCTCTAAATGCTTTAGTTTCAGAGATATAAGCCAAAATCTACATTTTACCCCTATGTTCTATTTTTAGCCATGGCAGCCATCTTGGTTGGCGGGCCGGGTCATCGGACACATTTTTTAAACTAGATACCCCAATGATGATTGTGGCCAAGTTTGGTTAACTTTGGCCCAGTAGTTTCAGAGGAGAAGATTTTTGTAAAAGTTAACGGACGACGGACGCCAAGTGATGAGAAAAGCTCACTTGGCCCTTTGGGCCAGGTGAGCTAAAAATACAGGTGCTACAAGAGTATTAAACATTGATATAAATGAAGTCATGATATCAAGGGAAAGCCATCCAAGTGTTTTTGTGAAATACATACAGTAAATTCAGAAAATATTGTGAGGTTATTAATGCGAATAATGCGACTGGGTGAGTTTTGCAATAATAAGAACTGGTATTCTGATATCTAATAAATATCTGTCAGGAGATTTTCCTGGAATCACAATTATTAATCTCGAATTTTTGTTCAGTTTTCAATTCCACATTCTGCACACTAAAATATAAGCAACCGGTACATCATGGGGGACAGTTATTATTGGCGGAGGAAGTCAGAGTGCCAATAGTGAATAGAGAACCACAGCAGGAAAACTGGTAATCCTAGTCAATTGAGATCACAGTTAAACTCCCCTTGCCATAAACAGGAATTAAGAAATAATTCTTTCGTGCTATGCTCTATGCTCATTTTAACATGGGTAGGCATTATATTTGTCAATATCTTAATACCGAGCGTTTGTACTTCAAAGCGGACCTATAATACACACTCGAAAGGCAGCCATTTTGATTTGATGAACCAAAAAAGTTATAGAAAATCATCAGTTTAAGGATAATAAGTGAACAGATGCATGTAAACTTACTTTTAGAATTATTTTATTTAATTTCCTAGCGAGCAACAACATCACAAATGTCCATTTTGATATCCAGCATTGTTCAAAATTCTACTGACGTTATACTATCAATTGTGTCGTCAATCACGGGCAGCCCATGTTTTATTGAAATTAGAACATGGCTTTGTATTCAAAACTAAAGAAGAACTTCATATTAGAATCGAACTCACAACCTCTTTATTGACAGGCCAGTAATCACTTTAGATGAACAACTTGGACCACCTTTCCTCTGAGGCCCCCTTTACAGTATAAGAAACACAGCCCAGACTTTGTACATATACATCTTACATTAGAGGCCAACATTCAAGTGATTTTGTAAAACATGATTTTACGGGTGGTTATATAAATGGCATTAATGTTCTAACATAGCATCACTTCTTTGGAAATCAACTTAATAATCTAACCATGAGAGGCAACATAAACTTTGTATAGCTTGGAAAACATTAGGAATAAACTTTGATATTGAGGCTAGGAGTATGTGATAGAAATATTTTATATTTCAAAAATCTAAATACACATGGACATTAATGCCCTTTTCCCATAACACCAGGACTATTTTATATTAATGCCATGCCATGCCGTTTATGTTTCTCAAATATGCTCTGTGTTTCGTTTGTCAAAGTTCATCTGATCAACAATTTATTTTTTTTATTTTAACGTGGATATTCATTGTGTAAGGGATCACATAATTTTTCTTAAAAGCAAATCCCATTCATACTTCCAATAAAAACACTTATTATATAAACAAGGAATACATTGTGCATAATGTTATAAATTAGGATAATTGGAGCTTACTTCAAGCTTGCTTTTAAAATCAAATGTATGATTCTTATATTCTTATTATTACGTGCAAAAAGAAAGTTAAGTTAATGAACTAATGGTTTGCATATATGGGAATCTTAAATCATGTTTGTTTATACATGTTAATATGTTTACTATTCTGTATAGAAATTCTTAAATACATGGACTGAAAATCAAAACCAATAAAAAGTTACAGCATACTTTTCAATTTTTATCAGTTTCTCACATTGTTCATAGTACACAATTTTAGAAAGTAAAAACTAAACAATAACTAGTGTCCAAAATAATATAATTGACCTTCATACAAAAAGTCCATTTTTTTTAAGTTTACACTTTTTTGCCTTGTTTTACAAGTTGTGTAAAAACAAAAGATCTGTTTGTGTTACATGGCTGTCCCAATGAAATATACCCAACATATTTTATTCAAATTGGATAGAACACAATACAATAGAGCTAACAGCTGTCATTCTGAAAAGACTCAACAATTTTGATTTGCAGAGCTTTGAATGTAATCAATTGTTGGTATAAAAAATAAAGCTGTAATGGTTATGAAACAGGCTAAGATAATAACATACTGGTCTGCTTTGCTGAAATATTGGTGAATATACAAGTTAAGCTTGAACTTACTGATATGAGCAGAAAAATAAATTTAACAAGACTGAACAAGCATGCAGGTGAACTATGATAAATTTGATCAATTATGACTTACATAGTTTCAGGTATAAGTTTAGAATCTCTAAACAATTTATACCTTTCTCTGTGAGAAAAATCATACAATCTATGAATAAACCCATCAGTAAATAATTTTATAATTGGTATTTGAAAAAAATAGAAAGAAAAGACAAGAAAACTCTTTAACTTCAGCTGAAAACTAAAACATCATTGGCTAGAGGTAGTTTCCTGCTTAATTTTTTTTACAAAGTTACTGTTACTTCCCTTTACCAGAGTCATCTTTCTGGGGAGTAGATTTAAAAAAAAATTATATGCAATCGACCAATTTGTACGCCAAAGCAAAATACAAATGCCTAACTAGTATTGAAATATAACAGGAAAATTTTTAATGATTTGGGGCAACAACATTTTTTGAAAAGTAAATGTATAACACCCCACGAAATGGGTGACATCTCTTGTAAAAATTGTAAAAAGAAAGACCCACTTACCACTCACAAAACATGGATAATCTTAATGAAAACTGTAAAATTATTGTTACAGTTTGATAATTTCCAACTAAAATGGAGTCTATTGCTGTGAAAAAATAAACTTTAAAACAGAAACTTTTGCCACATAAAAAAAAATTTTGAAAGTTCTGATCCTAATCATTATAAAAGAAAAAGTTCAGAGAATTAATTTGATTTTCTGTGTCTGCAGTAACTCTCTCACTGTGGACAAAATTTTGGAAGAGAAAGAGTGGATGATAACAGATTCGGCCTCACCTTTTAAGTTATGTATGGAAACAAGAAAGTTTAAATGAATTTTATCAGATAAGGTTTACTTTCATGTTATTTGACAAAAGCAATTTTATAATGTTTAATTTTAAAATGTTACAAGGAATTAGCTTGGTTTTAAAGTTTCACTTTGTTTAGTTTTTCTTCAAACTCAGCAAAAGTGTTACATTTATGTTAAATCATGCAATTATATTAAATCAAACATAGTTAATACAACATAAATTCATTGATAGTATTCAAATTCTTCTAGTTACCATATCAATATAACAAGGGTTCAAAATGTGAAGGTCATATGAAGGGTCATGTACCATGCAGGGTAATGTAATGGAAATATTGACTTCATCTTACCTGTTCCTTTAAGTCATTAGTGAAAAGAATACAGACTACTTAAATATAATACTTATGGACTGATTACTGTATTCTCTAAATGTTCTTTTGAAATTAAAAACAAAAATGTTTAAGATCTATTGTTTCGAACCCATGTTTTATTATTGTATAAATTATCAGGCTTATGTTATCAATAAACATGCAACATGACTTACTTTCCACTTAAAACAATGTAAAATAGACAAATGACAAATTTTGTTAGAATTTTATAAATGTAACAATTCACAAATCCAGCGATTTTAAAACTGTACACATAGCAAAAACTTAGCAAATGACAACAAATTTTGTTAGAACTTCAAAAATAAAACAATTCCCAAATCCAGCGAGTTTAGACATGTACAAATAGCAAGAACTTGGACAAAACACATATCTTACGGTTTTGTACTATTCACTACAGAGTAACGTTTATCACTACCCAAGTATGTGCTAGGAGCTTGCGCTCTTCCCACAACAGATGGGGTTTTAAAGCTGTAATTTTACAACATAAAACACTGTACACAAATAAAAACCAACACTAGAATTTCAACGTAAAAGGTATTTATACTAAAGAATTATATTAAGGGTGAAAAACTTTTAGGATGCTTTTTTTATTGAAAAATGTACAAAATATCCAGCGTCTGATACTGTAAAAATTAAAATTAAAATTAATAACATAATTTCCTGTTTCTTCTATTTAAAATGTCATATCATTAAAAAAAACAAGAAATTACAGAGTCTAGATACAAGAGTTATATTTGTTTGAATTTGAATTCCGTTTTCCTTTCGTCTGATATATTTTTTGATCATGAGTCAATTATAATACCTTCTTTCCCTTTGATCTTGTTCCTTTCTAGCAGTTTCAACGTCTTTTTGCTGTTGTAATTGTCTACAAACAAATGAAAAATTAATAACATTAGTTTTCTGTTTTTTATTAGTTCTTTTTTCTATATAATTCCTGATCTCAGATTTTGTCTATCTCTTTGTTACCAACAGAACTTCTCTGAACCATTGTTTTTGAATTTGAGTTCCACTGATATGTTTAAAAGACTACATGCCCCACCCCTTCCCAATGTTTCATGGTTTATAATGCATGAAATATTCATGATACAACATAATATATTTATGTATATTACATGATGATATTGAATACATAATTCTATTGGTTTAATTAAGGTGACATTTGTTGTTAATATCAATCTACCTATTTCAAGTCCAGGAATTTACTTTTACTGGTATCAATTTTGCTCCAGTGGACGTAAGGGCTGTAACATAAAAACATACATGGTACCCAGGAAAGGCAACTTGAATTTGTAACTAAAGGTGAGTATGACAACACGTTTATGATGTATGCAGATCTCTAAAACTGCTTTAATTGGTGGATTCCCTACTTTCAAAAATCCTTCCCTAGGTACCATGTATATTTTAATGGAACAGCCTTAATGATATTTTCAAAGCACCTACTTTCAGTCTGTTAAGACAACGTTTTATGTTTCGACACTAAAAAATCAGAGAAAACATTTCTTTCCTTCAAAGACATAAAAAAATCAAAATTGGTGTACCTTACATACATGTATATCAATTGATCAATATCAAAACAAATATTGACTCAGTTTAAATTGAGCATATCCTTTATTTTGGTTAATACGAGTTTAAATTATGGTCTTAGGAACAAATATCAACTATAAAGGCCAGGGTTTAAAGGTCAACAACAACTTCAACAAGAGTCTTTATCTGTATAATGTCAAACATTTTTTTATATAACTATTTCCTTGTCATATTTTATTTAAATTTGAATTTTTCTGTTAGCTGTAAACTCTTAATCATAGTACAGTTGAATCTGTATATAAAGGTCACCCTAAAAACCTGAGGAAATTGACCTTATAAGAGACCCATGACCTTTGATATGAGGTGCAAAATGCATAAGTATTACATCAGGGGGTAAGAAGAGGGTGTCCTGACGAGGCAGGATTTTTTTTGGGGTTAAAAGGGTTGACTTTTCTTTATATCAGGTTTGACTGTATGAGTCCCTTGATTTTATGCATCTTCTGCATCTTACCTATCCCTCTCAGCCTCTCTTTCCTCTCTAGCCTTCCTCCTATCCTGAGGTTTAGTATGAGGTGGTATTACATCATTGTACCAATGTCTCCAGGGAGGATGTTGTGCTACAAAAATAATATCAAATTGTCTTAAGCCATGCAAATATAGATCTTTAGTATAGTGAAACCTGATTAAATCAAACCCTTATAAACCTAGCTCTGTTATCAGTTGAAACAATGTCATTAACCCTGTAACCATACAACTGTCTAATCTAAGCAAATCATCAGCCTGTAGGGGTTCTTTTTAGAGAAATTTGACTGAACAATACAAAAATATCAGGACTTGAATATAAACAAAATTATTAGTCTTAAACCTACCTTGAGTTGGATCTAAAATAGGCATTGCAGCTTTCTGGTCTTTGGTCAATAAAGAAAACAAATCTTTGTAATAATGTAGTTTTATCTGAAAAGAAAAGTTTAAGAATTTGTAATTTTACTGTTACACAAAAACCTTCACTGTACAATAGTAACCCTACTGAAGAATATAATCATTATTAACAGTGTAAAAAAAAACTCTTTTTCTTTACTTCATCACAAAGTTTTTAAATGTATATTATATTCAGACAAACAATGCACTTTTAGAAAATCTTAGCTGGCTCCTAAATAACTTTCCATTAAATATGGAACTATAAAACTCTTTCTATCTAATTTTATTACATTCTGAGGTGTACAAGAAGCCTGATAACGCCCAGTGTTTACATTTGATGATGGAAGCATACATATGACGTCTCCTTGTTTAGTTGCCAAAGACGATAACATCATTTCGCAGATATTTCATTTTTATGAAATTTTACACCGAAATAATAACTGAAAAGGACTGATTTGTTTATTTTGCATTAGAATAAAGATAACCGTATTCTATTTGAAGCTTGGTCCAAAGTAAAACGTGTCTTTTACTGTGGGCAAATTGAGTTTACCTGGTTGTATAAATAAGATGGGTGTAACAGGGAACAGCCAATTTTGTGTATTAATTCATTTGCGCTAAAAGAAGATATACTGTGGTTATACTGGTTTGAATTATATAGGTCCTCATATAAGAATAAAAATAACAAGAAAAAAAAATAACAACCTACGTTGCCCTTAAAACCCACAATGTCAGAATACAAATTTTAGCTAATTCAGTAAATCATTTTTTGTATTTAATGGTTAGTTATAGTGTCTAAAATAGCTATTTTTAAAATGACAGTAAAAAATCTGTTCATTCACCAAACTAAAAATTGCAACCGAAATATCCATCCAGATTAGAAAAAAAATATTAGACTAAGTAGCAACAAGGTGTTCTACCAAATTTTTTTTTAATTAGGGGTTTTACAAGACTTAATAAATAACTTACTTCATACTGAAACTGTGGTACAGTTAGCTTACAACTCTCTGCTTTCAGTATTTTCTCCATATGTGCTGGCTATCAAAAAATAAAAAAATGAGGTTAACATGAAAAAAACAAAAAACCAAAAAAAATATCTGGCTAGCAAAGAAAAAAAAAATTTAAAAAGTTAATAAAACAAGAGTGCACACGCTGAAATGTCTCGCCTTCTTTACTAATCATTGATATCATGTTGATAGTCCTAAATATAAAGCTTTATTACAACTGTCACATAAACTTAACATTAACCAAGTAAACTAAACATTGACCAATGAACCATGAAAATGAGGTCAAGGTCAGATGAACCATGCTAGGCAGGCATGTACAGCTAACAATTCTTCCATACAACAAATAGAGTTGACCTATTGCTTATAGTTTAAGAAAAACAGACCAAAACACAAAAACTTAACACTGAGCAATGAACCTTGAAAATGAGGTCAAGGTCAAATAAAACCTGCGTGACTGCCAAATAGATCATAAAATATTTCCATACACCAAATATAGTTGAACTATTGCAAATAGTATAAGAAAAACAGACCAAAACACAAAAACTTAACTATAACCACTGAACCATGAAAATGAGGTCAAGGTCAGATGACACCTGCCAGTTGGACATGTACACCTTACAGTCCTTCCATACACCAAATATACTAGACCTATTGCTTATAGTATCTGAGATATGGACTTGACCACCAAAACTTAACCTTGTTCATTGATCCATGAAATGAGGTCGAGGTCAAGTGAAAACTGTCTGACGGGCATGAGGACCTTGCAAGGTACGCACATACCAAATATAGTTGAACTATTGCACATAGTATTAGAAAAAAAGACCAAAACTCAAAAACTTAACTTTGACCACTGAACCATGAAAATGAGGTCAAGGTCAGATGACACCTGCCAGCTAGACATGTACACCTTACAATCATTCCATACACCAAATATTGTAGACCTATTGCATACAGTATAAGAAAAACAGACCAAAACACAAAAACTCAACTATAACCACTGAACCATGAAAATGAGGTCAAGGTCAGATGACACCTGCCAGCTAGACATGTACACCTTACAATCCTTCCATACACCAAATATAGTAGACCTATTGCATACAGTATAAGAAAAACAGACCAAAACACAAAAACTTAACTATAACCACTGAACCATGAAAATGAGGTCAAGGTCAGATGACACCTGCCAGTTGGACATGTACACCTTACAGTCCTTCCATACACCAAATATACTAGACCTATTGCTTAAAGTATCTGAGATATGGACTTGACCACCAAAACTTAACCTTGTTCATTGATCCATGAAATGAGGTCGAGGTCAAGTGAAAACTGTCTGACGGGCATGAGGACCTTGCAAGGTACGCACATACCAAATATAGTTGAACTATTGCACATAGTATTAGAAAAAAAGACCAAAACTCAAAAACTTAACTTTGACCACTGAACCATGAAAATGAGGTCAAGGTCAGATGACACCTGCCAGCTAGACATGTACACCTTACAATCATTCCATACACCAAATATTGTAGACCTATTGCATACAGTATAAGAAAAACAGACCAAAACACAAAAACTCAACTATAACCACTGAACCATGAAAATGAGGTCAAGGTCAGATGACACCTGCCAGCTAGACATGTACACCTTACAATCCTTCCATACACCAAATATAGTAGACCTATTGCATACAGTATAAGAAAAACAGACCAAAACACAAAAACTTAACTATAACCACTGAACCATGAAAATGAGGTCAAGGTCAGATGACACCTGCCAGTTGGACATGTACACCTTACAGTCCTTCCATACACCGAATATACTAGACCTATTGCTTATAGTATCTGAGATATGGACTTGACCACCAAAACTTAACCTTGTTCACTGATCCATGAAATGAAGTCGAGGTCAAGTGAAAACTGTCTGACGGGCATGAGGACCTTGCAAGGTACGCACATACCAAATATAGTTATCCTATTACTTATAATAAGAGAGAATTTAACATTACAAAAAATCTTAACTTTTTTTTCAAGTAGTCACTGAACCATGAAAATAAGGTCAAGGACATTGGACATGTGACTGACGGAAACTTCGTAACATGAGGCATCCATATACAAAGTATGAAGCATCCAGGTCTTTCACCCTCTAAAATATAAAGCTTTTAAGAAGTGAGCTAACGCCGCCGCCGCCGCCGCCAGATCACTATCCCTATGTCGAGCTTTCTGCGACAAAAGTCGCAGGCTCGACAAAAACTAACATGTTTAACCCTGCCACATTCTGTATGTGCCTGTCCCAAGTCAGGAGCCTGTAATTCAGTGGTTGTCGTTTGTTGCTGTATATCATATTTGTTTTTCGTTCATTATTTTAACATAAATCAGGCCGTAAGTTTTCCGGGGTTTTTTATAGCTGACTATGCGGTATGGGTTTTGCTCATTGTTGAAGGCCGTACGGTGACCTATAGTTGTTAATTTCTGTGTCATTTAGTCACTTGTGGAGAGTTGTCTCATTGGCAATCATACCACATCTTCTTATTTTTATATATAGAGGTGATCTAGTGATCACAGATACCCCTGCTCACTGCAACTAGAGAAATCATGATTCTGTTAATAGTGCTTCAAAGCATTCCATTGAAATTTCAATCAATTTCAAAAAAAGGTTTCCCATTTATTTTTTCTGGAAACCACAAAATTTTGAATTTTTCCAAAAATTAAGTACCATAACTCTGGAAAAGTTAAAGTGAAAACAACTTAAATCTATCTGAACTTGTCTTCAATGATCCAAAAAATTTCAATTAAATTTCAAAATACTATTCTTTATTTATCATCTGGAATCCAAAAGTGTAACAAATGGACATGAGGATTCTTATATACCCTCTGATTCTGTTGAGCTGGGTAAAACAATTCGAAAAAATAACAAATGGTTATCACAGAGAGAAAAAAGAAATTAAAATGATATTGAAAACAATCTTTTTTTTTAAATTCCAACTGGCTTTCAAAGAGAAAAAAAATGAAGTTAAAATGATATTGAAAACAAAACAGGTCACTGAAATAACTTTATCTTATAGGTTTGAACCAAAATTTGCTACAATAGTTTAAAAGAAGAACAATCAATGGTGAGATTAAATATCCACTCAGGTCCAATAGCAATGAAATATGTGAATTCTAGGTCTAAGTATACAGACATAGGACAAGTGGAATATTGCATGTGTCAAACCCTGATAACATTTTGTTAAAACCACCAGTAATATCAATTTTAGTGGTGCCCAGAGAAGCAATATACCTTAAACCTAACTTAACTATCAGAATTTATCAGACATAGTGATTAATGTATAATGTATTTGTATAAGCCAATGGAACATGGTTTACATTAGAGTTATCTCCGATTTTTCAGAAAAAAACTCAACTGAAAAAAATCTCAAATTGTAAACATGTTCCATTTCCCATTTCAAACACATTATACACAGTTTTCTCCCCAGCCCCTTAAAGGACCGCGGGCCCACGATGTATAATTTTTGACCGTGGTGGTATCGGTCTTACCACGATGTATAATTTTTTACCGTGGTGCTAAAATTTTCAGTGAAAAAAAATCGTAAATCGGTAAAGTTTTAAGCGATTTGTTAAATCTTTTCCGTGCGGTATAAAATTCCAGGTGAAATTTGACCAGTTCAAACATGTTTACCCAGATTGTTGACACCACCTGATCGATTTACCTTATGAGGTTAACCTTGTTGATTGGATTTAATCGATGTAATTAACACTTGTAACATGATTCTTTTGTGTTTTAATTAGGAGTTCATAACTTTATGATCACTGATAACTATTTTATGGCTTCATTCACAACCCAAGCGCTGACCTGTGACAAGTCTGCAAATACTTTGTACACAAACAGTGTGACCCGATAGTTGTACACACGCCTGTACATTTTTTGTACATAACAAAGTTGGCTCATTAGTATAGTATAATATGTCTAATTAAACCATGGCCAAAATTTTCTTTAATTATGACATAGTTAGTGCATGATATCGGGTTTCAAACTATATAGTATCTGTGAAGGGGACGGATATATGTACATATCACATGACCCAGTTAGTTCACGTAGAATATTAAAGTTTATTTGCAATTAATTGCAATCTATTCTATTTAATAAATAAAATGTATGACTGTACCTTCAAACTGGATATCTTTATCCACAATTAATGAATAACAGAAGTAATCTTGCAAATTTTATCCATAAGCACATGTTAAATCTATTTATATCTACTTCCTGTCATTTAGGCGGGAAAAATAGGGAGACTTTGTTGTTGACATTGAATATGGTTACTTATAGACCTAAGATAAATTTATAGATTTAGGAATTCTTTTTAAATGGATCATGACAAATAAAGATTTAGATTTCAGTGCAGTATTAAGTCTCTATCAATGTTTGATTATCACCAAGGACAAGAAAGGTTAATATTTACATGAAATCTATGGCAAAATGTTTTTAAATTTATGATTTTTTTTTTTTTTAAATTTAAGATAAAAACTGGTTCAAACAATAAATCAATATTTGTTCTTGTTATTTTATATCTCCTAATGACAAGAATCCTTTCACATACAACAACTTTCTTTCTAGAAACTATAAAGTTTTTTTTTAAATTGAAAATTTTTGGTCTCCTTTGAATGATATTTTATTTTTATTGATCATGGATTTTATAAAAGATTTGATTACCTTAACTTTAGATGAACATTTTGTAATGAATCATGTTTTATTTATTTAAAAAAAATATTAAAGTATACAAACTGTTAATTGATTTACTTCTTTTTTTACCAATAATTTTCTGACTCAATGTCTACATAACACAGTACCAGAGTGTTAAAAAAAAACAAGAGTCATACTGCAGTAACTAGAAATATAGCTAATCTAAGCGATGCGACGCGACACGACACAACTGATTGTATGAATCATTTCACCAAGCTGTCCACACGCGTTACCCTGGTGCTATCCAAAAATCCTGGGGAGAACACTGTTATACATATGTCTGATAAGTCTGATACTTAAAATTAACTTATAACTTGTGCAGCTTCTTTGGTCACCTCTAACAAGTGTGCACCTAATTCAGGTATTACTATTTTATTGTAGGATTAAGACTATTCATTGCTGGTAAAACATGGTAGACAAAACAACTGCTTTAATGGGAATGTCTGTTTTCATTGACACACAGTGCTGATAATTATAAAGTTGTTCTTAGTTGTCTTTTAACTTTTTCTGAACCTGCATGTAGTGAAAGTCTTTGTAGTTAACTCAGTGCTCTCTCATGTTCATTTACCCAGTATATTTCTGTACCATTCTATATACTCACTGAGGTAGCTTCTTTAAGTTTTTCTTTAATTAATCCCAGCAATGTCACTGTTACAATGGCCAGCCATTCATTGTTAAATCCTGGTGTGTCTACTCCTATCATGTACTGGTCCCATATATATAACAAAGTATCCATTTTAAGATAGGCTGAAAAAAGGAGTAATATCTTGGTTAATGCTGAATTCGGGCTACTTAATGAGGAAAATGGCAATTATGGGGTAGTTGTATAATGTTTGAAGCTTTGAACAGTCATTTAATTACTTTCTTTATTAGTTAAAAACATTTCTGTTGAAGTTTTTAAAGTGAATTCAAAATAACTTGTTAGCACGTTCATTCTTGCAATTAAATTCTTTTTACATACATTTTAACATTTCATAAAAAGCAATATCTGTATATTTGTTGCTGAGGTAAAATAAAAGACTGAATTCAAATTAATTGCCCATCTCTATAAGATTCTGAAATACTGTAAACCATCTTATTTTACACATATTCTTTAGTGTTTAGTTCTTTCTAGTCAAATTAGGTTCCGCATGTCTTGTTTATGAGTGATACAAATTTATTCAAATGAATGACTTACTGACAAACACGCTTCTAATCATAGGTCGTATCAAGGTCATCAATCCTTCTGTTAACAAAGCGTAACTTCCTGTTTCTGTAGCAACTATTTTTTCTGTAATGAAATAAGAGTTTAAAGGTATTAAACTTACATGAAAAATTAGATAAGCTATAATTAGCAGAGATATTTCTTATTTTAAATGGTAATGAGATTAGGACAATAAAACAAGGATATAATGGAAAGAATGCTGTTTAAGAAAATAAATAACAGCTGATCCTTTTTTTTGTCCAACATGCCGTGTTTTTCCAGTGGCAGTTCAAATTTCCCTTTGTTTTTGCTGGTTGACTCACTTTGCTGAACCTACCAATAGGATTTATTGCTAATTTTGTTCTCGTCCTGAATATGTATGGTATATTAGCCATGAGAAATGAAGAAAACTATGATCTAACAATGATTTTTCTTTTTTTGTCAGACTTAAAATTACCATGCAATCATACTATACTAGGTATCTATATAGATGTTCACATGCAGGTCCAAAAAACACATATGACGTTGCTGTCTATTCATGTCTTCTTGTCAATTGAAAATTGGATGCTGATGTCAGTTAATTGGACATCTTATTTAAACTCTGGGAGAGTTAGAGCTTAAAAGCATTGTGTGAGCACTTTTTCATCTAGATGTATAATTCGTATTTTATATTTTAGTTGTTGAATTGCTATCTCATTGACATATTCTCCTCATTTCCTTTGAATCACGATTTAACAACATAGAAGAAGAATATAAATGTGGAGATGTGGTATATAAATGCATCATAGATTCCAGGCTTAAAATATTGTACGCCAGAGTGAGCCAGACACCCATTTCATTGCCAATGAGACAACTAACCACAAGCAACCAAAGGACGAGGTTGTAAACAACTACAGGTCACTGTAAGGCCTTCAACCTTGAGCAAAACCCTTACAATATAGGGAGCTATAAAAGCATTACAAAATGTGAAACAATCCAAAAGAGAAAACCAATGGCCTGATTTATGCTAAAACAATTAATAACAAAAAAATATGACAGACAGCAACCAATGACAATCACTGAATTACAGGCTCAGAAATATTGTTTCTATAATGAGTTACTATAATGATCTAATCCTTACCTTTCACAGGTACAAACTTTTCTGTTATCATTCTAGATACTTCAGGGTGGCGTCTCTGTAGAAGTTTAGCTACTTTGTCTATAAAGGCTATAACCTCATCATTATGGTCCTAAAAGACCAAACAAAAATAGCAAATAAAAAAATCTAAAAGGGTTAAGTAAGTCTATCAATGCGAATATTTTTTAACGTTTTGTATGTTGATAGGTGGACTGTTAGTCCCCAAGGTATCACCAGCCCAGTAGCAAGTATGTCGGTAATGGCATGAAAATACAGATATTGTGTTATTAAAATTTGCTGTTACAAAATTTTGGAAATTATTTTACATTAAGGAATATATCTCCCTCATGCAAAACTCTTATTCCTTACCTGGCTTTAGCTTTACTTCTAGTATTTTTTGGTTTATAAGCTCCTTTTTTTTTAAGAAGTTTTGGATTTTCAAACATTTTGGCCACGAGCATCACTGATGAGAAACTTATCATGGTAATCATAAATGGTGCATTAAAATTGGTACTGTTAATGTTTTTATGATAACCCAGTGTGCAATCACATGAGGTTGTTTAGCTTTTATCCTAAATTATTTCTTAAATAATATTGTTAGCATAATGTCAGAAAAGCTATAAAAGTTGAAGCTCTACAAAATCAATGTTAACCTTCATAATTAAGTTTTCCAAAAAATAAATTATCTTTTTTTTTATCTCCGTAACCCAAAACAGAGGCCTTTAATCTTTACTTCTCTTATGGTTGTGGCCTGTTATCTATTTCTTGCACGAAGAGATATTTCTTGTATCACTCCGTGCAGTGAACTGCATTAATTTGATTGGCTAATCCAGCATCATAAGACGATATCACATCAATTTCATTGGCTAATAGTGAGGTCATTGAAAACTTTCAAAGGTTTAGTTATCGTTATTTAAGTTATTTAATCGATATCCAATTCTCACTCTTTATGAAACCTATAAATATTCTTTTCAAATTATATATCTTTTTTTATCTTAAAACTTACATCTGACCCTGAATCTACAACAAATCCTGGTCGACTTCCTAAAAATGTCATGAATTCTTCAACAATAAGGGCAACAACTCTTCCTGGTGGTGGTTCTCGTCTAAAATTTACATTTAAAGTTTAACAAACTATGATTAAAGTACCGGTAAATAAAAGTTGTTTTATTATATTGTAATATTAAAATATTAACTTGATATATTAGTAGAAGCTACATCCATAATGAAAGAGGTGGAAAATATGACAATTATTCTTTCTTCACTAATGAGTGATTGTTAATTGCTTTACATATGAATAAAATAGTTTAGTTTCTTTGGATATTTTATGATCAGTTTTGCATCATAAAAATTATGTTTTATATGCACATTTCAAGTTGGAGCAGCAAACTTTAACAATAGTTGATACCACAGATACCAAGCCGAAAGTTTGAAGGGAGACAAAAACCAATAATTCTATAATGTGAATTATCAGGTAAGTTCTTAAATTCTTCAATAATTTTGAAATACTATTTTCATGACAGTACCTTGATATATTAGTAGAAGCTACATCCATAAATGGTACTGCTAAAAGGTGTTCTACATCTCTTAGTCTGTTTTTGGTTTTTAGAATAGAATGATAATAGGAAAGTGTAGCTTTCATACCATAAAAAATACCTAGAATGACAAAAAATAACAATAATGCATACAGTAAAATTTAAAAAATCAGATTTTTTTTAAAACTGATTAGAATTCTAAATGGTTGTTTTGATATGTTGACCATAAATTTTTTATAAATAAGTTCTAAATATGTATTATCACAGTCTAGTCTTCTCCATATTCTTTTACATAGGTGCAGAATTATTTCGTGTTTGACATTCGTAAATATTTATCACACATGTACTTACCAACTGAGCCTCTTAGGTCATTAAACGTAGGTTCTGAATTCAGCAATGTTTCACATTTTTGTGATATATCATAATCGTACATAGATATAGCAGCCCTAGGATTAGTATTGAGCTGATCAATGTAATGCTTCCGAACTGCAATTAAAATTGACAAAAAAATTAAAATAATGTTTTAACATCTAAGTTTTATGCTTATACTATTCAAATTAAAAGTATCTATCTCTTCAACCTTTATCTGTCCTCTTTGTACCCCAGTATTATTACAAAACTATTTTTTTTCAATGTGCTTTTTTCAATAAAGATAAAATTGTGCATTGTTTTAATTAGTTTTGGTTCATATCAAGTACGAAGATAGATAGTGCAAGACAAATGATAATGATTTTATCCAAATGCCAAAGGTTGTGTATCAATGCTTTTCAATATTTTCCTTCTACATAAAATAATGGTATATCAAAATATTCTATGATGTGGGGTAAACAATTCATAACAGATCTAGTAAGATCTTACAGTAAATGGTATGACACTGGAGACTTGTGTAAATTCTAAAATTGGTGCAATGTTCTAATTTTGCAAAAATTGAGACAGGATATAGGGTTGGCATAAATAAGAACTTGCATTTGAAATTTTATAGTATTATCTTTATGCAGTATTTACCAATATCATAATCTTAATATTTAATCTTGCATTTTTGTCCAATGTTTAAGGAATGACTGTAATATTTTTTCTGTCTATGAAGAAATAACATCAAAAATGTGGTGCACACTGAATAACCCGCGTAGCGCGTTATTTTAAAGTGTGCACCACATTTTTTATGTTATTTCGAATAGACAGAAAAAATATTACAGTCATTTCTTATAATTTAATTCTAAATTCCATTTCAAACCGGAGTAAACCATGAAAAAACGTTGATGACGTCACGGTCACATGACAAAATTATGTCTATGAGCTGATAAACAAAACAACGTCAGCCAATCAGAAGACGCGTTACATCCAAAATTAAATTATTCAATAATAAATGCACAAACAATTCTGAATTTACAGTATTATGGCCATACAATACAGTACCAAGGTCAAATAAAGCATCTAAATTCAAATTGCTGATACAATGTAAAAGGCATCAGAAAATTTCTGAAAAAAAATGTACTCTAGGGCTTGGTCCCCTCAAACAAAACTCAAATATATCATAGAAATATTTCAATCAGGTTTTTTTATCTAATAATTGCATTCCCATCGAACCATGTGCTTAGTATTTTACCTCATATGGCATATGTATAAAAATAAGGAGATGTGGTATGATTGCCAATGAGACAACTATCCACCAATGTTCAAATGGAGTGGATGTAAGCCATTATAGGCAACCATATGTATTGTATTGTCTTATAATATCAGTGTTAAAAAGCAGTGCAACACAAACAAAATTACAGTGATTTACACCTAAAAAACAACATGAAAAGCTTCACACCTTACATTGTGATATCAATCTATACCATAAGATTTATTTAGTCTTATATCTTTTATTTCATATTGTCAATTTGAACAACAATAATACATTTTCCTTAGTCCATATCACAAGATCACTTAATGCAAGGCAAGGTTTCTGCCCATACTCAATGTATCCTTTTTTCGGTGGCAGTTCTAATTTCCCCGTCCTTCATCCAAGTCAACCAACTTTGCAAAAATACCTAAATGATTTATTGTTTTATTTGTTCTTTAGTTCTTATATTGTGTATATGCATAAAATATTTGCATTTGAATGTTGAACAAACAATAAACAATCAATCATTTGTCCATATCATATCATTATGGATTGTTTCTAAATTTTTTTTTTCCAGATTGTGAAGTTTTTTGGGGGCAATATACTGGTATATGGTATCTTAAACATTATTGCAAGTGATTTATACCTTTGCATAGGAATAAAAGGAGATTTTTTTTTTTTGTGAAATGTTACTTGTGTTTTCCTGGTTCTTGTTCTGTTCAATAATTGTGAGGTTTTCAACTTTAAGAACTGGGATACTAAAAAAAATGTTGTCACACATTAAAAAAATATTGATCAATTGGTTGTCAATAAACAAATGGTAAACAGCAATATCTGCTGTACAGTGATATATATTGATATGGCAAGTTTTTTTTTAATACTTGTTTCCTGCCTCCTGGCAAAAAATTATAGGGGAGTTGGTTGGTTAAATGATTTTAATTTTTCAAAATACTTTACATAGACTACATGTAAATAGGTTTTTGATTTTTTTGGGTCAGATATTCGGAATCCTCTGGTTTTATCCATGTAATGCCAACAAATATTTTGCCCGCTAACCCCTACTTTTCTTTTTGTAATTTTATTTTATTAGAGAGAATAATTTCCAGCCAATTTTTCAATGGCTAATATATCTCGAAAACAAGGTCACAGACCTTTAATTTTTTTTCTGCTTTTTTAGTTCCATTATTTATATACTATCAATTTATAACAGTCTTTTAAAAAGCTTGTTATTTTGAAACACAGTAGTGAACATCCTTAACCAGAAATGTCCAGACTTGATAGGGCAAAAACAAAAATGTCCATAAAATGTGTTAGGGTAGGCATGACATTTTAGGGTATGTAGGGAGACAGAAAACACAACTATATTTTTTTTTGCATAATATACCGGTTGTGTTTTAATTCAAATCTTTGATCACAGTTTTTAATTCTTTCGTAAATGTTTCTTACTAGGGATGATTCAAGTGATACATTGATCGTTTTGTTCCTACAAATCTGACATATGCCAGTTTTTGTTTTGTCCCTGTACCTGTGATAGCTTGACTCATATTGTGTGTACACAAACTATATATATTTCTACATTGTTTACCTACCAGAGTAACTATATTCTGTAAATTACAAGTCTGTTAAGTCATATAGAAATATTATGCTAAAAAGAGTTAGTTAACTTCTAGTCATAAAACTTTTATAAAATTTCCTTATACTAGCATTCAGTAAAACTTAAAAGACGTAAATAAATTAATTAATTTAGGTCAGTGCATTAGTCCCATGCTCCAATACTTGTAAATACAATTCTACAACTATACATAACATTTCACACATCTAACAAAGGGCAATTTAAAATTTGTACATGATAAACAATTACTAATTATAAGATAATGCTTAAAGGGATAGAAAATTAGAAGATTTTTTAACCAAAGGACAGTTTTATCTTCCCACTTGGGAGATGGATTTTCAGGATGAAATCTCATTACTTTTAAATAAAATTGATAAATGCCCTACAATATCTGCTGATTATAGCAAGTTGACACTAATTACCATAATCAAATGTGCAAAATAATTTTGCTATAAAATATAATAAGCTATATATGTGGCAATAGTTTGTTACAGGTATACATCTATAATTTAAAATATGAAAAAATATAAATTTATGCTTCATGCATGCATTTCATAACTTGCAGAAAAAAAGCATATAAATATACCTTTTGTATTAGATAAGTATAGCCTCCATGTTAATTGTCGTATATGTAATGGCAGGGGTTGATTTAGACAAATATAAAGTTTGTTTTTCATATCTGGCCATTTCTTCAGTAGACTTAATGCTCCTTCTTCAGCACTCTCAATTACTAAGTCAGTTTTAGTGTCCATGGGAGATTCTTCCAATAGCTGCCTAGAGACATCTTCATTTAAACTTTGGTCAGTTATTACAGAAACTTTCTTGCATAAGCCATTATATACTGTTCCTACAATAAATGATTTCTCCTTTTATAATCTTCAATTCATCTTAAATATCAATTTCCATCAAGTACAGTTATCTCCCTTGATAATCAACTTCAGATAAAACAAAACATTTATAAATATCTGCCTTTATACTATATACTATCTGTAGGCTGTCTACTGTCATGGTTGATATAAACATTTGTCAATTTTCCCTACAATTTTCTAACATAAATAACCCTATGCTGAGCCTCCTCATGGGGTTTTTGATTATGTGATTACATGGCCGTTTTTATAGTGATTATTTGATTACCAGACCAAATATTTCATGATTATTTGATTATGTGATAATATAGGACTGTATTTTTGATTATTTGATTATCTTGTTTAAAAAAAATAGTTAATGATTATGTGATTATATTGGCAAAAAATTTGTGATTATGTGATTACTTGGACACCCCCATGAGGGACCTGTATGCTAACCCTTTCATTGTCAGCAGATTGTTACAGTTCAATACCTGTGCAACTTAAACTTAAGGCTGTTTCTGGAAAAATTATGTTGGAGTCTTGAAGGCATTTTTCTATTCCCAACCACCCACAGAAATTTAAATGTTAGTTCCTTCAGCGATGAAATTTCTATAACAAATTCTTAAAACATCATGAAGTGGCATTTTCATAATTTTAATTTTACAAGCCAAAAATTAATACAAATCTAAAGATTTTTAAACATCTCTTTATCAAAAATAAGCCGCAGATTACTAAAACATTTGAGAAACTGTCTTATTTGATTGCAGTATGATTTAATGTCTTACCTCCCTTGATAGCCTGTGTTGCCCTTTCCATAAACAGTTCTTTCTCAGGTTCTGACAAATCACTGAAGTATTGTACATGGCTTTGTGTTAACTGCTGCTGAATAGCATCGTGTAACTCCTTCAGAAAACTATCCCATTCCTGAAATAGAAGGAACAAGGAACATAGGTTTAATATCCTGTTACCTTAATAATGTTAATATGTGTAACTGAAAAAGCATAGAATCATCTATTTGCAGCTGATGCCAAAACTTTAATAGCTAAACATGTACTACATGTAGCTATATCCTGAAAACTCATTTCAAGAAAATACTTACTGAACAATCTTTTATAATTTTCACTAACCTGTATATATACGTACCAATTTTTATGAGTCACAGGACTAGTGGTTTTTGGTATAGACTGTATTGTTACCTCATCTTTTTTTAGTATCTTATGAACATATTGGGGTCACTGCAGAACCAACAAGCAATCACTGTACTGGAAATTCAGTCCTTAATTAGCCAAATTTCACCTTTGACCCATGATGAAAAAAGATAACTTAACCCTGGGTCCTATACTCTCTGTGTTTCCTGTTGCATGCCCCCCAAAAAAAGGGGTCGGTAGATATTGATCTTTTTTAATACTTTTTTTTCCATCGATCTTATCGTGAAGTTCTTTGAACCATTGTTCAAATGTTTTTGAGTGTGAAATTTTCATGAACATTTGTATATATGTATCAGGTTCATGGTTGTCCCCTGAGGGACCTTAATTAGAATAAACATATATTGTATTGTATTGTATTGGTTGCATTTCATCAACCGAACAGCAAGCACACTAATTATATACCCAGCCATTTGTATATTATCATTTACGGTTACAAAAATGTTTACAAATGGAGCCATTTAGGTGATTTTGGGACATGCTCAAGGAAGAGCATTTTTCAAATCACAGCGATTTTGTGATACGCTAAAGGAGGAAATTTCTCCTGATCACACCTAAAAATAAACAATTTTTAACAATTTTTTGGGGGAAAATTAGGTGTTCACAAAAAATAGGGTTGGTACACGTAGGTCGTGATATTTCTAATCTTTTTTTTTAAATTTTTTTTCATCGATCTCATCATGAAGTTCTTTGAACCATTGTTCAATTTTTTTTTAGTGTAGAACTGTGATGAACTTTTAAATTTCATCAACCAAACCCTAAGTACACTAGAAATATGCATGATATTCCCTGCCATTTGTATTTTATCATTTAAAGTCACAAAAACGCTTTTACAAATAGGGCTAATTAGACTCTGACAATTTTGAGACAAGCTAAAGGAAGTTATTTCGGATTATAGCAATTTTTTCAATATGCTAAAAGAAGAGCTTTTTTTCCTCATAGAGTCAATCAAAGCCAAACAATTTTAATTTTATTTACAGTTTGGGTTGGACTAACACTAAGGTATGTCAGGCTACCAGAAACACCTTTTATTTTGGCCTTAGGGTTAGAGCCTATAAATTAGGGTCAGTCAGGCAAATGGAAACACACCTAAATTTTTATTTGGCTAAAAGGAACAGCCCAGTGGTTATACACATAAAATGTTCGCCCAAGGTTGTTTGCCCACAGAGCGTGTTCTCCCTCATATTAAGAATCTTTATTGTAAAATCATATGGTCTTTGATTTTACATGTATATATTATTCCCCTAAAATCTATTTTTGTTTTAAGAACAAAAGAGCTAATTATAAGATTCATATACAACATGTAAAACCAATAAAATAATTGCCACAGAAATATAATAGGTCCATATATTTGTCTTGTACATCATTAAAGAAATATGTTTATGATACACAACACTTAATCTAAATGTTTTTCACCATTTGTCTGCATAGTTAGTTGTATTTATATATATGTATACATTATATTTTATTTTTAGTTTTTTAGAGGTCCTCAGTGGAGATTAATATTGTACTAACTGATGTTACCTTATTTAAATAAGTATTTATTATTATTATGTTTTCATGGCATTTATGTAAATGAAACTTAGGGTAAATTTATGGAAAAATTAACTAAAAATAGGAAATTAATTGATTAGTCTAGAGCTGTTTGTCTTCTTTTATAGATAAGTATAAGTTTTGATGACTGTTGATTGATGTACACAATGCCAATACACCTTATCGCTATATAGTCCAATCCGGAAAAAACGGTCACTTATACAACTTCCTGTTTGGGTCGTCTTGAAAAAACAAAGGTCATCAGTAACAACTACGGAAGGAAAAAGTTTAGAAAGCAAATATTTTGAAACTTTGATAAATTATGATCCACTTTTTTAAAACACAAATTAAAGTAATAAAAATGCTTTGTTTGAAGTGTTTACATGGTTTACAATGGTTAAAACATTTGTCTTTGAAAAATTTTATGCACAATACATTGTTTAAACAGGGCCCCAGATATAAGCTTCAACTGGATGAAAAAGTTGTGTAATTTTTGAGCTTAACCAGATTTGAATATATAGCGATAAGGTGTATCAGGTATTATTATGGGTTTGATCTTAGAGACTCCACGATTATAAGGAAATAATATAGTATATACATACATGTGAACCTCCTGACGGGAGTACAATAATCCCGTTTTCAGGGGTCTCCTCCCGACCTCCCGTTGAAGACAAAAAAATCCCGTGTATGAAATATTTCATGAATGAAAAATTTCAGCCCAACATATCTGGTGTAACTGACATTACCTGAAGTTATATTTTACCTGTAAATAAATTAACATGCATAATTATATGGCTTCACTTGTCACCTTGGGTGTCAAACATACTGGTAATCAACGATTTTTACCTCAGGCTAACTGCCATTGTGTAATAAAACTTTGTGTATTTAAAATGAATGTTGGGTTACTTCCCTTGATTTATCCTGTTTTAAGTTACTTTCCTTTAAATAATGTAAATTTTTAAAAGAATATAAATAAAATATAAATTGAACAAATAATCATAAAAGAATGGTAATTAAATGATTTTAAATGTCTTAGGACAAATAAAAAAATAATAATTTGAAAATTATTTGAGGGTTCTATAATTCCTTTCAAGGCTTAAATTGAAATTTATATAAAAACTATGACCCATGATTACAGCTTGACCGACCGTGCAAGGGCTGTATAGCCAGTCAAGGTCGTTAAAAACTTCCATTTGTTGTTTACAGCTTGAATGTGTTACTTATCATGCATTAAAAATCTACTTGCATAAAGATAAAAATAAAAGATCTACTTGCAGGGAAGCAGGACAAATCGCCCCACTGGCAAATCGCCCCACACCAAATCGCCCCACTTTTTCACCAACTCGCCCCACTTTTAAAAAAATCGCCCCAAACTGGTTTACCAACTCGCCCCACTTGTGAAAAGGGTGAAATCCCGTTAATTTTTCTCCTGCCAACTCGCCCCACTTAATGAAAAAAAGGAAAAATCTAGATGAATATATAATTTTCAGGTCTGCCAACTCGCCCCACTTAAATGAAAACTAATGTACACAGAATACAAAAAAACGAAAATTTATTAAATTATTATTTTTGAAATTAAATGATGTTTCACTTTCTTAAAATATAATTGTAAATACATTATTCATCATCATGTAATTTTCGTATTATTGGAGAATAACTTTATTCTTGTAGGCTTAGTTATTTGCATAACAATTGAAAAGAAACCTGTTAATTGTATCATAATCCGATATTTTATCATAACAATTGAAGGATTTCAATTAACAGCAATTTTTTTTATAGCACTAAACGGATTGGTTACTTTTGTCTTTGAATTAAGAATAATTAAACACTAACGAGCAATCAGTGAAAGGCAAATGTTACTTTCAAGTAAATATCAAAGAGAATGTCCATTCATTCTAGTCAAAGCAGGTTTTGTTGATTTTGAAAAATTGATTGGTAAGTTATGTTTATGGTTTGAAAACAATAAAAAAATATGTAGATGTGCAAACCTGTCATCTGACAGTAAAATTATGTAAACACACACATGATTCTTGACTTATCTTATAAAACATTGAATATATTTACCAGTAAAAAAAAACTTCACAGAAATGCTGATGCTTACTTCTTTCTGCTTTATTTCAACCAAAAGAAAATAAAAAAAAAACATGATACATTTCTAACGTTTTCACAAGTCTCAATTCATTACAGTTTAATTCTTTTATTCATAAGTGGGGCTAGTTGGTAGGCTTTAATTCTGTACATACTTTATCAGTGGGGTGAGTTGGCAGACATAAATTTAACGGCATTACTTTCTTTTTCATAAGTGGAGCGAGTTGGCATGACTCAATTCATCAGGATTTTTCTATTTTTCATAAGTGGGGCGAGTTGGCATGACTCAATTCATCAGGATTTTTCTATTTTTCACAAGTGGGGCTAGTTGGCATGACTCAATTCATCAGGATTTTTCTATTTTTCACAAGTGGGGCTAGTTGGCATTCAAGTCACAAAAATACTGATTCTCACTTCTTTCTGCTTTATTTCAACAAAAAGAAAAGAACTACAAAAACATGTCACAGTTTATCTAAGGTTTTCATAAGTGGGGCGAGTTATCCAACCTATTTTCAATGGGATTTTACCCTTTTTCATAAGTGGGGCGAGTTGGTAAACAAGAGTGGGGCGATTTTTTAGAAAGTGGGGCGAGTTGGTGAAAAAGTGGGGCGATTAGGTGTGGGGCGATTTGCCAGTGGGGCGATTTGTCATGGATTCACTTGCAGATAGATAAGCAAATGTTCTGATTGCAATGAAAAATGGTAAAAAAGATATGACCCAAAAAATTTAATGAACATACTATTTTTAGAAAATTTATAAGTACAAGGGTACTATAAACATAATACATTCGGATGGAAAGTTGAAGAAAACACACTTTAACAGACAATTTCTACAGCACACGGTTACATTTACGACAGAATTTATGTCGATTAAAAACCTCCTGATCTGAGTCCTAATCTCCTGACCAAAATTTCCCAAACTCCTGATCTTACTTTCACAGTCCATCACATGTATGTATATAAATGATCAAAATGAGTATAATTATAGTGTGAGTAGTGGTCAAAATCTTTAACATTACAACGTTATAGCCAGGGGGTACTTGAATATTGACAAAAGGACAAGGGGCAGACACCGTTTTAAGAAATCAGGGAAACTCTAAACCAATTTGAAGACACGTTGGACCAGTTTAGAGACATATACCAGTTTAACTTTAAAAGAGGTCGAGTTATCTTAAAATTGGTCCGACTTGTCTTTGACTTTGGTCCGAGTTGTCATGTATTCTTTTTAGGGTGTCGAAAAAACGGGGTGGGGTGGTTGTTTTTCACACAAAGTGTCAAAAAAAGTTTTGGTCGGTTAGGTAGCTTTGAAGAAATTAAAACCTTTGAATCTGTAATATGTTGTTTGCATGCCAAAAGCCATTTAGGGTAAGTTTGCTGTGCACCCGCCATTTGTAAACAATCTTTGATGTGAAGGTGCATTTGAAAGGAGCTTTTTCATTGGGTTAATTTTAAGATTTGACCAATGAAATATGCTCTTTGAAAATAATCGTACTTTCACTTTGTCGATTTTACTAATAGCATGAGAGATTCCGAAAAGAAGTTGCAGCCGATTGAAAAATGACACGAAGGCGTTCATCGCACTCCTTTTTGAATCTGATTTCGCTTGCGATCTGTAAGATTAGAGGCATATTCAAACTTATTTCTATCTTTTTTATAGATTGATACACTGTTTCACAATCATTTCACATTTAAAACACATGTCAGTGACAATCATAAGTGCCAAGGCAAGTGGAAACAAGTCCATGTTAGAAAAGTTACTTATTTCTAAAAGAGATTTCAGTATAAAACATCTTCATAAATACACTTCTTGATCTTGATTGTATACAATGTCACTTAAACATTACTAGATTGGGCATGTGTCAAGATTACTTACTTACAACTTGGGACCCGGGGCTAGGCCCTTACCATGGATCATCAGATAAGACATTTACACAACTTGTAAATTTAAAAATGATTTCATGCCAAATTTAATGAGTGAAACTATTATCAGTAATATTCACAAACTTACATGCAATAAAATTTTAAAAAATACAAGAATCTCTGCAGTTTGACAAACAGAATGAACCCTCAGCCCAGTACATATTTTGGTTGCACATTTTGATATTTTCCTTCATGGTTCTTTATTCACCGGTACCTCGAATGACCGAATAATACCATTATTATCCAAATAACACTTGTAATGACCGAATAACACTTGAAATTTTAATATTAGCACATATTGCATGGTGACATTTAAACATTGATTATTAAATAAAATTATATTATAAGTGTATTATATAACTTAAAAATGATTTACAGAAAGATTAATTTAAATTAAATATGTGAAAATTCTTAATTACGTTTCATTCAATATTGAGTAAATCGTTAAGAAAACTAATAGGTGATTGGAGTAATTGCATGGCTTTGATGTACTTGTTAACTTTTCAAAACCTTACTGAAAAACAATTATCATGATTATTGGACAATACTCTGTATATACAGTACATTATTTAATACTTTATTTTCATAGCATTTCCTTTTGAATGCATATGCAATCATTCTTTTATTCTTCCCATTGTGTTTTCCTTGGTCGCCATGTTGGATGATCTTGGATGTACACACTAATATTTATAATGGTCTTTATGAACTTACCTGCTTTCTGTAAATCATTTTAAAGTTATAAAATACACTTATAATATAATATTATTTAATAATCAATGTCTGAATGTCACCAATATGTGCTAATATTAAAATTTCAAGTGTTATTCGGTCATTACAAGTGTTATTTGGATAATAACGGTGTTATTTGGTCATTCGTGTTACCCTGAATTCACAGCTAGATTGATGTTCATGCAGATAAATATGAGGCATCATTACCTGTGAAAGGGGACGAAGTCTGTAATTCAAACATCCTGTACGAAATGGGACGCCCGTAAATGACACGGAAACCAGGCGTAGAAATCATACTTTATCAGGGCGTCATTGTAGTGTTTACGGAATGCATGTCCAGGCGTCAACCAGGCGTAAACCAGGCGGAAACCAAGCGTAACTGAGGCGGAAACCAGGCGTAAAATTAGGCGTAATATTTAAATGAGTACGCCTGGTCCACAGAAAACCAGGCGTTATATGCAAATGAGTACGCCTGGTCAATAAAAAAAACAGGCGTAATATCCTTACATAATACTACACTTATTTTAAATCAGTGTATTACCCTAGCTGTGTACTTTTGTGTATTTGATACAAACTTCTGTACTATTGCTTAAATTTCTCATTGTTTGACATGAAACTTGAAATATTAACCATTAATTGAAGAAGCTATATAAATAAATACATATTGGACAGACACTGGCTCAAATAAGTTTAAGTTTAAATTAGAATTATGGCAATTAATTCTTCCTGAAATAAAACCAGCATTTTAACTAAGTTTTTTTTTGAAAATTAATGTCATTTGAACCAAAATATCAATGATAATACTGCAATTTAACTAAATGTGAAAGATTTTAATGTTATCCAAGGATGAAGGTTTTCAGAATTCAAAATTACTGTTAAAAAATAAAACTTAGTTACTCACATAATTATCTCTTACCATGTATATTACTTTCCTTTTATTTCACAATTTTCATTAATCAATTTGATTCCATAATTCCAATTTCAAATTCTTCCAAATTATCCCTGAATATATAAAGCTGCCATAAGTCCAACTCTTGCAAAATAATACCAAAGAGCCAAATTTTGAAAAAAAAAATCCCATGATCCTTTATCAACAAAGCATTATGGGTATTATGATTTACGCCATTACAACAGTTTTACGCCCGTAGGAAAATTTACGCCTTGCTTATTTCAATTTACGCCAGGTTTACCATATTTTCTACGCCCGTAAGGACTACAAATTTACGTTTCCTGTTCCTTTACGCCTGGATCTGGACACGTAACTACCACTTACGCCTGGTTTACGCCAGATTTCCAGGCGTAATACGCCTTATAATTTCGTACGGGATATTTTAACTTCAAAATCTGTTAAAAAAGAAACGGAAATACTGTAATGTTTCCGATGTCGGTTCTGTTGTTAGGGATTTTAGTTGTGACGTTATTTATGTTATGACGTCATATTCAATGTAAACAAAGAAACGCTATCATTAGGTAACGGTTTTTCATATCAATCCATTCAAGGAATTATGAAAAATGAGATTGGTATTGCGTTCCTTCCTATATTTTACTAGACTGATAAATATATATTTTACTCAAAGACTCATGCAAACGAGACCAGAAAAAGGAAGTAGATTTCTGCGCAAATGCGGTAAAACAAAAAAAGTTTAACGATTTTGAGTTCATTAGTAGAATGAAAATTTCAGGAATTTTTCCCGATTTTTTTTTTTTTTTTTTTTTTTTTTAATTTTATTCATTTTTCTACCGTAATAGGGGACTTTGTCTCCTTATAAAGGCAAAGTATTCTTTTTTCCACAAGATTTGATTGTAAAAGGAAGGGGATTTCAATATGTACAACTTTTTATGTTGTAATGTTACACCACTGTTTCAGGTTAGGGTGAAGGTTGGCACCTGTTAAAACGTTTAAACCTGCTGTATTTTTATGCACCTGTCCTAAGTCAGGAGCCTGTTGTTCAGTGGTTGTTGTTCGTTGGTGTGGTTCATAAGTGTTTCTAGTTTTTTATATGGATTAGACCGTTGGTTTTCCTGTTTGACTTTATAGCTTGCTGTTTGGTGTGAGCCAAGGCTCCGTGTTGAAGGCCGTACTTTGACCTATAACTGTTTACTTTTTACACATTGTGACTTGGATGGGTAGTTGTCTCATTGGCACTCGTACCACAACCTCTTATTTATATTTTCAATACATTTCTGCAACTTACACATTGACAGTTTTATATTATATATATATGTATAAAAGAATGACTGTAAACATTTTAACCACAGGTCTCTTAATTCTATGTCCAAATGGTTTGGTAAAATCAGAGGAGGAAGAAGACAATGGTATGTGTCTTACAGAATGTGCATATCATCACAAACAATGTGTTATTTAGATATTTGTATGAATAGAATTAGATTTTGGACTTGATATCAATGAGCCAGCAACACAACAACAATTTAAAATATCTAAAGAGTAACATACAGTCTTCAACAATTGAAAAATGTCTATTCGATATATAAATCTCTAAAATTCCCAAGTTTGGAAAGTAGGGATTAGATTAAACAGATCTGTGAATAATTTAACAGAGACTGTAAAAGACCAGCCATTAACATTAAATTCCCTATCGTGACAAAAAAAAATAAACTTATGGCCGTCTCTAACCAGGTTCCTTACTTCGGACAAGCATATGAACATGTGGTAGGGTTAGATTGATATATATATTTTCATAATGTTACAGACATAATATGTAATTGTTTTCACTAACTTTGAAGATGGAACATAATGAATAATAGAGTGGTCCTTTAGGAAATGAAAGATAAATAATTAATCTACAGTACTGTAAGTGCAAATAAACATGCCACAATTTGATCTTTATACATTCCTTTTCAATTAGTAATAATTTCCGATAAGTTGGTAGACAATATCACCAATGAAATCTACATTGTACATGCAAATACACATGCAAAAATTCGAATTTTAGATATTCAGTTTCAAATAGTAATCATTTTTGTTTTACACAGTATCACTAATTTTTGTTATGGAAAACAAAATAATTTTTTTCTTAATTCCTTATTTATAAATATAAAAGAATTGTTCTTGCTCGATTGTGGAGTTAAAGATCATTAGATGAATATTTATTTAATATGTATATTTTTGTTTTACAGAATTGACTGCTGATCAGATAATCTTTGTGGTAGTGACACAACCAAATAAATATCATGTCAGCAGAGCTGAAGAATTCAAAAGCCATTTCAAAGCACAACTTACTGGTATTGACAAGGTGTGGCATGATTATAGAATTTCCAAGGAAATTGAAAAAAATTAACCACATAATACATATTAAATACTGTAAATTCAGATTTGTTTCTGATGTGTTTTTATTTTTGCAGAAATTGGGACGAAATAGGTATTGTGAAAATAAAAATCTCATTTTAAATTTTGCTACCATTACTTACTCTGCATTATATACTGATATTGCAATAATAAATCTGACATTTTTGTCCATTCTAAAAAGAAATCTCTATGATAAATATATGCAAAATTTCTGAATTTACAGTAATGCATACATTATTGCAAATGTTGGCATCCTCTCCATAGCCTAGACTTCTTTTTCAGATGAAGTTCATTTCATATTTTTGGACATAGCGAGTTTGTTTTATAGTTCATGCAAAATTACTGAAATCTTCATAATTTTAGCATTTGTGCTAATTTTTAGACGGTTTTTGTCTACAATAGAAGTGGCCGCATTTGTGTTCAGTCTTTATATTTAAATAAATGTTGTATTTGATGATAATACATAACATATATAAAGGTTGAGACTGAACACGTATGCGGCCACTTACATTTTAGATAAAAACCATCTGAAAAGTGATGTTTTTTGGCATATTTGATAAGTTTTCATATTCAAGCTTGAATTTGAGCGTCTTTAATGACCAACTCAGTTCAAATCTTTTACATAAACCAATTGAATCGACTAAAGTAGACACTTAATTGTTTCAAAAATGTAAAAAATCTTTCATCAGATGTACTTCGAATTTTAGGCCAAAACTACCCCATACCGGATTTTCTCCTTTGGTTGATTTGTGAAGGAATACTATTGTGCCTTCAAACATGACAGAAAGGGAAGTAACCAAGCTTCAAACTCAAATTATGTCTATGGAAAATTATAACTCATTAAACCTGAAACATTAAATAAGATTTCACAATGTAACTGTATTTCAACAACACTTATAAAAAAGCATCAGTAGGTATATATATATGATCATAAATGATAAAAAGAATGTCTATACCAGATGTCTAGCTTGATAGAAAATTTCAGAGTTTGCTCCCCTTAATTGTTAATTTCAAGTGCATTTCAACCAACTTATAACTAGAAATACCAGAACAGGAAAAGGAAACGAATGTTATATTCCTGCATCATACATTTTGAACTTAGATTAATGTAAACTTGAGCAGGTTTTTCTTTGTCATGTTTTCACCACTGCCTGATTCTTGGGCAGACTGGCACTTAAATGCTATTACAAAATGTATTAAATAACCAGTAATTGTTTGTAATCAAGATGAAACACAACTCTAGATCCTGTCCTGAATTCAGATCAAAGCATTGACATTTTTATTTATATTTGGTTCCATTTTGAAATATGTAGTCAACATGTAACACTCCCAAACGTGTCCATCCCCCCAAACGTGTCCGATTCCCCCAAACGTGTCCATTCTCCCCAAACGTGTCCATTCTCCCCAAACGTGTCCGTTATATTCAATATTGCCCAAACGTGTCCGATTTCATAACCCCCAAACGTGTCCGATAATTGTTTTTCGCCAAAACGTGTCCACTGTTAAACGCCAGAACGTCTCACGTCTTCTAGCGCTAATACATATACAAATGACATCAATAACGTTTACGGCAATTCTATGATGGGGGACACAGTTGATGAAGTGGTCATTTATTATCATTAGTTTGTTCAATGCCGGTTGTTAATGATTATCATAATTGCAAATTTAATCTGTAACATATGAATTAACTTTTGACTGAAATGCAAGTTGCAAGTATTGCATTCTGATTTAGAGCGAACATACAAATAATTTTAGTACAGTTGAATTAATCGTTTACCAAGTGAATTATTTTGTACTAATAAATTCTGATGATGCCTTTTATATTAAACCGAATATTGCACGGCGGGCTTTCCGCAGAATTGACTTCCCTTTTTTCAACAGTTCTGGTATTTTAAAAACTCTTCAAATCAAAAGTTTACTGTTTATCAGGTTTTTTAATAAATTTTAGGTTTCGAGCATCACTAAAGACACACAAACAAGAGACATAACGTCCAGTGCCAAATATTTCATGCATTATTTGAACGACATCATGTTAACAATAAATACTGTACATAGGTTTTATTATCATACCGGGAATTTAGGATTAGGCCTAAATTTTTACGGTTATTCGGGATTAACACTAGTTGGGGTTTTAATCTAAAAATTTAAGAGCCAGTAACAACCAATTTTTTTATGACTTCAGTAAGAAACTACTTCAATCTCCGTTATGTAAGAGGCCGTTTTAAATAAAAGTTGCGGAAATTAAAAAACTGATTTGATATCTACAGTTTAACTGAGCATGGCTGCTTACATTTACATCCACCTTAGCCGAACAGACGCCCCCACTTTAACCCAGGTTATACTGCTGGTTTAAAAAAGACCTAAAGTAATTTATTTCTATTTTTTTAATGAAATAGTAAAATGAGTATACGTTAATGAAAAAGCAATAACCAAATTTATAATATGGACACGAATGATAGTTCCAGTAAAGGAAAAAAATTAAGCTTGATATGGACACGTTTGGGGGGATTGGACACGTTTGGGATATTGGGCACGTTTGGGTGTTTATACAAATGACACGCTTTGGCGCCCTTTTACATTAGGACATGTTTTGCAGTTCAGTGACGTCATGTGGACATGTTTGGGGGAATCGGACACGTTTGGGGGGAAGGACACGTTTCTGAGTGTTTCACATGTAGTTTTGTTTTTCTGTTGTAGAATGATCATCCAAAACTATATTTCACACATAAAGAATGGGATAATATGAATGGAGCTTGGACATTCTTTCCAATATTTAAACTGTAAGTGACAACGCTGTCTATGTTTATTTTTAGAAAAAGCTGAGAAGAGAGATAAATGATACCAAAGGAATAGTCAAACTCATAAGTCGAAAACAAACTCATTGCCACAAATTTAGAAAGATTGTGTTATATTTAGTTTATGTAATTCTAAAATGTTTTCCTCTTTTAATATTCTTTTCTCTCTTTTTTGAAGGTATCTTGCACATATTCATATTTGAAAAGGAGTAGGTTCAATAAGGCCCTTAAATGGTCTGGATCGATCCCTATTTCTAGAGCTACAATTTAAAATTAGGATTTATTGACTTATATCTCAATGAATCATAGCTAATACAAAGAGTAGATAGGAAACTTGTCTTATTTGTAAATTTATGTACTTGTGTTTTGTTAATGAGGTCACAAATAGCATTCATTTTGATTCTCCAAGAAAATTCAATGAAAACGGGTAAATTTCCATTACAGGAAACATGGAGTGCATGCATCGACAAAAAGATCTTTTAACATAATGTTTGTTATAACATTTTACATATCTGACTTGAATATTTAGTTTTTCGACGACTGCACTCTTTGTTTCCTAGACCTTCATTTGGTTGAAATCAGGATGATATTATCATATTTCAGGGGTAGAAATAAGAAAATACCATTGACTTGCCCAAAGGGCAAGTCAATATCTAGATTAACTTGCCCTACCAATGAGCAAATATTTCAAAAATTTTGTCCGATCATGACAATATTTTACTGTGAAATACTGTCCATGAAAATAATTCTTAATCTAATCATATCTTCCCTGAGAAATCACTTGCAATGAAATTGTGAGCATTTCTGGAATTTTTAAAATATTTTTCATGAAAATTATGTGTATAACCAAAAAATGCTGCATACATTAATTATGCAGGTTTGTTTGTTATAATCAATCAAATTAAACAATTGAATGATATCATTATCCAAAATATTAAATGTTTATAACCTCTCTTTCATGAGACAAAATTTCATGACAATCCATCTATGAAATATTGTGTCAATATACACAATATATAACCTTGGATTACCTCCCTTTAACAAGACAAAATTTTATACTATCCATCTATGAAATATAGTCTGTATATGGACAAATTTTCACAGGGAAATTAGTCCATCTCTGTACTTTATTTCATAGATGGGGACAAAATTTCATGATACAAAGTCATGAAATTTTCTCTTGGGGGACAATATTTCAAACGACAATATTTTGTTTTACACTGTTTTTCTTTTAGAATTAGTGTCATGAATTGTATGTCTTCCAGTTTCTTATAATAAGAAATTTTAATGATTGAATCATTTAAAAATGCCAACAATACAGGATCAGTAACATTGAAATGTGTATTAAATGAACAGACCTTTTTGTACTGTCTTGAGTTGCTCGCTTTTAGGAAGGAAGCTGTAAATAATAACAATAATAATAATAATAATAATAAATTCTTTATTTAAAGAGGGTAAACACAGTTAGTTACAATAAACTTATCTTCCCTGAGGCCCTCACATACAAATTACAATACAATCAAGAACAGATATTTACACATAGTTAATTTACAGTCAAGGAGTTCAATGTATTATTATTAACATGATAAGATATAAAGCTGTTCAAGAGGTACATGTAGTAAAAAATAAAGAAATAAAATAAAAATAAAAAATATATACAAATACATTGTAGAAAACAGAATCTTATCAGGACTTATCTTATCAGTAAACACTTGTTGGTGTTGTTTATTTTCAAAGTAAGAAAATTCAGAAGATTGAGTTGTCTTAAGATGACCTTCTGGTAGCGTCTGTATCTCCTTTGATTGAAGTGGGTTAAAACTTATCACTGTGATTGTTTTCCTTTTGACCTTTTGTTTATTCGTTGCACCTTATATGGGGATCCAGTAGGGTACCCCCTTATCATCAGTTATGTCACAAGGTCATGTTTAAAAATCGACACATATTTATTTGAGTTCAATGAAACTTTAATAGAACCTTAGAACAATAGTATTCTTCACCTTCTTTTGTTTTATCTTGGTCATTTCCCATCCAAGACATGGAAGGAATATAAAAATTATATATATACAAATGAGGTAGCTGGAGGATATATATTTGGAGTTAAATATTTCTAGTTTAGTAGAGTTTCAATATATAAGCAGGTCAACATTAATTTAAAGATAATGGATGCTTAAAATACAAATCTACCAGGTCTATTGAATATGCCTTTCATAGCTTACTATGGGGTATGGGGTCGATCATTATTGATGGTGTTCCTGTGACAGACCTATAGTTGCTTACATCTATGTCATTTGGTCTCAGGTGGATAGTTATACCATATCTCCTTATTTTTATATGTAATACTATTGATTAATTACCACTAAATATTAAGCACCAATTAAATTGGTTATAACTTCAATATTTTGTGAATAGAAAGACATACATACATTTAAACTATGTTTTGCTAGCTGACTAGAGATGTTATATGTACAATAAACTGAAATAATACTTACATGTAATGGTGAAAATATTTCAACAAATTTTATGATTGCTAATATAAACTTCTGTATTTCTGCAGTTTAGAAGAGGAGTTGGATGACAAAGCTTGGGTGTTCATATGTGAAGAAGACACAAGATTAAATATACAAAAACTTACTAAAGTTCTTAGTAAATTTGACCATGAAGATGTGAGTAATATCATGGGAAAAAAGACTATATTAAAAGCACCAATTGTATCCTGTACGTAACTTTTATCAATATGTGCTACTAAATAGTTAGTAAAATAATTTAATAACTTTTGGAAAGTAATCCTAGTTTTTCATAAATTGTTTTGTTATATAGATCAGGCTGTTGGTTTTCTGGTTTGAATTGTTTCACATTTCTCATGCCAGGGCCTTTTATAGCAATATACATTATGTTGTTTTTTTCATTGTTGAAGGTGGTACGATGGCCATAATTGCTTCTTTTCAGTCGTCCCACACTCTGCTCAGCTCTTAAAAGAATTGCATATCACGGCTTTGTGGCATTAAATACGTTGACTGGGCCTTAATAACTTTGACCTGGATATATCACCGATGTTATAATGAATAATTTGACATTGATAAGTTTGACCTGAACTTATCAAATCATCTTTTGGTTTGCTGGTGAAAAGAAGACAACACTTGTTTCTATCATGCAAAATATGCAAATACAACCTGATAATCAGTACCTACCACTTCATTTTAACTCCTCATTTGCAATCATAAAACATCTCCTCATTTTTATACTAATTTTAAAAACGACATTGCTACAAATGGTGTAAATGTAATTGGATTGATCATTTACGCAAAGTAAACTAATTAAATTTCCAAGTTACTGACTTCATCCCTGAATGGGGGTTTGAACTCTTTTATGACTTGTTTAATCAATTGTACAAATATTTTCAGTTTGTGAAATCATTTTAAAATTTAACTTTTACAGACCATAAATAGTTATTAAATTTTTTACTAAAGAATAAAGTACAAAAGTACATGTAGTTGATGCTTCTACAGGTTGGTTTATGACCTGAATTATGATATGAATTAGAAAGTTAAAAATAAATTGACCTACACAGTCCTACAACAGTGCCCAAAAATGAGGTTGGATGGAAAATCAGCTTATCACCAACACCACTTTGATAGAAAACACAAAATTTTCAAATAAATTTGTCACTCCAATTATAAGTTTGTTAGTTGATGAATACCACATGTTTAGTTTTCTTGATAATTGGTGGTAAGTGTTGCATGAATGAATTAATAGTAAATACAAATGTGAATATTTAGTTAATTACAAATGTAAACATGTAATACAAATTATAAATTATTGGAAGACATTGAATTTGTTTTAATGTGTAGGGAAATATAACATCACAAACTTTCCTTCATCCTTTTTAATTATAAATTTCCATGATTAGTTATAAAAATTATAATAGAATAATCAAAATTTCAATTAATTTCATTGTTCCTGTTCTGGAATGTTAATATCAGAAATTGGACACATTCTGTATTATCATCTCTACTGTTATTACAAACTCATTTTTTTAGTTTTAAATATCTGTCCCTTTATCAGCATCAAATGACAGATTTACAGCTTTAGCTAACCATTTTATAATTGTGAGAAGATATGAAATTTTCATTCTGAAGGGTTTGAATGTAAGACTGTACACCTTCAGAGTCTTAAAAAATTGACCAAAATCACTTGAAAAAATGTATAGACCCTCAGACAAACCTTAATTGAAACAACACCAAAATAGAAGAAGAAAGGGTCTATTTCAATTCTAAACCTTATAACATGTAGTTTCCATTTAATGGATCAGCCTTTTAAAAGGAATATCTTTAATTTTTTTAAAGCCTTGCATGTAATTATTTACATTTTCAATTTTTTCAGGACTACTTTCTAGGCCACGCTTTACAAGACCAACAAGCCACTATTATACATCACTATGCATTCCATGACAATCCAAAATCTTTCTCTTATCCAGATATTGGTGCTGGTGTTGCACTTAGTAATTCACTGTTTACAAGGTAAATATATGTTATATGTCGACATGCAATCTTTGGTAATCTATATTAAATTCACTCACAACTTGTCTTTACTCATTGAAAGGCCCAAATGATACCAAACTTTGATAGGGGCCTTAGTAGTTTATCTACTATATCACTAGCCTTTCAACAATGAGGTTATGAGTTCAAACCTCACACGTGGCAAATGCATACGACTCTAAACTTAATTGACTAGGTTTGCCAATTTTCCATTTGGAAGATTGTGGTTTTTACCAGGCACTCTGGCTTCCTCCACCAATAAAAACTGGCCTGCATGATATAACCAATGGGGATGAAAGTACCGTTAGACACATGCAATCAATCAATCCAAACTTTGCTAACTACAAAACTTTGCTATAAAATTAAAGAAATAAAGCAAAATTCTGAAAAAAATCCTACCAAGGGCCAGCTGCTATGACTCTTAGGTAGATGATACAATTGTGATCCATAGAAGTATTTTTGACAGCTTTAACAGCATGGTCAGAAGACACTTGCTAAAAACAAAAAGAATCAAGATTAAATTACTTTTTTGCTAAAACATTTTCATTAAGAGATATTCTTTAGACAGGTTTGAAATATAGGCCCTTTGAAGCCAATATGTCACTTTAAAGTTTCCTAAAAGCTTTTTTTTAATTATTTTTATTCAGAATTGGTGAGAATTGGCCAGATGAAGAGTATAGACTTGATTTTTCCATCGATCCTAAATATGAGGTAAATGATGATTAAGTATGATACTTTTTATAATTTTATAAAAATGTTAGAAATGATAAAAAAAAAAAGAGTTTGAAAAAAATATGTGGATTTATTCAAAATACAGAATAATGCACATAATATTTATTCTAATGCAAAATATTTGTAACATATCTTTTCACAGTCTACTGTTTAACATCAGACCAACATATCATTACTATGAGTTTCACTTCCAGTGAACCACTGTATAATTGTTAATTAATCATATCGCATAGCGCATTAAAGAGTGACATATATAAAATGAAAATAAAATGTTTTTATACTTAAGTATTCTATTTACTTTCTGAATTCTCAGATATCTTAATTAAACTATTTCTAGTTAGCCAGGTATATTGATAACGATGGTAAAGGTGTGAAGATGACGGACATTAAACAGCTGTGTACCACCAGGTCATCAAAAGGCTGTGCAACTTGGTATCCAACTCCATTCCCTGATTGTGTAAGTCATATTGTAAATGAAATGATAATTAGAAAAGACAGACCCCAGTACTCAAGACTACTTAAATGGAATGAATTGTTAATTAAGAAATCTGCATGCATGAATAAAAGATGATGTGGGGATAAATGTTAAGGCGACAACAACCTAGAAACAACTAAATTGGACATCTAAATGCCACAGCATGGTCCAATGATGGACATGCACCAACACCATGTAGCCAAAAGAATGAATAAATAAGGAAGATTTTGATAGTTGTGTTAACTTTGATGAAGGTTTGAATGTTGGACTGCTAATTGACAATTAAGCGATACTGACCTTTTTTAATATCCTGTTAGCAATCAGGAATCAATAAAGATTTGTGAGAAGATGTGAGAAAAGATTTTTTAGAGTTAACGATTCACTAATAAATAACTACAAAAAATTTTTTAAGTATAGACGGGTTTATCTGTAATTGACCTAGAAAACATGGGCGCATCCATTAACATCTCACGTGACCGATCCGCCATTACAACCGTGAAAAATAACGCACGTGTATTGATCAAAACATTATCGATTTTCTGTTTACATTTGTATTTCTTTCGTTTTCTGATTTATTTTACTATGGATGCTGCCGAAAGTTATAAAAAACACGGAAGCATTTCTTGTGCAGTTAATAGTTGTATAAATAATCGTAAAAAACTTCAGGTGTGGAAAAAATCAATATGCGAATTACACAACGAGTTGCACAATGACTGCCCTCGTTTGATTCCATATACGTCTTACGTGATGCCTTCAGACGAGCCAACAAACCTGAGTGGATCAAAGCCGTATAAACATAAAAAAAAACTCTGCATAAACAGGTTTTTGTATGATCCAGACATTTTTTTTTGGATGATGCGCCACTGCACGACAATCTGGTTTTTTTTAAAAATAAAACTTGTTATGAAAGTAACTCTGACCGACGAATGTTTACATGTTGTAAAACGACTGTTAAAAACTTAAATTAATCTATAAAATTAAATCCGATGACTACAGTGCATCTGCCTCTTTTTGTATAGAAAATCCACCGCGACATCAGATGGGGATCCAGGATTTTGAAAAAAGGGGGAGGGCGCCTGCCCCCAAACTTTTGTAGTGGAAGCGGTAAAATGTCTGGATTAACCATAAATGAAGCTAATAACAATGAAACCTACCCCGAGGCTACATGTAGTAATAATTGCAAGCAAATCAACCCAGTGTGAAGAGACGAACTTTTTTCATTCATGACTTCTATAGTATCTTTATGCTGCAAAATAGACAGACATTCCGACAATATTAACTCAGACAAAAATATTGTTAACAGAGGAGTAAGGAGTTCAAAATTAAATAAAAGGGGAGGGGGAACCTCGTCAGCCGTTTAAGAAATATTATGAATGACAGTGACGCCTTATTGTATATTTATGTAACTACGTTTTCTTTAATTTAGTGGAATTACTACACAATTTAATTTTCAACTACGGTATTGCAAATCAGCTGTTGCTCGATCGTACTGATGAGGGTAATACTTAGTTTGATATTTGGTTATTTGGGACAGCGCTTTAATATTTCGAAAAGTAAGGCTTGTAAAATATTTTATTCCTGGGTGCAGTTCTTGCTGAAAAACTTAAAGGTTTTATATATATATATGTAGGTCTGTGTGCTTATGGTATATTTTCACTTTATTTTCTTTTTAAGACGTATACAGTTACTTCTGTTGATTTGAACTTTCCTCAGTAGATTATTCTGTGCATGAATTCTAAAATTTTATACATTAGAAAGGATTTTTCAAAGGTCTAACTCTCAAGGTAATCAAATAGTTTACTAGAACCTACGAAAGCGTAGCTATACCGGTAATCCGACAACCCGAAATTCCAACACTTCAGTAGTCCGACGGTCCGATATACACCCCTAATGTTATATTGTAATACTGTATTTCACTGTATTATATACATCGGGGACTTATATAAGAGTCTAATACGGATTAGGGATGAAAATCTACGAGACCTCTGTTTTGGAGTGGTTGGGAGGGGAGTTGGCAAAACACTAAATGACGCTTCTAAAACATAACTAATCATCGCTTTGAATTTACATGTTGGAGTCTTTGATGGTTTAATGGCATTCATTTATATTAAGCATGGATCATGATGTTATATACTATACATACTATAGTAGTTGTATGTCGAGTAATTTTCTGCAAAAGAAATTGTAATCGAACACATAATAACTATAGGAATACATGGGCCGTGAAAGTTGAAAACTTCTTAAGCCCATATTCTAATCGCAAAGTTTTATCTACATATGGCCCGACGCATCGATAGCATCATAGCGCAATTCATGCTGACACCAAAGTAATACGAAAATGTCACTCAGTTTTGAGCATTATACGTGAGTCAAGCAAAAAGCACAAAACTCTCGTCTCTGTAGGACCGTCTGATTAGTGCATTGTTAAATTTTAGGACTGTCTCATTATAGGTCTGACCACAGAAATTTCTATGATTTGATAAAATTGCACCCTGGTTTTTCTGATATATCACATAATCGACCGGTCAAGACTATTTATTTTTTATTTACGATGCATTATAATTATTAATATTATGGTTACCAAATGATTGTAATCGACATGTAACCTGGGATTAGTATTCGTATAAAATTTATTATGTCCCGCGTGTAACATATCAAATACAGTTATATTTTAAGGACACGACACCTGGCCTGCAATACACTAAGAATCCTTATCTAATTAATTTATTATTTATAGCACATATAATTTTGCCGAGGTCAAGTACGACTTCACATTCTTGTGTTTACATTTAATTATATGCGGTCAGGGCATATAGATCTATATCTTATATTTTTCACGGTTGTAATGGCGATCGTACTACATTGGTAAGGAATAAAGCATTTATTTATAAAATTAAGATTTTTCTAAAAAATATTTATACTTTTAGGGAAAAGAAATTCATGAAGACAAGCTTTTTGTTGCAGTGAAGACATGTGAAAAATTTCACAAAGACAGAAGTAAGTGTTCGTTACTGATTATCTCCCTTTACTAAGTTAACTTGTGAAAAAAGGGTTTTATTTTCTCTATTTACAAGTGGCTTATATGAGTTCATAAAAGTTTTAAGTTCATGAGGAAATAATTATATGAACCATTTATCCCCATCAAATCTTAGCAGAGCCAAAGTAAAAAAAAGATAAATAACCATGTTTGAGAATTTGGCTAAAAAGATGTTACTTGATATTGGTTATCTCCCCTTCACTCTTTTAGAGTAGACATTTGACCAATAGATGTGTATCCCATTTACCCCAAAAGTTATTTTCTGTGAAATATGAAACTTTCAATAGACAACTGAAGATAATTTAGAAACAATATATATAATTCAAGAGGTGAACACAAACTTTCAACATTTTTAAATATCAGTTGTGATTTTCTAGTGATATTATCTTTGTGATGGACATTGTTTCTAAAAAATAGTGAAATACATCTGTTGATGTTAAAAATCATGTTTGCTGATATTTACAAAAGTGAACACTCTCTAATACCATTAGTATTATTTGTACAAGAATCCATTTTAATCTTTTTTTCAGTACCTGTAGTTAAGGCAACATGGGGTAATACAACAACACATATAGAATACTACAGTGAGACAGAAGATACAGATATACCTACAGTGGATTTGGGTATACCCAACACAGAAAGAGGTACAATTCTTTATTATATACTTAAAGGTATTCAGATTTATTGTTGATAGTTTCTGGAGGACACATATATCAATGAATATTTTAATATTAAAGTGCAATGTGAATTATAACAAACAATTATGTTGATTTTCAGCCAGCCAAATTGGCTTATGATGCACTGTATATATCTTAGTATTTGTCTTTTTACATGAGATAACTTTGCTCAGTGATATTTTTTAAATGAACGAAATAAAGTTTATGAAGATATTTTTTATATTTTACAGGGCACTGTGGGAAAACAATGTCTATAATAAACAGATTTGATAGTCGTCCTGACTTCCAAGGTTATACTTGGTTACTCATTGCTGATGATGATACTATTATCAAGTAAGGACTGACAATTAATTGATCAATTACTTTAGAATTGTTTTATAGAATTTTGATAAATGCTGACTTCAAAAAAAGAAATCAAGCTTGATTAGGGATGTTGAAAGGGAGTTTTCATGCCAGGCTGTAAGAAGTCTGCAGACTGTATTATAGTTGCACACTAACATTATAAAAGGTAAACAATGCATAAAATACATTGTTGTAAATGATTAAAGTGTTATTGTTCATCTATGCTCAGAATATAAAAATAAGGAGATGTGGTATGATTGCCAATGAGACAACTATCCACCAAAGTTCAAATGAAGTGGAAGTAAGCAATTTTAGGCAACTGTATGGCCTTCAACAATGAGAGAACCCCCTAATGTATAGTCGACTATAAAAGGCCCTGGCATGAAGAATTTGTGAAAGTATTCAATTGAGCAAACTACCAGCATAATTACTGTGACTTGACTGTAAGTGTTGCTCTCCACCTATTGCAATTTATTCTAAATTCTGACCAAATTGCATTTTGTTTTATAAAACCAAACTGTTCAGAAATTGAAATAACTGCTGTATAAAACCACAGTCAAGTCGTGAAAGTGTAAGGTGATAAAATAAAGCATACTTACAATCCTATAAGATTTTAATTCCACTTTAATGACATTATGAAAAATCAGTCTAACAATTTCTATACAAATTTTATTGTAATTGTCATGCTAAAGGTGATAGTTAGTAATTTTGAATTGCTATAAAAATGTCCAAACTAAGCTTTCATACAAAAGTGAAATTACAATACGTTGTTAATTAGTTTCCATGGGAGATAATCTAAAATCATTATTCTTTTGAATATAGAAGACTTTTTTCGAAAGAAAAATTGATTATCTCCCATGGAAACATCCTAACAACGTATTGTAATTTCACATATATTTTACTAAATATAAGATGTTTTAATTCAAATGATGTCTGATTCTTATGAATAAAGAAGACTTTTTAGAAAGAAAAATTGTATGAAAGCTTAGTTTGGACATTTTTATAGCAATTCAAAATCACTACTTATCACCTTTAGCATGACAATTACAATAAAATTTGTATAGAAATTGTTAGACTGATTTTTCATAATATCATTAAAGTGGAATTAATGTCTTAAAGGATTGTAAGTATGATTTATTTGATCACCTTGCACTTTCACGACTTGACTATGGTTTTCTACAGCGGTTTGTTCAAATTTCTAACCAGTTAAACAGTTTGGTTTTATAAAACAAATTGCAATTTGGTCAGAATTTTTGAATAAATTGCAATAGGTGGAGAGCAACACTTACAGTCAAGTCACAGAAATAACAAAAAATTTAAAAAAAAAAACAAATATGACAGACATGAACCAACAGAAACCACTGAATGCATTCTTTTATGTGTCTCATACCAAAGCACTGACTACTGATGCTCTAGTGGCATGTGAAAGAAAAATGTGAAGAAGACATAATCTCAAATTGTTTAGCACAAGTAAATCATACAGCTGCATAGACTATTCTTGTTAATTTTTAAAATTAGACTGTTTTCTCATTCAAAAGCTAGTTTTGATTTTATATATTGTTTTATGTTGTATTGACCATGAATGTTATATGAATTTCAGTTTAAAAAGGCTAAGAAAGTTATTAGCATGTTATGACTCAAAGGAACCTATTCATCTTGGGGAAAGATATGGCTATAATGTTGCCAAGTATAGATGGGGATATGATTACATCACAGGAGGGGGAGGGTAAGTGAATTATCAAGTGAACTCAAACTTAGCAAATGAGTTTTTATCCCACACCTCCAATTAAAAGTTGGATGTCCTTGTGTAATATTATGTTACAGATGGAATCTGTTGATTGTCTTGTTTATTTAACTTAAACTGGTGATGATAGAATTACAGTCTATGGACTCAGAATATGTCCAGCAAAAATGTAATTGTCCAAAGTTTCTTTGTCATTCCTTTAGATATTTAGGTAGTTTTTAGTATGCTGTTTTATACTGATGATGGTCAATACAACATTGAACCCTGTTTGATAAATTGGCATGTGATGATGTTTATATGCCTAAAAGAAAGACCAAAAAAAAAATGCTCATATAGTTAAATTTGCATAATTTGACTCTTTGCGACTGTAAAATGCAGCAATTACTAACACACATTAACATCCTTTTACACTTTTTAAAAACGGTTTTTATTTGCAACATTTATAAAAACATCATATTGTATGCTCTATAGTAAACTATACTGTAAAGTGGTTATTTTTTGCAGAGTTTTAATTTCACAATTTTTAGGCCCAACCCTATTAACGAGATTTTATTTTTGCACAAACCTACAACTGTCTAGATGAAGAACATCATTAAAGCACTGTCTTTTGATTTATTGGTTGTCTGCTAATATATTTGTTCCATGAACAAGTGCATCATATCCTTCCTTTTGAATATCACAACCTTTTGCCCTCCATTACAGCAAATATCTGTCTTCTATTAAACTCTGAGGGAGAATTAATTGATATTTGTTAAACAGGTCTTAAAACCCTTCTAACATGCGTCTTAACTCATATAGCTCTTCATGTGTTTCGGTACTTTTACATTCTTGGCTTTCTGATGTTTGGCTCTGAGCTTTCATGAAGCAGGTAAATACAGAAAAGCACTTTGAATGCATAAAATTTATAAAGTGTCATTTTCATTGATAGGATGCTGTTGAGCAGAACAGCAGTAAACATAATGAAAAAGAACAACCTGATCAACTGTAATACTAATGAATCTCCTGATGATATGACCTTGGGAATGAAGCTCAAGGGCATTGGTATACCATTAACTCATACTATATATCTACATCAGGTAAGTGTTACCATGGTAATAGAAAAGGTAACAAGAGTGCATACACTGAAATGTCTTGCCTGCTTTACTTTAATATCATGATTGAATTCAAGTTGAAAATCTGTAATATGAAGGTTTTACTACAAGTATCACATAAATTTAACATTATCAATGATCCATGTAAATAAAGGCAAGGTCAGATGAACCCTGTCAGACAGACATGTACACCTAACAATCATTCCATACACCAATTACTGGTGATATATTGCTTATAGTATCTATGAAAAAGACCAAAACAGGAAAAATTAACATTGACCAATGAACCATGAAAATGAGGTCAAAGTAAGATGAAACCTGGCAGTCTGATATGTACACCTTACAATCATTCTAGGCACCAAATATAGTAGAGCTATTACTAATAGTATCTGAGATATGGACTTGACCACAAAAACTTAACCTTGATCACTGATCCATGAAACTACTGTAATCATGGATATTTTCACAGATTTTTTTAGAAGGTGTTAAATTCACTCATGGAACTGTAAATGGGTCTTTTGTATCAACATGGTTGAATAACCTATCAGATCATTGCAATTGGTGTTGCATTTATGACTCTCGCCTTCCAATTTTATTTATTTTCATGAAATTTGTGAATGGGAATCATGCAAATCAAACTTTTAAATGTTAAATGTTTATGCCTCAAATAATACAAATCTTGTCTCTGTCTTAAGGCCAGATTAGAAGATTACAGTCCAGAATTCCTCCGACCCAGGACACATGTCTCATTCCATAAACACTGGATGAACGACCCTTATAAAGTGTATGATTATTTAATGAAAGAACCAGTAGAAGAACCAGTCACAGAAGAAGGACATGATGAGTTGTGATGAAAGCCATGTTAGGATTTAAAATCTGATTATTATTTAATACTGTAAATTCAAAAATTTTTTTGATGTTATTATTATTGTTGAAAAATTTATGTCGCTAAAGTGAGACATAGTGATCCTAGATGTCGGCATCAATGGCGTCAACATGTAGGTTCAGTCTGTGGTTAAAGTTTTTTAGACATCAATAACTTTGTCAAACCATCAGGGTAATTTAGGAAATTTAGACAGAAGCTTGTTTATGACCAAAAGACAGTATCCAGAGTAAAATTTTTAAATATTTATTTTCACTTTTCCGTATTTTACTGATAAATGGACTTAGTTTTTTTACAGTTAGCATTTCCTGAAATCACAATAATAATTTTTGAATTTTCAGTTTTACAAGAAAGAAATGATAATATAAAACTTGTTATAAACAGAATTATGTTTCGTACTGACAAAGGTGAAATTTAGCTTTGAGGCCTGTTCTTACCTTAGTAAATGGTAAACCTAAATATTTTATTATTCAGTTGTCTGGTTTTAATAAAATTCTGATCCAACTTGACATATTAATTCATATATATTTAGATATACCAAGCATGATGTTGAGAATTGGTTTTTCAATGAGATACTTTCTCAGTATCAAACAAAAGAGTTGAAATAATATTTTATTTCCATATGTCATATATTTAATCTTACATGTGCGATGTATCAGGATACACACACACACTTTCTTTTCATTTTTTACAAAGAGAAAATAAAATCTGTTTGAAATGAAATTTATAAATATTGTTGATCACTGAACAATATCATGATTGTATAATTCCCATTTACATTCCTATAGACATGTATTCAGCATAAGAAGGTTGTTTGTTATATTAGTCCAAGTCTGATATTGAGAATTATATCTAGAAGAAAATGTGTATGTACCAATACACATGTATTAACAAGTGCCTAATTTAATTTGAATCTCATATTTACCTGTTTTACAAAGTTATTCAGGGCAATATAAATGTATATAGATTATTAGCATGTAAGAGAGAGATCTTTTCTGTTTATGAAAGAGGAAATGCTGAATGAATGTACAAGACACAAAGTATTATACTAGATAAAGCCAGAAGTAGCATTTATTTTTGCTTATTGCATCTTCTGTTTTACCATTCTGTTATGAAGGGATTACTATTTTTGAGAAAATTAATATGATTCTGAGATTTTTTTGTGATTTTACTTCTTTTTTTTTAAGGAAAGGGGGGGGGCACTTATAATTACATGTACTTAATTAGATTTGATATATTTTCTTCTGAAGTTTATAAAAAAAAAGATACCAATAAGGCAATCAAAGATCATAAGTCAAATAAGGTCAACCAACACTATGACCAAAAGCTAAAAGATGAGAGATAGTATGCAAAACAAAAACATAGAAAAGTAATGACTGAGCAACACAAACCCAATCAAAATTGTTGTTTAAACTCGTGTGCACCAGTTGAGTAGACAGTTCTAACTCAATTGATGGCACCCTTTATTATTGTTATTTTTAATGTATAATTCTAATTAATAGTGCAGTGATGATTTTGTCAGTTATTTTTTTCATCTGAAATTGACACTTTTGAAAAGGGTGGAGGATAGCTTTATTTCTACAAACGATATTCTTTAAAGTCAAAATCATCCATGTAATAGAAAAGGTAATCATAATATTCAGATTTAAAGTAGATTAAGTTTATAAATAGAAAGTAGATTTTAGTTTTATTTTTTCTTCAAATCATTAAAACTCTTATATAAGTTTTCATTTTGCTTTAATTCATGAAAACAAATCTGTTACTACTGTTCTCATTTATCCAATCGTGTATTAAAACCAAATTAGAACTAATGTACCATTGGGTTTTATTATAAAAAGTTAAACAATTTGTTTAAACATTTTTAGTCAAATAACAGTTATATTTTCCTTGCCGAACTATCATGGTCTGAAGCTTTAAAAGTAGTTTAGCATACATGTACACTTTATTTGATAGAATTGTAGTTGGACCATATTCGTGTCCATTTTTTATAAATTTTCCTTCAGAACTTTTTTTTAATTGATATTTCAATAAATATTGCAAAATAATTCGTTTTTAACATAGTCAACAGTTGTTGCACCTGCCTAATTTTTTTTTATTTAGTTCTTCATCTCACACTTTGCAAGTGTTTAAAGGTAAAAATAAGGAGATGTGGTATGATTGCTAATGTCAGACAACTATCACCAGAGTTCAAATGACATAGATTAAGACAGTTGCAGCTTTGGGTTTCTGAGTCATTAGCATATTTACAACTGGGTAATTAATGGAAGAGATTTATCATTGTTTTATAGCTTCCACATATACATGTAATGTGAGATACCCGAATTGCACTTATTTTGACAGTTTTTTCCATTCAGTGTTTATTTTGTCGATGTATCCTTATTTACTATATAGTTCCACCAATTTAATTTTGAATCCATATTGAATCAAAGAAAAAATGGTTTGAACCAACCTCCAAACAACCAATGATTCTGTAATGAGGAGTACCCAAATTGCACCCATGCTTTAATTTACATCCGTAAAAATCAAATAACTGATGTTTTGTTTTATTTCTTCAAATATTTAGAACAATTTGACAATAGTCCATGCTTACTATTCATTTTTAGCTCACCATTCCGAAGGAACTGTGAGCTTTTGCCATCACTTAACGTCTGTCGTCGTCCGTCTGGTGTAAACTATTTCAAACATCTTCTCCTCTGAAACTACTGAACTAATTCCAACCAAACTTAAGCTGAATGATTCTTAGGGTATCTAGAATAAAGTTTGTGTTTTATTTAGTGTTTGGTCAAACAACATGGCCGCCATGGCTAAAAATAGAACATAGGGGTAAAATGCAGTTTTTGGCTTATATCTCAAAAACCAAAGCATTTAGAGAAAATCTGACATGGGGTTAAAGTGTTCATTAGGTGAAGTTCTAACAGCCCTGAAATCTGATAACCCATTGTGGGGTTGCTGCCACTAAATTGGTAATTCTGAGGAAATTTTGCAGTTTTTGGTTATTATCTTGAATATTATTAATGATAAAGATAAACTGTGAACAGCAAAAATGTTCAGCAAAGTAAGATCTACAAATAAGTTCTATGACAAAAATTGTCAATTGTCCCCTTAAGGAGTTATTGCCCTTTAAGGACAATTTTACACAATTTGTTTATCATGTTTTCTAACTTTAAAAAATCTTCTTCTCTGAAACTACTGAACCAATTCCAACGAAACTTAAGCTGAATGATTCTAAGGGTATCTAGAATAAAGTTTGTGTTTTATTTTCTGTTTGGTAAAAAAACATGGCCGCCATGGCTAAAATTGAACGTAGGGATAAAATGCAATTTTTGGCTTACATCTCAAAAACCAAAGCATTTAGAGCTGATCTGACATGGGGTAAAAATGTTAATTAGGCCAAGCTCTGTCAGCCCAGAAATTTTCAGATGAATCTAACAACCCATTGTTGGATTGCTGCCACTTAATTGGTACTTTTAAGGAAATTTTGCAGATTTTGGTTATTATCTTGAATATTATTAATTATAAAGATAAACTGTAAACAGCAAAAATGTTCAGCAAAGTAAGATCTACAAATAAGTTCTATGACCAAAATTGTCAATTGTCCCCTTAAGGAGTTATTGCACTTTAAAATCAATTTTTCACAATTTGTTCATTTAGTTTGCTTACTTTAAAAAATCTTCTCCTTTGAAACTGCTGAATCAATTTCAGCCAAACGTGGGCTGAATGAGTTTCAGAGTATCTAGTATAAATTTTGTATTTTATTTTCTTGTACGTCAAGAAACATAGCCACTATGGCTAAAATGAAACATAGGGGTAAAATGTATTTCTTTGATTTTGAAGAAAATATGACAGATACAAAGAACATTTCAATGGAAGTTTTAAGCCATTCATTAATATATATTGAAATGCAAAAATAATCATTGATGAAAGATTTAAGCAAAAAATTACAGGTGAGCAATTCAGGCTCTTGAGAGCCTCTTGTTTAAGAAATGGATGCCTGTAACATATTTAATTGCTCATTTTTAAAAGTTGACTTTTTGTGGACATTGCATGGCGACGTTTCCGTAGATTTATTTTTTGGGGTGAATTCTTCATCTGTTGATATATACTGTGAACATTTTATGTATATCTAAATATATCTAGCTATGTTGAAAAACGTGCATAATGTCAAATCATAACAATACAAATGGTTTAGTCTTAAAGAAAACTTGTAAGATTTCTGTTTCCATTTTTTCTAAATGGATGCAATTTGGGTACTCAGTGCAATTTGGGTACTGAAATTATACTTTTTGTACCAGGAAAATCTTGTGTTTTGCTTACTCAGGGTTAGGTGATTTCCTGTTTTCATAATAAAAGTATCATGCTGTGATGTGCTATGATTCTTATGATGTCTAAAAAAGACTGTTGATGTTAAAGGAATATAAGACTTTGGTGAAAGAGTATTGTAGCTTTTATTTCAAACTCAACATTTTTTTTTCTCTAACCTTTAAACTAAACATTTAAATTAGGAGTTGTTTATTGTAATTTTACAGCTACCATATATGATACCAAAAATGAAGTCTCAAAGTGCTTTTAATGATGTTTATGTTTTTGAATGAGAGTTTCCCCCCCCCCCCCCCCCCCTATATATCACTTTTGATGATGTTATACCCCAACTCTAGGAGAGGGGATTGTATTCCAATCAACTGTCCATTCGTCCATTGTTTAAACAAATATTTTTGTCATAGTCTTTTCTCATGAATTACTGAACAGATTGACTTCAGATTTGGTCAGCAGCTTGACTGAGTTTTATATTCTTCCTGTTTGCCAATACTTTGATTTTTTCAATAAGTTGATTGAAAACAGATATTTTGGGCAAAAAAAATTTAACAAAATGACTTCATATTTGGTCAGCAGCTTGACAGTGATGAGGTGTAATATTTCAGTCTTTTTCAGATCTGTCTGACACTTCTTCCTGTTTTCAGATATTTGAATTACGAGCTGGCGTATGCAACATGTACAACTTTGTTATTTTGTGTTTTTTCTACACTGTTTTCTTTATGGATAATGCAATTCTGTTTTACACATTTTTTATACAATATTTATTAATATTTTACTATTGCCAAATAAATATATCAAACAGTATTTAATTTATTTTTTATCTGAATTCAATACAGCAGTTTTTTCCATCATTTTTATGGACTAGTATGGAAATGAGGTGACTGCCATATATAAATCAGCAATGCACCAATATTCTTGCAATACAGGTAAAAAAAATATTTGATGACTAGAGTAAGGCAGGCTTTTCAATGATACTGAATTGAAGTACTTTAATGTGACAAGAAATCTTGCGAGATTTCCTGTCAAGCATCTCGTTCATCATTTGGCTTGCCTATTAAATGGCAGAATTGTTCTCACTTCCAAATTTATGTCTGTATTTAGTAAGTTTTATAAAATAGCATTACATAGCATACATGTTCATCATGATGAGAAAAGAACCACCAAATTATGGTTTAGACCCAGCTTTGCAGTTAGCTGAACATGGAACATATCGTAGTTTTAGACAGCTTTTGTACATAAAATATAGAAAATTGCTCTAACAGAAGGTCTTCGAATTGCTGGGCTTGAGTAGCACGAATGCCAGAAAAGTAGGGTTATGATCAAAATTCAGTACATACACCAAAAACTGAAAGTGGTTAATATGTGGTCTATGCAGACCCTATCCCTCTGTGATACTGTTTTTATTGAAGACTGAAAAAAAAACATTTCATAAATTGTCTGAAAAATATGACAATGTTATTACTATTGGTGATTTGAATCACAACTGTTTAGAAGAAGAATAGTCTATGCCTCTAAAAACTATGTGTGATGAAAAAAAAAAAAAAAAAAAAAGAAATCGCTCAAGTATGATATATATGGAGGAAAAGAAAATTGATTATAATGCATGGAATTTTAAACCTGTAGGTGTAATACCACCATTGATTTTCCCCTATTAGTCTTTGTTAAATTTGCACTTTTCACAAAATTGTGCAGAATTTATCTTTGTTTCAAATAAAGAAATATTTGGCATGAGTAAAGTTTTATCCTGTCCAGTACGTATATCTACTATAGATAAAATTTCACATAACATTTCATTGCATATAAGAAAATAACCATCACTGGAAGTTAACCAATCAAATTTCACCCCTTTTTTTCCTGTGTACAAGCTTTGGTAACCATGTAACCTCAAGTTTCCAAAATATTCTATAGAAACACCAAATAAAAAAATAATGGTGCTTTGAAACACCCAAAATATATGTTTATGACTCAGAAATTTTTTACTGCAATGAAATGTAGGATTAATTTCCTATAACTGTCAAATTCAAGGGAATATTTTTATTCGACCCTTTTTCGTATGCAACTGGATGTGACGTACTATGATTTGGAGGTATTACACCTGTAACAGAGGAAATTTTAAACCAGTAACAAAGAAGTTAGTGAGTTACAAAAAATAGATGAAATACAAGAAAATATACAGGATATATACTCATATTAAAAGATTCTAGTTAACAAATCAATTGTTTTTCCAGATTACCTGTACCTCAAAGCAGCTCAGGTAGCCCCACTGTTTAAATAGAACAACTCTCTAGAATAAAATGCTCCGCTAGGCGCAGCTTGATACGACCACAGAGGTCGAACCCTGAACAGTTGGGGCAAGTATGGACACAACATTCAAGCTTGATACAGCACTGAATTTGGATTGTGATTAAATATTTGACACAGCACAGGTTTCTGACACAGAATGAATGTGGTCTAAGAACTTAAAAATTTTTAATTTACCTATTCAAACCATATCATTACTATTTGCTTTTATATATAAATCAGAAATAACCAATTTAAAATGGAAAATTTTAAAGAAAAAAAAATCCCCCCCCCCAAATTTTTTGAACCCCCTTATGATTCATCACCCCCAAACTCAATCCCAGCCTTCCTTTTGTGGTATGGTACCTGCAGTACAATTTCAGAGAGATCCATACACTTGAACACAAGTTATTGTCTGGAAACTAGAAAAATGCTTGTTTTTTTGCCCCTTTTTGGCCCCAAATTCCTAATCGTTTAGGGCAATTACCCCCAAACTCAAACCCAGCTTTCCCTTTGTGATATGGAACCTTGTAGTACAATTTCATACAGATCCATACACTTACACACAAGTTATTGTCCTGAAACTAGAAAAATGCTTGTTTTTTGCCCCTAATTCCTAAAATTTTGAAGCAATTACCCCCAAAATCAATCCCAGCCTTCCCTTTATGGTATGGTACCTTGCAGTACAATTTCAGAGAGATCCATACACTTGAACACAAGTTATTGTCTGGAAACTAGAAAAATGCTTATTTTTGGCCCCGTTTTGGCCCCTAATTCCTTAACTGTTGGTACCTTAACCTCCAAAATCAATCCCAACCTTCCTTTTGTGATATGGAACCTTGTAGTTCAATTTCATACAGATCCATACACTTACACACAAGTTATTGTCATGAAACTAGAATAATGCTTGTTTTTTGCCCCTTTTTTGGCCCCTAATTCCTCATATTTTGAGGCAATTACCCCCAAAATCAATCCCAGCATTCCCTGTGTGATATGGAACCTTGTGGTACAATGTCAGAGAGATCCATACACTAACACACAAGTAATGTCTGGAAGTTACAAAAATGCTTATTTTTTGCCCCTTTTTAGCCCCTAATTCCTTAACTGTTGGTACCATAACCCCCAAAATCAATCCCAACCTTCCTTTTGTGGTATTGAACCTTATGGTAAAATTTCATAGAGATCCATTCACTTAAACTAAAGTTAGAGTGCAAAAACCAATGTGTTTTCGGACGATGACGACGACGACGCCGCCAACGTCATACCAATATACGACCGCAAAATTTTTTTGCTGTTGTATAAAAAGGAAATTATAGACTGTAAATGTTACCTTTTATTCCAAAATTTATGAAAGAGCTATACAGGATCAATTAATGAAATTTTTTAAGTAAACATTTTCTTCCTCTACTTTTGGCATTGATGTTTGGTTTTGGGTACCAGACCGCACTTTTAAAGATAATAGTAGACTGAAGCTTTTTATAGCTTACTATACAGTAAGGGTTTAGCTCATTGGTTAAAGGAGAACTCTGAGGCTGAGGTGGTCTTAATAGTCGAACTACTGTATCACTAGCCTGTCAACACTGAGGTTGTGAGTTAGAATCCAGCACACAGCAGGTTGATCAGGATTGTCACTCTGGCGTACCTCCACCAGTTGAAACTGACGGCCACGAAATAGCACAATAGTACTAAAAGTGGCATTAAACACCAATCAATCAATCATTGTTAAAGGCCATACAGTGATCTTTAGTTGTTTATAATCCTTATCCTGTTGTCTCTGATGGATAGTTGTCTTGTAAGCAATCATACCACATCTCTTTTTTGAATATTGTCTATTTGGACCCACTGCATCATGTATTGTTCATGCCCACGACCTTAAAGTTCGATATTCAAACCTAATGCACAACACACCTTCTTTTATACCATATATCATAAATACAATACAAAGGGTTCAAAGGTGTACCACTTAAGGATTTTGGCTCAGTGGTCAGCAAATCGTGTTATGTTGGAATATGTAAAATTCACCCTGGACAAGATTTCTTCCGATGGGATGAAAAATATCACCGATTGGATATCAGCTGTTCAAAGTAAACAAGAAATGAGCTGTCAATTGAAAACAAACCAGTGCTCTCAGGCTTGTTTGACCTGCTACATTCTGTGCCTATTTTCCAATCTATCTAGGACCATAACTCCTGAACTATAAAAGTGAAAATCATCAATGTCTAAATTGACCTCCATTTTGTCATCAGAAACAACCTATTCAAACTTAAATGCATTGGTTAAATGGTCAAGGACCATAACTCTTGAACTGTTAAAGTGAAAATCTTCAATATCAAACTAGAGCATTGATTGAAAGGTTCATAAGTAGTTACATGGAAAGTGCTGGCAGCCACCCACCCGCCTGTCTGCTGTACTTCACCAAATAACCGTGAAAAACTGATTAAAAACCAGAAATACTCTCTGACAAACAGCAGAACAGACTGACTACATGATTCACACTATACAGTCGAGAGTTAATCATACTTGAAATAAATATCTCTCAATCATATTATTTGAGGTAATGACAACCCATGATTTCAAAAACAAATTTTAATAAGCTTCTTTTGTGTGATTTATGCATATAGCTCCATAAAATGTAGTATTGTTAAATACTGCAATGAAAATCAAATATCTCATTAGGACAGAAAAAAAAAGATTCAATCTGATGTTTTATGATTTTATTTCACATCTTTTAAATAAATATGATACATAAAACACATTGGAGAGGTATATCACTTATTGCCATCATGTCCTTAATTTTCTTCTCAATTCATATATAAAATGCTTTAAGTTAGTAGTAGCACAATAAGTAAGACACCATAAAGTTACATGAGATTACCAATCCAAGAGTCTGAATAGGACTTCAGCACCATGAAACATAATTATTCTTTCATCTGAGAATTTATTCAATTACCATGGAAATTATGAACTTTCAATTAACATATTTGAGAGTCAACATTCCCATTTATTCTTCATGGTACCAGAAGTTACTACCCTATATTAAATATTTAATCATTCATTCAATTATTTTATATAACATTAATTTATTCCTTGAATAGACTTTCATTAAAACATGAATGACTTTAATAATACATCTGGTATGGAATGTTCTTGAGCCTAATGATTTAAAAAGGTTGGATTTCAAAAAAGCACTTTGCAAAATTTAGCTTAAGTTAATCAACATAAACTAACAGAATCACAATAAAACTCTTCTTATTCAATGTAACTTAAGTAAAGACTGATAAAATCGTTGATTTGTTTTCATAGTTTTATTGGTTCACAATTGTTTCATTGGTTCCCATACTCAAATCAACCATTTCTTGGTTCACGTTTTCAGTACACTGGTATTTCTAAACACAAAATTCTAAATTCATGATTGAAATGCCAAATCAAATATTTTTATCATCAATATTTATTGTTTATTTTTAGCTTCGTAAGCAATAATTATAAATCAAATTCTCAAATAATTGACAATATCCATAGAATCTATTGTTAGCATCAGATTATCATATCAAATTAAATTGCACTTGCATCACATTACTAAGCTACTAATAAAATAATTAAAAACATCAACGATAAATAAATAACATTAATCAGTAGTTACTCTCTAACATAAATATGCATTGTTAAAAACTAAACAAATTTAGGAATTACATTGTGCTGAAGTGAGTTCTTAGCCTCAGCTTACACATCTTGATGCAAAAATCTAAATTCTGTCAATTTCAATCAACTTACAGCTCTTTTCATAATGCTAGCAAGACAAAGGTTTGTTTGACTTGCTTGCTTTGTTTGTATAAATGTTTGCTCAAGCATTGTAATTAAGATTGACAGCTGCAAACAATATAAGTAGGCGCAGTTCAACCTGTGTATAGGTAAATTTGATTATTTGATAATGCCCAATCAAATTTAAATATAATGTATACAAGTTTAAATCCACCTTTTTATGTTGTTTTCATATGTCAATCTTAATTACAATGCTTGAGCAAACATTGATACAAACAAAGCAAGCAAGCCAAACAAACCTTTGTCTTGCTAGCATTATGTAAAGAGCTGTAATTCCTTAAGATAATTCTCTTTAGTTGATAAAACAATAATTTTGGTGTATTACCTAAAGGGTCTATTATTCTTGATTGAATTTTAAATAAGTTCATAATAAACATGTTGATATATCATCTTTGATTTTATTCTAGTTTTGATAACACAATTAAAATAAACAGAAATTAGATAGATATCATCACATCGGACTTTTAAAATTGCCTTGTTATAAAATTAATGCACAGAGAAGTTGATACATGATAGGTTATTGTTGCCATATGTTATCAAGGAGTACAATTTCTTCATTAATCAAGAGCAACAAAGTCTTGCATCTATCATTAGCAAAGTAAATTTGTCGAGTACAGAACATCTTATTTTACTTCCTGGTCTATATATAAAATGAGACAGTCTAAAAGTACCTTACTGGTGTGAAAATATTTATAAATGATTCTAACAATGTACAAATTAAGTTAATAGTAAAATGAATTTACTTACATATGATATGATAAGAAAAACTGATACAAGCTGTCAAAAATTATCAGCTTTTTTAATATTCAAAAAGCATTCTGGTCTAGAAAGCTTAAATTAAGCAGAAGCTTGTGTTCAAATAAAATCACATTCAATATGCAAATCATGTGTTCAAGGCTTATGATTTTTAAAACTACAAGACAACTACAGGTAAACACACAAATATCCCTTTCTCTTGCACTCTGTGTATAACAACAATTTTGAAAGACTTTATATATAAAACATAAAAACGACATTAATGTAATTTATTAAAATATGTACCACTGACTTAATCCTATTAGGAAAGCAAAAGGTGACATATAGGCTTTGTAATAATACTATCCAAGCACCAAAAAACAAATTAAATGATTGCTTAAAAATAACTAAAACTACAGCAAAAAAAAACCGAGATCTCTAAGATATTTACAAACTAATATGGGTAACTAAACTAAACGAACATGTAAGAAAATTATATATGTTGACATAACTATAAATATGCATGGACAATGAATTAAAATGCCTTTAAAAAATCAAAACGAGTTTAAGCAGTTTCATACATATATATTATACAATTTCATTATTTCGGGTGCATTGAAAATAAATAAGAATGATTTAAATAATGAAGCAAATGATACACAAATTTGAAACTTAAGGAATTTGGAATTGGCAAGTTTGCAATGTATTTGGCAAAAAAAAAGAAAATGCAAATAATATCAACTGAAAGTACCAGAGAAAATGGACCACCATATTACATTTTCCTTAGAATCAAATGCTGTTGATTACATGTGATAAAATTCAACTATTTTCTAAAAAATCTTATATAATAAACGGTTTTATTTACATGACAAGCTGATCAAACTTTGTTTATCACATCTTTGTGTATCACATTTGTCACATGATTAAATCACATGGTTTAGTTTTCAGACAGATCTCCTTGTTTCAAGAATAGCATCACAGTTCATTCATGAATTTTCACAAATTGCTTCACAATCTGTTCATATTTTTGACGAGAGATAAGGAAGTCCATTTTGTTGCAATCATAGTTCACTGCACACAAAAACTATCTTCCATAAAGAGTCTCTTTGAATTGCACTTAAATTGGCACAAAATTATTTTCACTTTATGCATACATCAAAATTACAATTCTCAATTCTGATTGCATTACATGTCAAATAATAATGTATTATTTACATACATGTAAGTATATCGTCTTCCAAATAATGTATTCCTTACAAACATGAAAGAACGTCGTCTGCTAAGAATAATCCATAAGAATGATGTAGGTCAGTAATCCGTCAGATCACCTGTATGTTTTAAATAAGTCTTCATCTAACAGACTAGGTCACAAAGTTTAAATTTATCTATCTATCTATAAAATATATGAATCTTAGAAGATCTGTAGTATACATATAAATATTCCAGTATCTTTCAATAATCATTACGTGTTTATATCCTCAATTATAAACATATCTGTCTTGATTTTCCATATATTTCTGTCCTAATTCAAAATTGAATGATTATGCGGTATATACAATTCCCTGAGTTGTTGTACTTGTATATAATGTTAGCGACAGCAGAAAATGTATACATGATTACATACATTGTGTGGTATGATAGATATGAAAATGATTTTTCTTACAGATGGATTTTCAATAATTTACCTTATTCATATAATCTATAAATAGTTCTTTTACAGAAAATAATTTTTTTTTTACGGCATCCAAGTTTTCGCTGTTGCATATTCATGAGTTCTTCCTTTTCTGCGATTTATAATACTATATTATTTAGTCCTTTATAAATATTGATTTTCCGATGAACTATTTTTACACTTTATAAAAGGAACCATATAAATTAAAATATTTACCCTATTTGAATTTCAAAATTTCTCTATATCGGTGATTAGGATAACCTAAACATCATATTACTTTGAATATATTCATTGTTTTTTTTTCTTTATGAATCCAACATGGGTAAAATTGTTATGGATTATTTAATTCCCTTCTTAACTCTGATAGTCAGAAACAACCACAACCCATCAATGCTTTCTAACTCCCCATATAAATAAATTCAGGAAAACCCCTGAACTAAAAATAAATACTTCTTTGCCTATAAAAACTCCTAACGTATTCAGTCAAATATAAACTGGTAACAGTCAACATTTGCCTTCCCTTCTTTTAAGCTACTCCAAAAGCATATAAATGTAAAATAAATAAAACATAATAATATAATTAATAATAAATAATAATGTAAAAACAGGGAATTTTTTCTCTCTCCCCCTGTCAATAATGATATCAATGTCATCCGTAAGTCCCTAGATCTTTGTCATTTCTAATGGAAAAATTCAAAGGCAAATGTTTATCAGATGGAAACATTACTTGTAAAAACTTCTCTTATACACGACATACAAAATTTGTATTTGTGTTAACTCGTCCATTCATCACTTCATAATATCACATAAAAAGAACACAAGCTGGATTTATACCTCACAAAACTACAACTAACAATAAATAAGTCATAACAAACATTTACAATCAATCTTAAAGCTTCTATCCTTATCCTTAAGCACAAAATACTTCACCTCTGTGACAATGCTACATGTATATGAAGCGCTTTGCTTACTTAATAAGACAATCAAATATTTTCAAAATAAGAATTAGAATTAAAAGCAACAATACAATTTGAAACTAAATTCCATGTCTAAGATACTTGAAAAACTGTGCTGTTATCCTTTTATTTGTAGAACGCTACAATTGCATAGGGCTGGAAGATTTTTATCCATGTATATTATATCCGATTCAGTTTTGTTTCATAACCGGACATTGTATTGGAATCATGATTGGTCACAATGGAATCAAGTTGAAATATTGTCACATGTAAAGGTCATTTTCAGGGAAATATCTAACTTGTGACATTATCAGCTGACAGGTGTCTCATATGGATGCATGAATGTCTGTGTATTCTGTATATTTGTTAATCTTCTCTCAACAGTGTCTTTATCTGAAAATGTTACAAAACATGTCAACAAAATTGGCTAACAATCCATACAAATAGACAGTTGTTGTTGGTTCATGTCTGTCATATTCATTTTTAGTAAGTTATTTTGTTATCAATTAGGCTGTTTTGTTTCATATTTTTCATGTCAGGGCCTTTTATAGCCGCCTATACAGTGTGGGTTTCTCTCACTGTTGAAGGACGTATGGTTGCCTACATCCACTTCATTTGAACTTTGGTGGATAGTTGTCTCATTGGCAATCATACCACATCTCCTTATTTTTATATTAACCCTTAACAATAAATTAATCTTATTGTCTTTAGGTAAATCAAATTTACAGTAAAATATTTAGCCAGGATTCATGACATGTATGCCTGTTCTGATTTGGAAATGTTAGGCTCATGTTAAATAAATAGAGAATGTGTCCATGGGACACAGATGATGTCCCGCTTGCATATAACGTTATAAAGGGAAAAAACTCAAGAACTGTAAAAGTGACGCTACCCAAAGTTGTACTTGATCTGAGTTTTGTGGTAATAAGCATTGTGTAAACCTTTCATAACATTTAGTTGAGACAAACTTAAGTTAGAGAACGGAAACGAAAAAATTCAGCAATTTTTCCATTTGTTAAGGAGCATAACTCTAGAGCGGTTATAGTGACACCACCAAAATTCGAACTTGATCTGTGTTTTGTGGTAATAAGCATTGTGCATAAGTTTCATAACATTTGGCTGAGGCTAACTAAAGTTAGAGAACAGAAACGAATATTTCAGCAATTTTTCCATTTGTAAAGGGGCATAACTCTAGAACAATAAAAGTGACACCACCAAAATTCAAACTTGATCTGTGTTTTGTTGTATTAAGCATTGTGTATAAGTTTCATAACATTTGATTGAGGCAAACTAAAGTTCGAGAACGGAAACGAAAAATTCAGCAATTTTTCCATTTGTAAAGGGGCATAACTCTAGAACGGTAAAAGTGATGCCAACAAAATTCAAACTTGATCTGTGTATTGTGGTAATTAGCATTGTGCATAAGTTTCATAACATTTGGTTGAGGCAAACTAAAGTAAGAGAAAACTAAAACTTATGTTTCAGCAATTTTTCCATTTTTAAAGTCAGAGAACGGAAACCAATTTTGGGACGTACGTACAGACGGACAAGGGTAAATCTTAATGCCCCCTCCGCTATGGCGGGGCATGAAAATACCTTGTATACTTTGTGCACATAAACAGACCCTTGAAACAGGGATCTTAAGACATCTTGTCAATATTTAATGCCTTTCTTTTTTGTTCCTAAAGTAGCTTAATTTTTCACATTTTCTTATTCTTTATATACCAGTACTTGAAATACCACAGCTTGCTTTGAAACACCCATCAATCAATTAAACATAGTAAATAAATAATAGATTGAAGAAAAGTTTTATTTCTGTGGATATTTGATTTTCTGGTTTTGCCAAAGTCTTAAGAAAATTTGTACTTCATTGATCATTTAAAATCGTGGTTTTCCTCTGCCCACGAAATCCATGAATATATGAATCCCACGATTAGTAATGGCTCAACAGTCATATATCAAATGCTTTTGTTTGTGGTATTTTTTTATAGAACTAATACTTACATTTATTTATAAGATATCTGTCCTTGACATTTCTAGCCTGTTGAGATAGGCTGTGAAGAAGTATGTGAGCACTCTGGTATCGCCTGAAGCACTGAAAATTATATGACAAACATTAATTATAAACTATTACTTCTCTTTTTTTTTTTATTTGCTGGGTTGATGTATCATAGATGTATACTTCAAAACTTTTATTCTTTTTAATACTGTAAATTCAGAAATTATTGCGAGGTTTTTATTATTGCGAATAATGCGACTGTGTGAGTATCGCAATAATAAGAAATCGCATTCTGATATCTGATGCATATATTTGTATGCAGCTTTTTCCTGAATTCGCAATAATTAATCTCGCATTTATGTCCATTCTTAAAAAATGGCAATAATTTCTAAATTTACAGTAATGGACTTTGTCATGTTAATATTGGTTTCAGGCCTGTTTGATTTTGATCAAAATTAACTGCTTATATGGGAGTAAAAGCTCATAGTAGCAGTTGTCAGAATTTCAAACTATAAGCTATGATTTTCTGACATCAAAATGTACACAATCACTTTTATATAGTAGCTGCTGCATGTACAGTCTAAGAATGTAGTCTGAGATCTTGGTAAAAATATATATGTATAAAAGAATTACTTAATTTTTGTTTCATAAAATTTTGAAATCTTACAATTCTACAATCACTGTCACTGATGTAAATGCAATTTATATTTCAGTACATACTAGATGTGTAACATTTGTTCATATAATGAGTGTACTTTTATAAAGTGTATATAAATGTGTTCTCTAGGGCTTACCTCTTGGGGATTACCAAACAATTCATCTAATGCTGCTGTTTGACACTGAAAGAGAGCATTAAACAAACTTTATATAAAACACTTAAAAATGCAAAAATTGTATAAACAGTTTCAAGTCCTTTTTATGAATGAGTTACGCAGGTTGGTCAGAGTGCAATCAGCGTAAATGACCTCAATGAACAATCGGTTCTTACTGTGACGTAATAACATATGCATTGTGACATAGGAAATATATAGGACAATTCACACATTTGAAAGTCGTTCATTCATAAGATTAATTGAAGACTTTACAGTCCTATTTAATAATTATACTAGGGTCTCAATAGCAGAGTTGTTGGGGTACTCTTAACTTAGAAATTCCAGTGTACATTTATTGATTCATTGTTGATCAAAAAAACAAAAGAATGATTATTTTTTGTGATTAAAAACAAAACAGAAAGTTGAAAAAAGTATGATCCAATCCTTGTAATTTAAAATAAATAAGAAGATGTGGTATGATTGTCAATGAGACAACTCTCCACCAGAAACTAAATGATGTAGAAGTTAACAACTATAGGTTACCATATTTCAATCAGACTGTAGTGTATTCAAAGTACATTTTAAAATTTGTATAATTTTCTAACAAAGAACCTGTTCTTTATGCTGAAATAAAAAGTACAACATAAAAACTGACCATTTCAATGGCATGGTTGTAGATTAGTTTGTCAGCAGTGGCGACCAGTAACTGAGGCGTCAGTGCAGTCTGGATGGCCGTACCCATTCGTTGTTGTATGTGTTTACACACTGACAAACATTTATGGTAATTAGAATTCATTTCCTTCAACACTGTAAGGAAAAATAATTTACCTTTTACTTTCGTGCTTTCTATATCTAATTCATAAAGAATATGACCGATTCAAGAAAGGACTGTTCCAGAAATAATTGCATGAGGTGAGGAGATTTCTGCATGTGAGTTACATAAAATACGAGTGGAACATGTGTATGGGCAATGGGAGTTACATTCATGTATGGTGGAGGTTTGAAAACATTGACTTTTCCCCCAAACATTTATTTCTAGAACAGCACAACTCGAATAGCCATTTCATAACTTTATACTGTTAATTTAGAATTTTTTTTTGTGTTTTTATTATTGCGTAAATTGTGACACAATAAGTTTCGCAAAAATAAAAAGTCACATCTTAAATAAAGATAGAATTATTTGTAGGTAGCATTTTCTGAAATCACAATACTTCATTTCACATATTTGTCTATTCTTCAAAAAATTGCCAAAATAAGTGCACATAATAGTTCTGAATTTACAGTATCTAGTTTTTATGAAAATATGGGTCTTAGTGAATTATGTTTTCCTTAGATATCTTCTCCTACCTCTGCTTCATATAGATTTATAACACATTATATACAAAGCATGTTTTTTTTTAAATGATAAATCTTGTATGCATATTTTCTCTTATTCAACACCTTTGTTTTTCGACTATTAATCAATTTTTATCTCACCAAAATAAGTACAAGTAAAAGATTTTAAAAAAATATATTAAAAAAAATCTTCAAAAACAATATATAAAATGTTTGAATTGTCAGGTATGTCTTGATTCTTTGTATGGTTACTGTTTCATAATTTTTTTTACTTTGATTATTTCAACATTTTCTAAAGTGATGACTATCTATATATCTGTTAGCTCCAAAGGGTATCATCAGCTCAGTAGTCTGACATGATTTATAACGTAACGTTTTTTTAAATTGCCAGTTATAAATTATTAGGAAACTAAGGTTCCAACTCCCTCAAGCAAAGTTTAGATGGATTAAGCTATTATTTTTAGGTCCCTTTTGGTTATTAAGCTCTCGTGTGTTTCGGTACTTATACTTCGTTAGCCGTCAAATATTCAGCTTTGAGTGTTCCTGATGAAGGTAAATCCAGAGAAGCTCACTGAATTCATAACATTTATAAAGTGTATTTTTCATTTTTTTCTTTTAAATAAGTTACTGGTGATAGCACTTTTATTAACTAAACAAAATTGCTCAGTATTTTTTTCAGAACAAACAAACAAACAAAAGTGTATGCAGTGTTTTGTGTAAATTTGTATAAATGGTGTCCACTATAAATCAAAAGACATCTCCATGCACTTGACAAAATAAAACAAACGTCTCTTTTAGTGCTGTTCTTCATCTCAATGTCACAGTGAGGACTTCAACATAAAAAGAAACCTTTTTTAGTTTTTATAGCTCACGGCTGGCTAACTGCAATGTCAAGAAGACACATACCGGTAGTATTGGCTGAAAAGCAAACTTTCTTGTTAAAATACATTTTTAATACTTACTTAAATGATAATTTTTACAAAGAAATTTCACTTATCTATTTAACTTTACAAGACATGCAAATATTTCTATTAATATATGCTGACAAAATAATTCCTACCTGTTTTTAAGGATTTAGAGACTTGTAATCTCTCTGACTTGATTTCTTTCTGTGCCAACTGTAGAGAGGATGACAACAGATGTAAAGCTCTGACGTATAACACTAACTGTTCAAGTCGTCTGAAAAATATGTGTTGATATAAAAAGATGTGTACATTCAATATATATAACATAACTGTTCAGAATCATGTAAAGCCCTGACGTATAACACTAATTGTTCAAGTCGTCTGAAAATACATGTGTACATATAACAAAATATGTACCAGTAATGTAATATATATAAAACTAATTGTTCAAGTCATCTGAAAAATACATTTATAGCAGACTATACTGTATGGGTTTTTCTCATTGTTGAAGGCCATATGGTTGCCTTTAATTGCTTACATCTACTTCATTTGAACTTTGGTGGATAGTTGTCTCATTGGCAATCATACCACATTTTTATAATGTGTATATATAACAAAATATGTAATATACATAACCCTTATTGTTCAAGTTGTTTGAAATACAAATGTGTACATTCATAATGTATACTGGAAACCAAATGTCTTTGGACAATGATGACGACGATGCTGACGTCATAACATTTTACAACCGCAAAAATTTGTGGTCTTATAAAGGTGACTTTTTTTTATTGTTATATTTTCATTTTTCACATCGCTATATTTTTTTTTCACATATAATTTACATAAGTGGTTTCAAAAGGCACATGGCAAAGATGACCATACTATAAAGGCTGGTAGACAGGACATCTCTAAATGGGTTATTTGGGGGTCATGATGCTACATAAAATAAATTACCTGAATCAATAAAGATTAAATACTTTATTTTTTAAAACAGTACTTCACATGATTTTATTTCAAATTTATTTCTTACCTTTGAGCTTCTGTAAATCTAGGTGGCTGATCTTGCAATTGCTCACCCTAAAATAGATGCAAGAAATAAATAACAGACAACTAACCAATTTCCTTAGATATTTAAATTTCACCAACATACCAGAAGATAAAATTTAAGAGTGACGAACAGCATTTCAATAAATCTAAATGGTAATTTGCCAAGAATAAAAAAAAGATCAAAAGCAGGTTTATTTAATTTGTTTATATTCTATTTTCAACTCAAGGATATTTTATAAAAAATGGTAGTCAGTGATCATTTTTTTCACATGTGACTGTCAAAATTAAAATGTAAGAATATTGTTAAGAGTGTGGTGACTACTCCATTCTATGGGTAATACACAAGTGTTCATCAAAAAAATCCTAATTTTGCATATTTTGCAACTGAAATCATTTTTTTTATACGTGGTGTACATGGATGAGTTTGTTATGATATTAATTAAGAATATTTTGTAATTATAATACCTGATGCATACTAACAGATTCTGCCAGCGAGTGCAATGGTCCACCTCTGGATTGAGCTAGCTCCATAACACATTGTACTAAGTCATTTACAAAACTTAGTTTTCCCATTGTCTCATTGTGGTTATCCTGTAAAGGAGGAATAAAATGAATAATGACATCATTGATATTTTTAGAAAAAAAATGAAAAATTTAGCAAAACAAAAAAAAATGACACCACCAAAATTCAAACTTGATCTGTGTATTGTGGTAATAAGCATTGTGTATAAGTTTCATAACATTTGGTTGAGGCAAACTTAAGTTAGAGAACGAAATGAAAAATTTTGCAATTTTTCCATTTATAAAGGGGCATAACTCTAGAACGGTTAAAGTGATGCCACCAAAATTCAAACTTGATCTGTGTTTTGTGGTAATAAGCATTGTGTATAAGTTTGATAACATTTGGTTGAGGCAAACTTAAGTAAGAGAACGGAAACCAATTTTGGGACGTACGGACAGACGGACTAGGGTAAAACTTAATGCCCCCCATCCGCTTCTGCGGGGGCATAAAAATTACAGTCATATGACATAAGATGCCTCAACATGTGTATCAGTAATATAATTCTAAGCAATCAAAGTTAGCTCAATTGGTTAAACTCAGACTTTTCCTGACAATACAGAAATTAAAGTTGATATATTTAAGACATTTGTTCCTTGTTATATATAACTTTAGGGCTTAAGTTGTGAATGTTACTGTTCATTAGGTTAAAGATTTAAGCTGAAAATTTCTCACAAACGGTAATGGTTTTAAAATTTTTGTATGGTAGTATAGTAACTATGAATGAACATTTTTCTCTGAATCTGGTAAATTTTCTCTTTAAACAGTGTTCCTTCATTTTTTTTAATTGTGTTTTTTTTTCAATGTCTAGTTAGTGATGCTCAAATTAAAAAGATTAAAAAGGCAAAATAAAGTATGAAGTTCAAGAGCACTGAGGACCAAAAATTCCGAAAGATTTTGTATAACAAGCCCATTTTATATTTTACAACTTACATCCATGAGAGTTTCTTCATTGAGTCCAGGGGCTATGAATGCCACAGGTCCTTGCATGTTAGGTGGAGACTGAGCAAACAGCATAGGTGGTGATGGGGAGTTGGCCACTTTCTGAAGGTAGAGCCCTGACCTCTCTGAGTCATATGACCCACATCGTTCCTTACTTGGAGAGGATAATCTCTCTCTGCTGCTGCCTAAACTACCTAAACTGCCATACTGCATTACTGCTCCTGGGTTAGAACCTGAAAACATAAGTAAATTCCATCTAATAAAAAATATATATAATATGTACAATCTGTCTAGTGATAAGTATTTTCAAAATTAGTATTTTCAAAATAATTTCCCATATTTTAAAATTTTATCTCTGATATTAATGCTGAAAAACAAACCAAAACATTCAATTTTTTGGATTAGTTCTAGGTTTAATTACAGAATTTTCAAGTCATTCAAAAAAGAAAGTATGCAAAAAAATTAAAGACAATTTTTCAACCTATGCAGATGTACATTTTGTTTAGGAATATTTTTCAGGCAAATACAGCCATAGTGAGATATTAACATTCTTCTAAACAATTCAAAAGAGAGAAAAGAAAGTGCAAACATATGCATCTCTTTCAACCAATTGGAAGATTTTAATATGGAAATTCATTAAACAACAATCCCAAGAAATATATACCAATGTATGAAGGTACAAAATGTATCTACAATGAGCTAAAAAAAAAAAAAGGCACATCTGAAAGCATGTAATAACGTTTGTATACCTTGCTGACTATTAATAACAGCTCTTCTCAGCTGTTCTGCCAGGAAACTACTGCCTCCACTTAAGTTTTCTGCAATGTTGGTTTCAGTCTTAGATCTCTGTTGCCATAGATTTTTCTTCACACGGTTTACTATAAGTAAAATGATTTTATATAGTTCAGATTTTTGTTTTTGCATTATGCTCATCAGACAAAAATATTTACATTAACTTAAGGTTTCTAAAAAATTAACTACCTGCGGCTCTTTTCACAAAAAATCTTAGGAGTAAAAATACTCGCAAGTGATCATACCCATTTCAGTATAACTTACGATCAATTTTAATAGTAAGATTTTTTGTTAAAAGAGTCGCAGGTACTGTAAATTCAGAAATTTTTATTTGCATTCATTATTGTGAGTGTTCAATAATGAACAAAAATGTGAGAATTTTTTTGAAATAATAAAAACATCACATATGTTGCTGAATTTACAGTATTTTACATATGAAGGAAGGAAAGAAAAACAATAATAAACTCATTATATGTTCGGTTCTTCTATTTTTGTATTAGTTTTTCCATTATAACAATGTTCTGTAAAATCAGAATTTAATGTGTGCATTCATATATGCAAATCTATCACAATTGACACTTATATGACACTAATCAAAGTAATTCCCATAAATTTTGTAGATGGATATACATGTACTAGCATAAATTTCAACTTGATTTTTAATTATTTCAATTTTTAACCTGCAACAATTTTCACATGAAAGAAAACAACATATATTTCTGAATTTTACAATAGTAAAATTGCATTAAATGATCAAATATTGTTGCCTTTCTTTAGATACCATCCTTAATATAACACATACATCAATTTTTCTCATTGAAAATGTACCGGTAGTTTTAATTTCACAATTTGAATATATGCTATTACACAAAAAAATAAAATATTTTCTGACACATCTGTTACTTGCAGAGCACGAGTATCCGCAGAGCATGAGTATTCAATGCGTGATTGACAAGCCTTATGAAGAGGCAAATCTGGCTCAAAGTCTTGATAAAACTTATTTTGATACCAAAGAAGTGAACTAAGCCCTGAAATCTGTCAAAGTTATTGCTCTCCTATATTCCTTAAACTTTTTAATTGCTAAACACATGAAAAAAAATAATGAAAACCTTGCATGCAAACAAACCTTCACTTGAAAATGGAATAGTAGCCATGTTATCTGGTAATGTTTTAGTTCTTGAATGACCAAAAGCAGCATGAACTGGCTCTGTACCCATATCATCTGGACTAGGACTGCCAATGAACTTTCCTCCAAACTTTGTAGGTGATCCCATTATTGTAGGAAGTGATCCTAATCCGTGATTCATAGGAGAGGTGCAGCCTTTAGGAAAAGGAAGTGGTGGGAACGTGAATGAAAAATGGTCAACACAAAACTCAAACTGTGGATTCATTTATTTTTCGTTGGTACCAATTTTCGTGGATTGAGTAAAAATTGTATTGTGTGGATATTTGATTTCATGGTTTTATGGAATGTCTGCTTACAAATCTATAGAAAATTTATCCTTCATTGAACAGTTAAATATCAGATATACCAACAAAATCCACGAAAATTGGTACTCCATGAACTATAATGAATCCACAGGACTGGCAACTACTTTTGTTACGGTAATTAATAAATTGTTTCCAAATTTTAAGATAAATTCTATATTTTCCTGATTTTTAAACAGTGCTTTGAAAAGTTTTTCTGCATACAAACATTTGAAAAAATCTTTTCTGTTAATATACATTTCCGATCTGTTAATCATAATATGTAAAACCACACAAGCACACATTCAAATAAATTACCTTTTTAAATAATTTGTAATGGTTTAAAAAAGGAAAGTGAAATTGAATTAGAGGTTGGTGATATTAAATGAAATATTTATTAGAAAAAAAACTGTTTGATGTGCTGAAGTAATGAAATTCTAGCAGGAGCTTGTGGATGTTTGCTGTTCAGTTTGATCTTATATAATATTTTTTTCTTTTTTTCTTTTTTTGTTGCTTTTTCTTCAACATTTCTCACATAACTATCAATAACAAGCAGAGACATCTTAATAAATCTTTGATTTACCTTATTTCCATTCAAGGCTGTTCCATTTAAACATACATGGTACAAAGGGATGGCACTTTAAAAATGATATAACCACCTATAGTTGCAAATTTAGATTTTCAATTACATTTTAAAACTGTACATACTTGACACCCACCCATAGCTGAGATTTAAAAGTGCCTCCTCTCCTGGATCTCATGTATGTTTTTATTGAACAGACTTCTGTAAAATATTTCCTTTTTTTTTTAATATGAATAGCAAACATCCTTTAAAGATATATCATATGTTAAAATAAAACTTACTATTTCTTCTGTGAGGTGAGTTGGAGGGGGACACATTGATATTGGAACCAGGGGATGTCCCCATACTGTTCTTCCTTATATAGCCAGCATAGCTTGGAGGTGTTCCAATTGAAAATTTCACTATAAACAAATAAAATAAAAAATATCGTTATATATATGGTGACAATTATGAGAGTTGCACCATTGAAAACAGCATCTAAGCTATTTTTGGCATAATCTGGATTGAGTTTTTTCTACTGCCTTAAAATTGCTATGGGTAAATTAACTTTTCAATTTTTCTTTTAGCTATAAAATTTTTGGTCAGCAAAGAAAACAATATCACCTTACAATAACTATTTAATCCATTCTGCAAACAATTTTCATTGGATTTCTGTAATAATTATTTTTCTGTGTACAGCATGAAACTGAATTTTGGAACAGATGGTAGACTGCACAATGATTGATTTATAAATTGGTAATTAATGCCTCTTTCAGCACTGTTGGTTATTTCTTGGTGGCCAGATTTATTGGTGGAGGAAGCCGGAATGCTCAGAGAGAACCACAGACCTTTGGTAGGAAAACTGACAATCCTAGTCAATCAAGATTGAAGTCGAACGCACCTGCCACATGCGGGAATGGAACTCACCACCTCAGTGTTAACAGGCTAGTATATATTGTTTTATCAAAGTGCAACCTGATATAACATATTAATACAAATATGAAACATATTTTATAATGTCAGCCAGCCTTCATAGGCTTATGATACAGTAGTCGACTGCTTAGACCACTGGGACACCGCGGCTCCTTGAAAATGTTCCCAATATATAGTATTTTCTGACATAATAATTCTTTGAATATTCAAAAACTTTTTAATTCTTAATAATTAAGTATACCTGCAGGAGGAGACATAGATCCAACATCTACAGCACAAGATGCTTTAGATAAAGAGCTTTTTCTATCCATATCCTATATAAAACAAAGTACAGCATTTTACAGTCAACTTAACAAATCAAAATGAAAAACTTAGAAAACGGTTAAAAAAAATCTTCTTAGATACCCATTACCATTTAATGTTTTCTCATAACAATCCATTCTAATTAACATATTAGCAGAAAGCCGGACTCAAAAATATATTTTGGCTTTACCTAGTAACAGACTGAAATTTTATATATATTAATTTTTCCAAAGCATTGTATGATGCAGGCCACATTGGTTATATTAGCTCTTACATGTCTGTTTTAAGATTTGGATATACAATATTTTGGCCTCAAGCTACACTGAAGAATCAACTTTTGTCGAAAATGCATCTGGTCAATAAAATTATACTGTTCTATGTCTTAACTTATATTTTTAAATGGTACTCTTTCCTACAATAAATCTAATTTTAAATCAAGATAAATTCTACAACTGTATCTCACTTCATTCCATTTGTTAACTTTCTATGCTCATCAAGCATTTAAATATTACAATATTTATAAATCAAATTGTTCAACTATCTTACTTATAATTGTTAAACTTTGAATTTTTTATTATGTAAGGATAAATATCTAACAAAGCCGGCCTCCGGGTGCTAGATTTTATAGCTGCATTGATGACCCATTGGTGGCCTTAGGCTGTTTTCTGCTCTTTGGGTGGGTTGTTGTCTCTTTGACACATTCCCTGTTTCCGTTCTCTATTCTCAGTATATAGTTTTGTTATAAACCAACCTTAGCTGAGCTAGATGGTGATATATCCATGTCTTTAGGTGGACTACTGAAGGACCCACCAGACTTAATCCTTTTGTAGGCATTAACCTGAGTTGGTACAGGAATGGGCTCTGAAGATCCTGCTTGGCCTACATGCATTGGTAAGCTGGAGGGTCTATTTGGACTAGTCTGTTCTTCAGTCTTTAAGAATTTAACTGTTTTGGACTTGGGACTAATTGTAGCTCTGTGAGATGGTGATGGAGTGTTTTTAAGTCCTTCTCCTGAACTTCTATCACTATTATCTGAAATTAAATAAAATTTACATTTAGAACAGGTTCACAAAACAGTGTGCCATAACTTTTACATTTTTACATCTTTAATTGGTACTATTAATATTTATATTATTTTACAATGTGAAGAGAATGAACCTCCTTTGTTTTCTGTATTAACTCTATATACAGTAACTGATGTTTGGGAGTGTACTCATGCATATTTAACAAGAATCATTATTTTAACTCAATTGTAATGTTCTGCTTCATTTCTAAACTCTAACCTTTTCAAAGCTAACAGTTATACTGGATCCTTCGTATCAGTGTGGGTCTGTTATTGAGGATGTTCATCATTTTTATTTCGTTTGCCCAAAATATACAACATGTAGAGAAATTTTACTTAACAATCTTAATTGGCTTCCCGAAAACTTTGTTTTAGATACTAAACTTTGTTTAAGATACTAAACTGTAATCTTGCGGAGACTGAACTTTCGAATGAACAAAACATCCTATTTTTAGATATGTTCAAGATTTTATTAAAAGGTTTAACAGATTTCTAGTACCTTCATAAAAAGTTATTGATACTGGCAAGGACGATCATCGTCAAAAAAACCTTAGTCAACATCACAGATAAATATGAATTGCTTCTATTTCTTTTCTTCTTTTTATTTATCATGTTTATAGTTCGTATAATATCTAATGAATTATTGTATATATCCTTATATTTTAATATGGAGAAGACTTCATAAGTATGATTTACTTGTGTCTCATCCATTTTGCTGATATCTAGCACAAAAAAAAGATGTTTAAACTGACAAGAATCAAATATGAACTACATAAATAGTTTATGATCATAAAATTTTACCTGAGTTATCTCCCTGTAATCCACCAGGTACCAGTACAAAATCATCTCCAGCAGGACTATCACACCTGTTATCTTTTTCTATTTTCTCAAATCCATTAGGTTCCTGAGAGGTCTGCATAGGTTCTAAATCTTCTTGTTTGGCAATTGGGGGCTGTAATAAACAAATAGCTATTATTGATTTGATTACTGACGTTTGACCCTTAGACCAAGGTCAAAAGGTTAAAGAAAACAAACATCTTATTGCACTGTTTTAATTTCATATAATATAGTCACTGACTAGGATTTAGGACAGTAACTCTAATGTTTGAATAAAAGAACCTTAGTTTTCAAGTCAAACAAAACAGATGTTGTTATTAATAGCTTTTTTTCACCTATTGTTTGAGTTTATTACTAGTTTAATAGCAAACTATAAAAGAACACAGCTGGTGAAACAGTCTTAAACTGCTCTCTTGTAAATTAAATCCTACATATAAATCAATATACAACTTGAAACAAATATTTTTTATGACATTTCTTTATTTCATATAATCAATTTGTAAAATAAAAAAGCCGCTATAAAAATCTACTGTAACTTTTTTTAACCCACTAATTAGTATTACCTCCTGTCAATGCACTCAAAATTTAATAAAAGTTAAATTTTAAGTTCAAATTTTGAATATGAATAACATTTTAGTGTGTCCGAAGCACTTTCCAGGTCTTCATTAGGAACACTCAAAACCAAACATTTGAAAACCAAGGATGTATGAGGGTCTGGATGGAGGGTCCTTCATTTCTATTTTCTGTAATTTTTAAGGCCATTTTTCTGTATTCTTTTAACTTTTGCCCATTATTCTCTATTCTTTATATTTGAGCACCTCTTTACTCTATATTCTTTACTTTTTGGTCCATTTTTCTTTCATTATATTTTTTGCCCATTATTCTCTATTCTGTAACCCCCCCATCCACCCCCTCATGTATAAATACTTATAAGAATATGTGAGAAGCTAAATGACCAGTTAAGACCTAAATAGTATTGCCAAATTAATCTTAGGTCAACTTCAACTTATATTGCATTTTGAGTGCATCAGTAGGATGTGTATTTTCCTATAACTGACTTACTTTAAAAGGTGGGGGAGAATATTGCACTTTTCCAGACAGTGGTGAAGCTGACACACAGCGAGGAGGTGTGGGACTTTCCGAGGAACAACCCTGACTACTTCTCCCAGGAACTGGAACAGGAGATGCTGTAATGGATAAATTATAATAGTTTTTACTGTATATAGATAAATAACAAAAGATATTTCTGTAACGGATAAATTGTCCTGAACATGCATGAAATATTTGCCACTGGATGTTCAGCAACCAACAATCAAGCAATTTAATGGATAAATTACAAAAGATATTTCTGTAATGGATAAATTACAATAATTTTTTAACTGTAATGGCCAATTCACAATAGTTTTTGCTAACTATCATACATGATGCAAAATAGATAAACAAATAAAATTTTATCCATAGTAATAATACAATAACAAACACTCTACTGTAATTTTCATTTGTACCCACTTATATTATGAAATATATATTTTATAAATCATAGGTCTGTTGATAACAATATAAAATGATAAGAAATAAAAGATCATTACTTACAGGCAGATGAAGGTGACGGTGAGGGCGGTTTCAAGAAAGGATGAACAAAGAAATCCTCTGTAAAGACAGATAAACATAATGTTAAATACACAGAAATATATTTTTCACAAGTTGTAGACTATATAAACATAAAGCCATTAAATGAAAAGAATTTTATTCCATTGGAAATGTGCTGCTGCAGTGTAAAGCAATCACCAATCCATTGGAAATGTGCTGCTGCAGCGTAAAGCAATCACCAATCCATTGGAAATGTGCTGCTGCAGCGTAAAGCAATCACCAATCCATTGGAACTGTGCTGCTGCAGCGTAAAGCAATCACCAATCCATAGGAAATGTGCTGCAGCAGCGTAAAGCAATCATCAATCAATCAATCTATTGGAAATGTGCTGCTGCAGCGTAAATCAATCACCAATCAATCAATCCATTTGAAATGAAGTTATTTATTTCACTTTTAAATCTACACAGTTACATACAATGTAAAACAATATGATTTTATATTACAAAACTCACATAATAAGCTTATGACTATGAGTCATTAAAATCATATTTTATAAGTGACAGATGCAATCAATCTACTTGTTTATGAAAGAGTGATTAACTCTAGAAAATTTAGATCTTGACATGTTGGATAGACATTTGTCTTTTGTTGAAGACACTAAGTCGACTTCTTAGTGTCTTTTGGATGTTTTGTGTTTTTGGGTTGCTGTTTCATTGAGGAATACCTGACGTCTCTTTTTATTCACTTTTGCCATTAATTTGCTGGTTTAAGCTTTCCACTACCAACGAAGGTGAGCACATTGAATATATGAATGCATAAAAAGTTACATTAAACCCTATCAAACAAACAAATAAGTAGCAGGTATAAATTATTGCTCATATCCTTTAATTAATCTGAAGATAGAGTTGCAAAGCATCACGAGTATGGCAAACTTAAAATATTTAATTATACATATGCAGTAACAGCACAAATTGTAATCAGCATACCAAAATCAATTCTGTCTTTCGCATTACGTTTTAACATCTTCAACAATAGATCTCTTAGTTCTGGTGAGGTATCCTTGGGGATACTGAAATAGATAAATTATTTTGTAAACAACTTTGTTTTGTTAGCTTGGTCAAAAAGAAACCTGTTCATTGGTATATACTGTAAACTAACTAATTTTTGTGAGTGGTAAAAAAAGTCAGAGTAAATAGTTGCAAATATGTCAAACTTGGATTTCTCTTTCATGCATAAATCAACAAAGCTAGAAAATTGCAAATATGTATCACCACAATGCTAGAAAGTGCTTAAAAATAAAAAAAATGTCAGTGAAAATAACTTTGATTTACAGTAAGGGTTGTTCCAGATTTAAAAGCATGGAGGGATGGGAGGCACTCAAATTAATAAATTGTGGGTGGTTACATTTTCCTTAGAATTTTGTAAGAGTTATAAGTTTAAAAAATTGTAAGTTTTAAGAAATAAAATGGCAAGTTTCATAACAATCTTTTTAAGCCAGAAGTGCTTCTGTTTTTCATGCAAATTTAGATTTAAAGTATTTCTGTTTTCAATGCAAAAACAAAATAAGGTGGTATGATTGCCAATTATCAACCAAGAAAAAAGAATGAGAATGTAAACAAATATCATCCATATAAACTAGACATCATTGAGATAAGAGCCATCTCTGTGGGCCCAGCTGACCTTGAACTTTGACCTAGGAAGTTGTACAAACATTATGACACACCCTCTGGTGTTGGTTACTATACATGTCAAGTATAAAGTATGAAATTATAACAGTTCTCTAGATATAGAGTGGACACAATTTGTTACGGACGGACGGCAGGACAGATTGATCACTATAGGGCGACCCGCCACTAGGTGGAGCCCTAATTATGATTTCCAAATTGCATTCAATTCTTACGTAAATGTACTACTGAATTTTTTTTTGTAGAATAACAATAGAAAGATATAGCCAGTTTTGCAGAGGACACTTATCAATTAATAAATTTATCATAACTGGAAACTTGATATTTTAAAATGGTATAAAAATATATTCTTCTATGCTACTAAACTTACTTAGGTTTAAGTTCAGCATGTTTTTCATAAAAATGTTTAAGTTGTTGGGGTGTCTGAGCTTGGAATGGAGCTTTGCCTTTCAGACACTGGAACACAATTGTCCCTATGCTCCATAGATCTGCTTTAGCATCATACTGTAGGGACATGATCACCTCTGGGGCCTGTACATTGAAAGAATAAAAACAAACATTACTCATTTTGGAAATTCTGTCATTCTATAATAATCAATGGACTCAATCTTGTTGCCAATTATAAAATCATATTTTAATTTTAATCTTTCAATTTCTCTCAACTTTAAAGACATACAGATAAAGAGGCAAATCAATGTTTAACTATACACAACATGATTGAGTTGAGTCTTGTATGTTTATATTTACCATATACATAGGAGAACCACATAATGTAGCAGCCATCACACCATCTTGAAGAAATCTTGCAAATCCAAAGTCAGCTGAAAAGAAAACATTGGAGTATTAAAATATGATATGGACAATAGCTGAATCAGAAAACATTAGACTTAACATATGGTATGAACAATTGTTAATCATTGAACAGTATTTGGTCACCTCATTTTGGTTTTTATTGTTTTGTAACACTGATGTTTATCCCTCATCTCCTTTTTTCATATGTATGACTTTTATATAGTGTTATCTATTCCATCAGGCTTTTCAATAATTTCAAAATTTGGCTTTGAGTAACCTCGGCACAAACAACGAACCTGAGCAGTTTCATTTCTTAAAGAGTACAGCAAAATCCTATGTTACAGTACCACGTCAAGAATTTTTAGTATCAATGTCCTGTGATGGTATTTCCCTTTAATCTGATCATGTCAGAAGTGAATTTGTCTACAGTTTCATTTAATAATTAGTTAACTTGATACTATAATGCTAAGAAATAGAACACTTTCTTAAAAGTTGTTAGGTTTAATATTATAACAAATATATGTCATTTCAAAGAATAAAAAATGCTACCAACCTATTTTGAGCCTCATCTCTGAAGCCTGTGGGTTAGGTTTACCACTATGACATAACAATATGTTCTGTGGTTTCAGATCTCTGTGTACTATCCCCTTGGCATTTAAAGCTTTCATGGCAGCAGCTGGAAAAATTGAAATCAAAATTCATTATCATTTCAAATATTTACTGCTTTTGCTTTGGTGAAATTTTTGGGTCTATATGTACTGTTAATTCAGAAATTATTGAGAGCATTTATTATTGCGATTTCTGAAGAATGGACAAAAATGCAGACAAATTTCAGAAAATCTGCATACAGATGTTTGTATCAGAATGTGAATTCTAATTATTGTGATACTTACCAAGTCGTATCATTACCATTAATAACAAGAATGTGTCCATAGTACATGAATGCCCCACTCGCACTATCATTTTCTATGTTCAGTGGACCGTGAAATTGGGGTCAAAACTCTAATTTGGCATTTAAATTAGAAAGATCATATCATAGGGAACATGTGTACTAAGTTTGAAGTTGATTGGACTTCAACTTCATCAAAAACTACCTTGACCAAAAACTTTAACCTGAAGCGGGACAGACGGATGAACGGACGGATGAATGGACGAACAGATCGCAAAACATAATGCCCCTAGGTGGGGCATAAAAACATCGCAATAGTTTCTGAATTCAAAGTATTCTTTTTTGTCTTCTTATATCAATTCCTGAATTTTTCAAAAAAGAATATTATCATTTTTGTATGCTTACTTAACTATTGATTTTTTTTAATGAATTATAATCATAATACTCTGATCAATCCTGATCATTGCTTGTTCTCTGAATGCATGAATGTATTGTAGTAACAATTGTATTAACTCAAAATAAAATTGAGAATGGAAATGGGGAATGTGTCAAAGAGACAACAACCCAACCATAGAGCAGACAACAGCCGAAGGCCACCAACGGGTCTTCAATGCAGCGAGAAACTCAAGCACCCGGAGGCGTCCTTCAGCTGTTTTGTATGTTTACTGAACAATATTTCTAACAAAGGATGATTGTCTTAAATTTTTTTACAGTATATTTATTTCAGACGTGGGCACAAAAAATAATGAAGTAAAGGTTTTTTTCCTAGGTGAACCTTGAACTCCATATTACCTTTGTTTACTATTAAATGAAAGATTAAGAAATGTCTTTTGGCAATCTAATCGAGGAACAGATATACAGGGATGACCGAAAAACCTGTCTTATAAGTTTGATTCTTTACTTTAAATAATTAAATAAGAATTCATGGTTCACCTAATAAACGACTTTCACACTCATAAACTTTCGCTGAAATGAGCTGCTTATTTGCATATTTCTATTTTTGAGACTGAGATCTCTACTTAATAGCAATTTTGTTGATTTATTGAATAACGCTTGATTCTCCTGATTTGAAAAGTCTGCCAGACCAGAGAAATATTTTGATATACCCATAGTTCGATTCATATCAATACTGGATGTTTGACAGATCAAGGGACACAACTCTTGCTCAATTTATAGAAAAGCTTAAATAGATCCAGCAGGATATGGGTCGGGGATAGATATTCTGGTCTGAGATCGATGTATGTTCATTGTCTTTTATCATTATTACAGAAGAAAACAACACAACCCTTTTATAACAGAAGTTAATATTTTCTAAGATTTGAGAAAATTTTGAATACTTTTCACTTTCTTTTACATCAATCTTTTTCAGAAAGAGAATACAAAGGACGTAACTGAGTAGTTTTGAGCTTACTTTATCCTCATTTTATGCAAAATGAAGCTCCTTAATGTATGATTACAGTAAATTGATTATAAACCTTTTTAATTTTTCAAAATCTGGAAAATGTATCGCTAATTTATTACGATAGTAATCAAAGATGATGTCAGGTTAACACTCACAGGTAAAGAATGTCATAAATCAATACAGTGGTCAATAACAGGAATTTAATTACAGGTGTATTGTCAGATTAACTCTTACATGCATTTAAATCCCTGAGGTCATATTTTAACGTGTGTTTAAATGCATTAATGTTAACTTTGGGACCGTAAATTTGCTTTGAGGCAACCAAAATTTTGATTCATTAGGACATATATTTATAGAGGAAATGTTAAGGACATTTGGATAATTTGACTCATCCAAAATTTCAAGTCAATCAAAATCGAGAGTTAACTGTATTTGCAAAATTTAACAGCCACAAATTGAATTGAGTATCTATTGCCTCCATAAGTTACCTCAATGAAAATATATAAATCATAGGAATAAGGAATAATCCAAAGAAATGTAACTTTTCAACATCCTTATGTAACTTTCAACATCCTTATCCAAATTTTTAACATCCTTATGCAATTTTTCAGCATTCTTATGCAAATTTTCAACATCCTTAATGGCTTATGCAAATTTTCGGCATCCTTAAGCAAATTTTCAACATCCTTATGCAAACTAGAAATATTCAATAATAATACATGTTTATGTGTTATAACAAACCTATTTGTCTAAGGAATGCAGCAATGGTCTCTTCACTCAAGGTACCTTTGACTGAAATAAAATATGTAAATGAGTTAACAATAAAAAGAACATTTAGCTTATGATTAAAGTTTATTGTTTTTTTTTTTATTATAATGGAACATGTATGTATAACATGGTGTACATGTACATTTTCATGATAACAGTAGACCCTTGCATCGATCAATATTTCTAATAAAATGTTTTCATTTGTTTGATATCAGTAAACTTCCCCTCCCCAAAAAATGCTGCAATTTATCAAGATTAGTTAAATCAAGAAAGTATTTTGTATACATCCTTAAAGTATGTTGTTTTGGTATTCAAAGGTATTTTTGTCTTTATACATCTATTTTCAAAACAACAAACATGCTTGCTGATCATTGATTAAGTAATTATGTGTATTTCCCACTTCTGCAGTACAACATTATTGGAACATTTATATTTGTAAGACAAGCTAAATACAAAATTATCAGGTCCATAAATCTATGCAATAATGCAGTGTTATTTATAGAACTTTGCATGTATTCATATTTGCAACAAGATAACTTGATAAACATCGAAGGGAATCAATATTCTGTATGGTTTTTATGTCAGGAATTAAGTTCATTTATTGAGGAAAGTGTTACTATAGGAACTTATAGATGCTGTTATTTTACAATATTATACCTTGAAGATAATCTGCCAAATCTCCACCATTGCAATACTGTTAATAATAAAAAGATACAGTATATACTTTATTGAAACGTACCTTCAACTTCAAGTAATTTCCGTAGATTGATTACGAAATTGTTAAGAAACTATAAGCATGATAAGGTTCCAACTCAATGCGGAAAAGTTGACCTGAGATGGATTTGGCCATTCTTTTAGGTCCCTTTTGGTAATACATATATAACTCCTCATGTATTCCAGTATTTATATAACCTTTGCTTTCAAATGTTTAGGATTGAGCAATACTGATATACGTTAAAATACAGAAAAGTGTAATTTCATTAAGCAGTGTGTTTTTTAATCTTTTTTCTCTTTCTTCTTATATGATGCTTTCAGTGTTTCATTGTGTTCTGTTCTTTCAAATTTTGCAATTCAAAAGTATCTCAACCAGATTGATCTTCACAAACTACAGTTTTAGAATACCAATTTCAACATGTTTATGCATTCTTTAAACAACAACAGAAAGTTATCTTCACAATAACAATATCAAATTACAACTCGTGTCTATTCATCATGTAGGAATGTCTGGCTTTCTATGTTTTCCAAATACCTCTTGACTAAAGCACCACAGAATTATTTACTTTATAATTAGATAATTGTTTACCATAGAGCTGTTTTTACCTATTATTATAAAAATAAGGAGATGTGGTATGATTGCCAATGAAACAAATTTCCACCAAAGTTCAAATGAAGTGGATGTAAGCAATTATAGGCAACTGTACAGCCTGCAACAATGAGAAAAAACCCATACCGTATGTCTCACTCTCTTTGTTTTGCTCACACATTGTTGTCAATATAATGGTGTTCTATGCGACTGTCGTACAAATGAGAGGTTAAGCTAGCTAAAAAACTGAGGTTTAATCCACCATTTTCTACATAAGGAAATGCCTGTATCAAGTCAGGAATATGACAGTTGTTTTCCATTCGTTTGATGTGTTTGAGCTTTTAGATTTTGCCATTTTATAAAGGATTGTCTGTTTTGAATTTTTCCTTGGATTTCGGCATTATTGTTAATTTACTTTTTAAATCAAATAGAGAACTTAGCTTACCTCCATGACCAAGTAAACATGGTTTGTAGTTTCCTGAAAAAAATATAGCAGTGTAAGTAAATTGAATAACATAATATTCAGTTGTGTTACCAATACCCCCCCCCCCCCCCCCCCTTTGCATTCAAATAAATTGAAGGCCTCATTGTGACTATGACGAGGAAAACAGCAATCAAAGCACCCTTCCTTTACTTTGGGTTTTGCAATGTAGGGGTATTTTGTGTCATGAATTCACACACTTATATTCTTTTTTTTCCATTCTGTAAAATTTTAAAAAATAGAACTGGGTCCTAAGATTACCACAATATAAACCAGTAACCAAATTTGATATGAGAACATATATCTTTAACATGTTTAATGAACTGCTTAATTTTCATGCATAACAAAATTATAAATTGCATCTTATTGCTTAATGTCTTACAGGATCAATATAATAAGGATTATTTCATGAAGCCAAGCAAGCAGTAACAGGCACTCAGATCAAATAAGTATTACATGTACATGTATATTGAAATTGATTGATTTATAAATTAATCATTTTTATCACTGCTTCAGCACAAAAAGGCTACATTGCAATGATATTGAAATAAACCATGCTTCCAACCACAGATCAATAATTCATAATAAGCAAAATACATAAAAAGTATACCATAGGGCATGTATTCAAGAGAATCAAATGTCGTTAATTGATCCTTTTTACATAATCACACTAAAAGGAAAAAAATCTTTATATCTTTCTAATCCTATTTGTGAATAAGGATTATAAACATGATAAACAACATTAATTATTGACTTTTTACTGCAAATCTACAATACAAATACATGATTTCCATATAATCACTTGAATTTTCTAGTTACATAACAAAACTTGAATAAATTTACAAGTATTTTTGACCTTGATGACCTTAATGACCATATGACCCACTAAGAAGTTATTTAAATTGGAACTACATTTGTACCTGTCTATAGATTCTTTAGTACAATGTATCATGTGATGACTGGATGTCCCACTCATGTTTAAACCATTACAAACTGGTGTACTAATCATTTTCAACACTAATATGTACATCATTTGTTTGTATGTATTATTTTGATTCATGTTTTTTATCTATTTTACTCTAGGCTGTTTATATTTTTACTGTCAGCATTGAGTGTTACAGTATAGAGTTATTAAAGAATTTCAAATAATTACAATAAGGACATCCATTACATTAAACAGAAGGATATTATTTTTAATTATTTTTCATAAACATAAATTGAATATTTCCATCAATTTACCTATCAATACACAAACATCAAAGACCTAAAATACTGGTGGAAATAAACTAGTCATTTAAACATCTCTAATTAAACCTAATCTGATGAAAAACAAAGTTTTTATAGCTATAAATACGTTACCATCATAAATTCTGAGTGTAACCCCAATTGCGTCATAGGTCAGATGGAAAATCCCGACTAAAAATAAACGTACTCTCACTGGTCCGGACATATACCCCTGTTTGCCCATATTCTCCCATTCAATTTCCATCTGCGACATCGGTCACACGTGCAAATATATACAGATTCAACAGAGAAGTGTTTAGTTGTTTGTAAAGTTTTTGAATAGCTTAATTGCTTTTCATATTGTGTATATTATTGGAAATTTATTCCCTTGTTTAGTTTGAATTTCTAAACAAATTATTTGTGTTTTTTTGACTAAAGTAAATTTTATTATGGACTTTAATTTGAATAGTCCGTACGTAAATATTCCTGGTTCGGACTATCTCTTAGATCTGGGAACAGTATATCTAGTCAATATATATGTTCCTGCTTAGATGAGTCACTACCTTTAAGTCCCCCCCAAACTACCAGGACAATGACCGGAGTTTCGACAACGGTCACAGTCGGTGTCTGGTAATGCTACCTATCCGACCCTTTCACAAGGTTCGGCCATGCATTTTTGGGGGGTACCTACGTCAACTTCGGTGACTCATACTTTATCTAGGCCTGTTAATTCATCGGGTACTATTAGTTCTGTCCCAGGTACAGCTATGGGCTTGAACTTGCCAGGTTCTAGACCCCCATTATCCTATTGTGGGTATATGCTTCCCAACTCGGGCACACAACCTTTACCCTCATGGTCTCAGCCACCTTGGCCACAGTCTTACCCTTATGGTGGGTTTATGCCAAACCAACCTGGTTTTTTGGCCTTATAGGGACAATTTCTATGGTCCCCCTTCTGGGGTAGCTACTGCACCACCTTTAGCTCCTGCTCCACCCGTAGCAGTATCTTTGACTCCTGCAGTAGCTCCTTCTACCACCGTACCTGACTCTCGAGCTCAATCTTCTAGCTCTTCTCATGGTACTCAGGGTTCTGATCATGCATCATCTTTGGATGGTTTTCAGAAGTTGCTTTTGGACTTTGGTGAGTCTTTCAAGGCTGAATTTAGTACTCTATCCAGTCGTATGTCTCTACTGGAGAATAGAGTTTCTTCTCATCAACCTTCTCCAGCTAAGTCTGTAGAATGTGATGAGAGGGAGGATGACGAGCTTTCTGTTTCCCCTGGGAGTCATGAAAGGGCTTTCCTCACTGATGAGGATGTTGAAAGTTCTCCTTCTCCCAAGGTATCGAAGACGGCCCCTGAGCCTTCTTCTAAGTCAGCTCAACAACCTCCCACCAAGGAGACTGAGGATCCTCCATCCTTGAAGGATCTTAGGGATAAGGTGTATACCTTGATGAGGGATGAAGCACATATCCCTTTTGCCTCTCCTTCCAAGCCGAAGAAACCTTCAACTTTTGAAGCTTCCTGTGGTATTTCTCAGGATACTGTGACTTCTCACAATTCTTTTCCTGAATCTGGCCATATGGCATTTGCTTTACAATTTATTAATGAAGGTATCGCTAATTCTGCTAGTGAAAAGGTTGCTAATAACAATATCTCTGGATTTGGAATGTCATCCTTTTCTGATCAGGTTAAGTACAAGGATTTTGATATCTTTGATTCTTCACTGGGTAGACTTGTTCCCAGTTGTGACAAATCTATGTCATCTTTATTGGGAAAAAAGCCAGTAGATGGTCTTCGTCTCACTCAACCTGTTTGGTCAAAGACTGAGAATCTCCTTCGTAGTGCTTCTCAAGTTCTTGGCACAGCCGAACATTTTCTAGCTGCAACCGGAAATTTGCTTAACAGCGAAGATTCGGTTGTTCCAGCAGAAGTACGATCCTTCTTACTTCAACTGGATAAAGCTCTAGGTTCATCTCAGTTGCATTTAATGGGTTCTATTGCTAATTTGCACCCTATCTAAAAGAGCAGAGTTTCTTGAAAACTTTTCTGTTCCTGAGTCTTTGAAAGATTCTTTACTGAAATCTCCACTTACTGACAAGATGTTTGGTTTACCCGTACAGCGGGTTCAAGAGGAACTCAGTAAAAACCCTCCTCCAGTCAAAGTTAGTGTACAAGTTAACAATGGCAAGAGGTCGGTTAATGCTACATCTAGTTCTACTAGTACTTCTGCTTCAGGTGGTCCTCCTTCTTCTGCTAAGAAAAGGAAGAATAACTACGACAAACCGCAGAACAAATCCCATAACTCCGGTAAAAGCTCAGGTAAGCCTTCTGGTGGTTTAAAGGTCCCAAGAAACCTGGGTCTAGTACCTAGGTTCTTGCCCCCTCGTACATTATTGACAGCTTCCCCAGGGGAAAATTTACAACAAGTTCCTCAAAAATCAATACCAGTAGGGGGGAGGTTAAGTTTTTTCCTAAATCAGTGGAAGAAAATTACCTCAGACTGTTGTGTGCTGTCAATAATTCGAGGGGGATTAACACTTCAGTTCAAGAACCCACCTCCTTTGTCTGCAGTTCCGATAAGTTTGTCTCATACTCAAGACCCAGTCAAGTATCAACTTCTATCAGTAGAAGTGGACACAATGTTACAAAAATCTGCAATAGAGGAGGTGTCGCTCTTAACTCTGTCTCCGGGATTTTATTCCCGTCTTTTTCTGGTTCCAAAGAAGACTGGAGGAATGAGGCCGGTCATAGACCTATCTATTCTGAACAACTTTCTTATTGTTCCCCATTTCAAAATGGAAACCAACAGATCAATCAGGGCTTCAATCCTTCCAGGAATGTGGACTACTTCTCTGGATCTTTCAGATGCTTATTTCCACATTCCCATTTCCCATACTTACAGGAAATACCTTCGCTTCGTTTGGAACAACAAAGTTTTCCAGTTCAAGGCTCTCCCTTTTGGCCTGTCTACAGCCCCTTTGGCTTTTACCAAAATCATGCAGGCAGCTATAGCTCACCTACATTCCCTGTCTATTCAGATTCATTCCTACCTGGACGATTCCCTTCTCAAGGAATTTTGCCCAATCAAATTGAGGGTTCAGACAGATTTGGTCATCAATTGTTTTCTGTCCCTAGGCTTCCTAATCTCTTGGAAAAAGTCAGAGATAATTCCTTCTCAAGACTTTGTTTTCCTGGGAGAACATTTCCTAACCAGTGTAGGCCTAGTCCTCCCACCAGAGGAAAAATTTACAAAACTATGTCAGAAAATACATTTATTCCTGACGGTTCAATCAGTCACAGCACGTCAATTCTTGCAACTTCTGGGTCTATTGAACTCACTGGCAGATGTAATTCCATTGGGACGACTTCACATTCGTCCGCTTCAGTTTTATCTGCACAAGTTATGGATTCCAGCTTCACAAGAATGGGAAGCATTGATTCCAATCACTCAGCCTTTATTTCCACACCTTCAATGGTGGTTAGTACGGGAAAATGTAATGAGGGGCCTATGTCTGTCCCCTCAAGTTCCCAGTCTAACATTATTCACAGATGCCTCCACCCTCGGTTGGGGAGCATATCTGGAGGGGCTTACAATCTCGGGAGTCTGGAATCCAGATCTTTTGGAAGAGCATATCAATGCATTGGAAATGAAAGCAGTTCTGTTTGCACTGAATCATTTCCAAATGTCTCTAAAGAACCAGTCTGTCATTCTGGCCACGGACAACACAACAGTTGTAGCTTATCTCAAGAATCAGGGAGGAACTCATTCACCTTCTCTTTATCAGATAGCCAGAGACATTCTCCTTCTGTGTTTTCAACTCCAGGTTCATCTAGTGGTGAGACATATTGCGGGGCACCTCAATATTCTAGCCGACACTCTATCCAGATCCCTTGCTCCAGTAAACACGCAGTGGGAACTACTTCAAGTAGTTTTCAAAGCTGTGACTCTTCATTGGGGGTCACCTCAGATAGATCTGTTTGCGACCAGTCTCAATCACAAACTTCTAACATTTGTGTCTCCGGTTCCAGATCCAAAATCTTTTGCGGTAGACGCAATGAGCCTATCTTGGAAAGGAATGTTCGGGTACGCCTTCCCTCCTTTCAGGTTTCTCTCCCCAGTACTTCAGAAAATAGCAGGGGAAAATTGCAAGATCATAGTTATTGCTCCAGCATGGCCGAAACAGTCTTGGTTTCCAGACCTTCTGCGCCTATCATGTGCTTGTCCTCTAGTTCTACCTCTGAGACCAGACCTTCTGTCTCAAATCAAGGGCAAGGTTCTTTATCAAAATCCAGAAAAACTTCATCTACACACCTGGCTTCTCTCAGGGTTAGCCTCAGAAAGAGAGGTTTTTCTGAAGGAGCAACCAAGCATCTCACAAAGTCTGTCAGAGACTCCACTAGCATTGTCTATGATGCAAAATGGTCAATCTTCTCAGATTGGTGTAGTGAGCGGGAAATTGATCCTTTCCAAGTCACTGTACAACAATTAGCAGACTTTCTAGTTTTTCTTTTTGAATCCAAAGGATTATGTCCCTCTACTATTAAGGGATATAGATCAGCTATTTCAAGAACTATTCATATTTCTGGTGGCCCAGATTTTGGAAACAATGAGCATATTTCTCTTTTGGTTCGTAGTTTTAGTCTTGAAAGACCAAGACAAAAAACTTTAGTTCCTAAGTGGGACCTTGGACTAGTTTTATCCTTTTTAAAACTTCCTCCTTTTGAACCAGCAGAAACAATAGATTTAAGGTTTCTTTCCTATAAATGCTGTTTTCTTTTAGCTTTGGCTTCTGGACGGAGAAGGAGTGAAATCCATGCCTTCTCTATTTCTGATGCTTGCCTTCGATTTAACAGGGATAAATCTTCTGTTACTCTTTTAACGGATCCTGCTTTTTTGGCAAAGAATCAGATTCCAGATAAGGGTGCAGAATCAGTCGTGATTCCTGCACTCCCTAGCGATTCTATTTCTGTACTTTTTATGTCCAGTAAGAATCCTTTCTATTTATCTGGATAGAACGAGTAGTTTACGTTCTGTTTCTAACTCAAGACTCTTTATTCCTATTAAAAAAGGAATCTCAGATCTTTCTGTTAAAACTATTTCTACTTGGATATGCAAATGCATATCTTTAGCTTATGGTTCTTCTAAGTCAGAACTTTTAAATAGTTTTAATGTTTAAGCTCATGATGTTAGGGGTATCTCTACATCCTGGGCTCTGTTTAACAGTGCATCTTTAGAAGAGGTACTGTCTGCAGGTTTCTGGAGAAATGAGAACTCTTTTATATCTCATTACCTCCAATCTATGGCTACTTTTGCCGAGAGTTTATACTCTCTTGGACCTATAGTTTCAGCACAAAGATTGAACTTTCCTCCTGTTTCTTCTGTTACAGGGGATTCAGCTTTACGTTAGATTCTGTTACTCAGAATTTATGATGGTAACGTATTTATAGCTATAAAATATTCAAATTTTAAAGTAAATTTGGATTTTATTAGATAAATACTTACCATCATAAATTATAGGTCCCACCCACCTCCCCTTCATCCCCTTTCCCTACGTTTCTGTCTTGAGGAAATTGAATGGGAGAATATGGGCAAACAGGGGTATATGTCCGGACCAGTGAGAGTACGTTTATTTTTAGTCGGGATTTTCCATCTGACCTATGACGCAATTGGGGTTACACTCAGAATTTATGATGGTAAGTATTTATCTAATAAAATCCAAATTTACTTTAAAATTTGAATATTTAAAACTCAGCATGAGGCAACAGTCATTATAATGACCAAATTTTAAATATAGATTTCTGAAGATTCAAGATTGAGTTAAATATCTATTTATACAATTCCTTCTAATAACCTTGACAACAGAGCTTAAACTATTTCATAAATAAAGTTCATTTGTGAATCATAGTCCCAACTTTCCCTGTGTTTAAAAAAATCTACATCAATTTCACCTTCAAAACTATAAAGTTTGAATACATAACAACTTTTAACAAACAATAATTGATCAAATTCCTGGAAACTTTGAATAACCTGCATTCTATATCCTGTCTTAGATTTAAAGGACAACATGTACTTGTAAATTATAGATATGTTTACAAAACTGACTAACATTTCAGCATTCAATTTTTAATATTATTTGTATTTCAACAAAACTAAATCCTTTGTTCTCTGGGGACAGGGTCTGATTTTTCTACTCAAATGAGCATAATAAATATATTTCATAACAATGAATGTGTAAAAATTAGCAACATTACTGATAATAACTTTCACAGTTTCTCATTTTTTGTGAAATTCTAAACATTTTCATGCTTCTTTTGTAACTTGTTTTAACTGTTAAATATATCTTATCACCAAACTGATAATCTATCCATCTGTCACTTGTTAATTACATAGTCTGTGACCTTGAGGAATAATACTACATGTCTTAGTTAGGTCATATAACTTTGTTAAAATGTGCATGTATTGTATTTAAATATTTCAATGCTTGTATGCAAACAAAGAGCTAATCAGAATGTCAGATAATGTGATAAATACCAATAGACAGGACTGGACAATAGAATGGAACCTAGGGGCCAGATTTTATAGAAATTATGTTTTTTTTAAAAACTAGCTAGGATTGAGGTAATGAAACCAGTTTGTATACAAAAAAACATGCTATAATTTCCTCCATTGAAATGAATATAACACCCTCTTTTTATCAAGCAGATTAAATTTTATTGTTCTTTTATCAGACCATATTAAGGGTTAGATTAACTATAACTTCAAATTTATCAATATCTGAGATAAAATACAGTGGAAAATTTTGTTTTGTTTGTTTGTATGTTGATGTTTAGTGCCACTAGACCTTCACTGGCTTCAGCAAGAAAAGCCACAATCCTTATCAGTTAGGACAGGTCAAACTTTAACCTCACTGAGGGTGGGGTTTAAGACTCATAACCTCCGTGTTAACAGACTAGGCCACCGTTTAAAAATTGTTTGTTTGGTGTTGCCTACCCATGTCTTGTATGATTAAGTAGGTAGGTAGGGATATATTTTTTAATTTGGCCAACAGCACAAATTACACGTTATAGACAAGAAAACAACGATGGAGCAGGAAATAATCTTTTAAAAAATATAGAAACAATTCGTGTCATAAAATTTTTGGATAGGCTGCTTTTTAGGACACTAACATGACTAAGGTGGATAGGTTACGGCAACATCAAACAATTTGAATTTTATTTTTGGCCCTAGGGATCACTGTAGATTAACTATTTAACCCATTTTGCAAACGAGGCACCTGGAATTTTTTGTGTTTCATACTAACTCTATCATACTTAAAATTAAACATTAAGTAAAACTGTGGGGCATAAGATCCAAATATATAAATTTGTGTTTAATCTGTCAATCAGGTATCATAGATGATTCATTTCGTCATTTTTGGTTTACGATGCAAAAATCATCGAAAACTTATAATGTCTGTATAATTTTTACATGTAATTTTGATGACTATTATAGGTAAGATTACTAAATCAAGACAACCTTCATGTATATATAACTATATACTGTATGACCTTTTGGCACCATTTAATAGCAATACAGAAACATGTATGAATGTTCGTAATTTTAATTTTAAAGAATGTCACAGTTATTCCCCGAGTACAATGTATATTCTAAGTATTCCACGACCTTTTTGTGAGATAATATTAAGCTTAATTAAAAAAAAATAAAGTAAAAGTGTATTTAGTAAATTAACAGAACATCAAAAGGTGATCAAAGTTGTAAAGACTTTCAACTGTCAATGTTATATATATACTAACTTATATAAAAGTAAGATGATGTGGTATGATTGCCAATGAGACATCTGTCTACCAGAGAGTCAGACCAAATGACGTAGTAATTAGCAAATATAGGTCACAGTATGGACTTCAACAATGAGCAAAACCCATAAGTTGCATAGCAAGCAATAAATCATAATCTTTTAAATACATTGTATTGTAAAAGCTAAGGTTTGAAGAACCACAGCAAATAAATACTATCTAGATAGGCACTAGATGTAAAGCAGGATTAACAATACTTTCTCGTGTCAATGATGCTTTGAAAAAATAAGAAAACCTGGAATAATCAAATTAACATTTTAAACACTTACCTTACAGTCAAGAAGTGCTACAACATTTTCATGGTGTAAGTCTGACAGTTCCTGTAATGAATGAAAATATAAAGAAAGTTCAGTTTTACAATTATACACACAAAATAAATGTATTCTAAAGTTTCAGAATAAAACAAAACAGAATGTAGTACATTTTGATCATGTATGAAATCTACTCAATATTGAAGACTTAAACAATAGTTTTTGAGTCTGACAAGAATAAGGTTTGCTACATGTACATTTTATGTACATTGTATATGGACAACCAAAGCTTAATGCTGATAAATGGATTTACCATGCAGGTCCATGCAAACCAGGACAAACTTAGGTGACAACTTTCAGAAAGACAGACATATAAATGAGATGAAGAGAAAGAAAACTCACCTTGAGTATTTTTATTTCCTTGCTGAGAAGGTTCTGTGATTTAGCCAGATTCTTCTTTGTAATGCTTTTGATGGCAACTGGCATATCAGGCCTCTGAAAAATATAATAACATATATTCAGAATTTATTGTGTGTATTTGCATGTATTATTGTGAATGTTTGACATGAAATTGAACTCTTCTAGATCATCATCATGTCATGTTGAATATGCCTTGCAAAAATTTAAATATGAGTTAAAATTATCAAGTAAAAATAAGGAGATGTGGTATGATTGCCAATGAGACAACTATCCACCAAAGTTCAAATGAAGTGGATGTAAGCAATTCTAGGCAACCATACACCCTTCTTTCTAACAAATTTGTCAAGAAACTCACCATTTTTGGCCATGGTGAGTTAATAGTTATTAAAAATATCAAAATATATCAACATTGAACATAATGAAAGACTTATATCTTTCAAGGGAAATATAAGTAGAGACTAAGGTATTGATAAGCCCATTTTTATTGTCACATGAATACAATAGGAAGTGCCTCAGGGGAAAGCCATAAACATGAAATGAAGGTCCCTCCATTAAGAATGTATAAAAAGGTCAACTCAATAATCAGTAGCCACTCAACGCATGACTGTATACAATGTATTGTGTACATGTACATCTTTATAATTTATATTATAATTTTAACATAATGTAGTGCATGTACATAACTTTTTTGTAAAGTACTAAGTACATCATGTACATTTTGTACAATGTATAAGCCATTGCTTCTTCCAAATTTATGTATTGCATTGACATACAATGTTAGGTATGTATGAGTCTGGTATACAATTTAAATCTCAAAGCGTAACACCAAAATTATGTGCATAGATATAAGAAGATGTGGTATGAGTGCCAATGAGACAATTCTCCATCCAAGTCAAAATTCATAAAAGTAAACCATTATAGGTCACAGTACGGTCTTCAACACGGAGCCATGGCTCACACCGAACAGTAAGCTATAAAGGGCCCCAAAAATTACTAGTGTAAAACCATTCAAACGGGAAAACCAACGGTCTAATCTATATAAAAAACGAGAAACGAGAAACACTTATGAACCACATCAACAAATGACAACTACTGAACATCAGATTCCTGACTTAGGACAGGTGCAAACAAATGCAGTGGGTTTAAACGTTTTAATGGTACCAAACCTTCACCCTTTCTCTGAAACAATAGTGTAACATCACAACATAGAAAGACACACTATAAAATATCTACTGAAATAGCTTAACTCAATCAAAGGACATATTAACACCATTGAACATACATGTACACTGAACAAACAATTTTGACCTATGATACAATGTAAAAACAAAATAAATAAACTAAGGGAAGAATAATAAAAGTAACATGTATTCACTGAGAATCAGATTTTGTCAGACGTAAAATATTTCCATGCCATAATAACCCAGATAACTTCTAATATGACAAAAAAAAATTAACATTCAATTTCATAATGCATGGGTGTAGTAGTCTGTGAACCAACTGTTTGGACGAAAATGTTGATTTTTTTTTTAATTCCATGGAGGCGGGATATATATAGACTTTTATTTTGCATGTTTTGTGTATATGTGTTACTGGTTCAATGATCTGCTAGTGAACACCAGCTGATTGTTCTATTTTTAGAAATTATAACATGATTTACCTATAACATGTTAACAGGTAGGAAATGTTATTTAATAACCAACCTAAAACTGTGTCAGGTCAAGTTACTGTTGTCATGCGGTGCATTATTTCAAATGTTTACAAACATTTGAAATCGACTATCCTTATTTCAATGTTGGTAAACATAACTCAATGACGTTGTTCATTATCCTTATTGATTGTCAAAATATGTCAAATAATTGAAACAATAACAGAAATGATTTGCCAAATATAAAAATACTTTTATATGTCAAGTTAATCATGATAAATATCAAAATGTCAATAAATCTAATTTCAAAACATTTTAGACAACATCAGAATATACTAGTTCATTTCTTTTCTCATACATTGCATATGTCAAAGAGAGGCAACAGTTTACCAATGTTCCAAATATTATCTAAATATTACTCAACATTGATAATAATGAAATGGTTCATTTCCCTATGTTTTCTACAGTTATTTTGGGTATTGAAAACTGATACTGGGAAAAATTAATCCATAGATCATGTAGATAGTATGTGCAAATATCAAGCATTTTACGATTTATGTTTAAAGGATGAGATTTGAGGTATATAATTTGATGACAATATTATAATGATACACCTGGTATGTCTGATGCATAATGTAACCTAAGACCGTTAGTTTTGAATTGTTTCATATTTTTCTTGTCTTGGCTTTTTACAGCTGACTATTTGGTATGGGTTTTTCTCATTGTTGAAGGTCCTATGGTCGCCTATGATTGCTTACATCCACTTCATTTCAACGTTGGTGGATAGTTGTTTCATTGGCAATCATACTACATCCTTATTTTAATAAGTATCCATATGCATTTTGAATTCAGTGGAACAGGTAGGGAATTACAAGGATGGATTAGTCTGTTCAATTGTCTAATGTTTTTGGTAATTCTGTAATCATCTTTATTAAGTATGCACAGTGACATTCTACATGTATATACATGTACATGTGCCTGTCCCAAGTCAGGAGCCTGTTACTCAGTGGTTGTCATTCGTTGCTGTCTGTCATATTTATTTTTAGTTTGTTCTTTCATAAATCAGGTTTTTTTTTGTTTCACTTGTTTTACATTTTGTATATTTGTCATGTCTTTATAGTTCAAACTTTATAGCTGACTACATGTATATGGTATGAATTTTACTCATTGTTGAAGGCCATAAGGTGACCTCTAGTTTCTAAAATCTGCTTCACATAAAGTTTTAAATTTTGAACAATTGTCTCACAGGCAAGCATACCACATCTCCATTATATTATATATGGACAACTCCAATGTCATAATTAACAATGTACATGTATGTCAAAGCAGTTAAGCATTTTGGGGCAGTGTGCAGAACGCTGTATAAAAGATATCGTACACATATGATTGCCTAGTTAACAATTTTCCACCAGAGTACAAATGACATGGATTTCAAGCAGCTTCATATACATGTATTCATGTACACAAAAAAATGTACATGTACATGTATGTATATAAATGTTTGAAATAAATATCTATAACTAAATCACTCTCTTCAGTCTTCTTATATATTAAAAGAAGATGTGGTATGATTGCCAATGAGACAACTCTCCAAAATAGACCAAATGAAACAGAAATTAACAACTATAGGTCACCATACGGCCTTCAACAATGAGCAAAGCCCATACCGCATAGTAAACTATAAAAGGCCTCGAAATGACAAATGTAAAACAATTCAAACGAGAAAACTAACGGCCTAATTTATGTACAAAATAATGAACGAAAAACAAATATGAAACACAGCAACAAACGAAAACCTCTAAATAACAGGTTCCTGATTTGGGACAGGCACATACAGAATGTGGCGGGGTTAAACTAGTTTGAAGGCGCCAACCCTCCCCTAACCTGGGACAGTTGTGTAACATTTCAATATAAGAACAAACTATAAACTTCAGTTGAAAAAGGCTTATCTCATCAGATGAATACAAATAGAAATACATCCAACAAAAAAAAAAGTGGACGCGGACAGGTACTTGTACATCCCAACAACAAAAAGACTCTTAGCACAGATCTGAAAGTACTCGCAGTAACTGACAGCTAGTTCAAAGCCAATAACAATTAATAAAAAAAAATCATGCATCTAAGACTTAATGCCCAGACTTCTCCTTTTTGAAACCAACTCCAAGATATATATTTGCATGTAACAATGACTACACATGTAATAATCACTAATGTTTTTGAAATTGTTACACCTTTTGTTAAAACAGGGTGAGGACTTCAATGTATTTTTAAACATGATATCAGGTGATGCAATCTTTATTTCAAAAAACATTGCTTTTGTTTTTAAATAAAAAGTTACCTTAAGCTCTTGAACTTTTGATGGAGATTCGCAAACAGTAACTTACATATCAAAAGAATGGGTGATAGCACATACACATAAACTGACTATGTACAAGATCAATACAGTAAATATAATTTGCCTCTTGCTTTGTCTTGATAAATTTCATAAAACAAAATGTTACCTTTCTGTTTCTCCCTTTGAAGACAACAGCAAAAGCGCCATGCCCAATGAGATCTTTCCTGTTGTATTCGTAATCACCAACTATCTCCATATTTCAGTAGGGTTTCAATTACGATGAATGAAGTTTTTATCAGCATCATTCATTTTGAAGCTGGATGCAGATGCCATTATGATGGCGCATCAATTGTCCATCTTTACGAGAGATTTCGATATAATGTCATATTAAAACAATTGTTTGAAGAATCATTTCGTTTCTAAGTAGAATGATTACTGCTTTTGTTCCAAATATGCCTCGTTTCTTCTTTATCAATTATTTCATTCGTTTGACAGGTCACTCAAAGAACACCTGATTATGTTTTGTTTTGACCAATGAACATCCATATCCCTTTGCGCGATCATAAATTAACATAAATAATCCAGCATATATTTTGAAATGTTAATGTATGTGACTATCAAAGCTGCGAGTTCATTTTTCCAGAAATATACAGAAATTCAAAAAAATTATATTCCATGCATAAAGATTGTTGATACATGTTAAAGTAGAAAACATCACGTAAAAAGAAAAACATAAACAAGCGCAAGAATATACCATAGTGCTCGAATATAGTTCTCCAAACCATACGACGAGAGTTTGACGAGAACTGATAATGATGGAGGAAACACGTGTGGTTAATTTGCTTGCAAAAAAACTTCATGTATACGAAATGCCTACATGTGTCCGCTATTGACAGTCATTTATTTTATCTAGAACAATACTTTTATCGTTGAATAAGTTTAATATCATTGTGAGTTTTGCATAAAACAAAGCAAAATATGGGTTGTCAACAAACCTTGGATTGACCTATGAAAACAATCTTCAGAAACAAATGGCGCAATACACAATATTTACATTCAAGAATTTGACATTTAAAACTGCACTCATAAATGTAAACATACTCTCTAAGAGATGAAAATAAACACATAATTTTCCATGTAAAAAAGAAGTGCAAAAGTTTCAGTTTGTATTGATAACCTGCTGAAAGAGGAGTTGTCTCCACCTGAAATACAAATAGAAAGACCTTCAAGTCACCACTGTCTTCAACACATTATGATGCTTGACTGTAATTAATCTGATAAACAAACCTCATGACATATATACACAAAGGGACTTTGGTGGCTAAGTAGTTCATCTACTGTATCACTAGCCTGTTGACACTGTCACTGAGGTTGTGAGCTCCAACCTAGTCCAAATAATGATGACGTCTTGAAAAGCTATTATTTTTTTTTCTGTTGTGCCTTCCTATGACGTCATAACACTGAACTTTGAGAGAGACCATTCAGCGGATCTTTGAGACCCAATTTTGCCATAGAATTTTCATTGATGGCTAGACATTTTGCATAGATACAAAGTCTTACCTTTTTGTGTGCTTGTTGGTGCAAAATATTTCCAGAAATATCCAAAAGTAATGACAATAAAAGTTTACGATTTCATTTGAGGTGTGCTACTTCGATTTCAAAATGGTTTCCTGATTTTTTTTTAAGATCCCTCACTTCTGGAGAGTATGAAATATCAAACTCCGTAAAATTATGCAGACCCGAATATATAAATCAAACATTCCAAAATTCAGGTCTATCAAATTTTATGGAGTTTGGTATTTTATACTCTCTGAGGAAGTGAAGGATCTTGGGGAAATCAGGGAAACCATTTAGAAATCCAAGTAGATCATTGCACATATCAAATGGATTTGTAGTTTATTTTATCATTACTGTTGGATATATCTGGAAATAATAATATATGTCAGGGTTTGAAGTTAGCGGTCGCCTACTTCAATGACTTGGCGAGTGAATTTCAGTGTGAGCTTATAAAAATCCTATCTCTTTGGCCATCTTTGTGAGTGAATAATAAATTCTAGTGTGGGTCAATAAAAATCCAATCTCTGTTGACCACTTTTTCAGTGTAAATAAAAATTTAAAAAGCAGAAATTTTAACAATATATTTCTAATATTAATCAGAGTCTTCCAACTTTGTTTACTAAGTTTGTGCGCATGCTTCTGCTTCTAGTTATGGAAATAGTACTGTATCCGGAGCACTTTGGTTTGGAAACGGAAGTGTAGCTTCATTTTCCATGTTTTCAATTTTGATACTTCACTTTGCGTAAATAGACTTTTGTGATTATTCTATTTTTAAAAGACGATGAATAAGGTTAAGAAGTGATCGATCTGAAGATGAAAATTTCTCTGTCGTTGTTTTTGTACAGAAATATACACCCTTCTCCAAACTTTGCAATTATTATACTTCAATCATAATATCTGGTTGGCGAAAATGTCTCGCCAGACCAATTTGAACACTTTTTTTACCAACCCCACTCAGCTTCAAAGGAAAGACTTAACAAGACAGAACAAAATATTACCAAGGTTACGATCTATCTAAAAGGTCTAGACAACTTGAATGTTTTTTCTTTTAATAAATTAAATGTTCAATTAAAATTACATGTCTACAACTCTGGTTTGGTACAATTGGAAAATGACGGGGAACCCAGGGACACATTGATTAAATACCACAATGGTAAACAAACAATTAACAGTGGAGGATTAAAGACCAGGCCAAGAAAAAAAATTAAATGGTGAAATTTCTAAACTTTTGTATATAAAATCATGATTTCCATATAAACAATTTTGCTGCCATGGGAGTGCCAGAATGCAGGATTTTGCCCAATTTACCCCCAGAGCTTCAGGGAGCCTTAAGCAGTCCCCAGAACCCTCCCCTGTGGACTCCTTACTTCTTTAGTGGACTACAAGGGTCCGGAAACGGTCATATTTGCCAGTCATGTCCTAAACTGAAAGCTATATGTCCTAAACGAGTAATTGGGATTTAGAACAAATTTTATTTTTTAACAGAAATAATTTCGGTCATTTCATTGACTCAGTGTTTGAAATCATATTTCTGAATCGCCATTTTGCACTTGTGATCACTTGTTTTTGTTTATAATCCCTTTCCTGTAATAAAACTGCCACTCCTAATAACTATATCAATGCCTCCGGGAACATTGGCTAATGACCGCTTATTACTTTTTACCTGTGTTTTTTATTCACACCTGACATTGATCACAAGCTCAGAATAATATCTTAAAGAAATTAAAATTCCCTGACAAGTGTATTCATTATTTAATTACTTTTCAGCAAAGACAATCATTAATTCTGATTTAAAAATTAAACCTTGATTTAATTTATGTAGAAAAAAGTGTTTTTTTTCACGAGTAACACATGTGCTTTATTTACTATGTAAAACACTTTTAAAGGTAATAAAATTAAAAAGCTGGTGATTTCCTGTCAATTTGATAAACAAAATGAATCCGGAATCATCCTACTTTAATATTATCACAAAACTTCCGGTTTTAATTTCATCAAATGGAAAAAAACGATAGCAATGTCTGTGAAATTAACCATTTTGAGTCATTAAAATCATTTCAATTTGAAACTGTTGCCTTCTCTAAACTGTTCTTGAAGGTTTTAGAAAAATGGTAAGAAATTTACTTAGTAAATGCGATGAAACAGCAATTCAAGTTTGTTGATGCTATGAATCTAGTTTGTCATCGACAGTTTGAAAAGGGGCACCAACTTTTCAATCATCTCAAAATGACCGAAATTGTGTGAAAAAATTTCCGGATCCTTGGTGGACTACCACAATTTTTTTTGGTTGCCCACTTGGCTACTGCTCTATTTTCTCAGCTTCAAACCCTGTATGTTAAGCAATTCAATTTGCCTGTTCATATTTATAGACTAGTGTTAGTATCAAAACCTTTAAAATTCTGCTGGTTTTTTTTTCTCTCTTGCTTCATCATGTTCATTGTATAAAAATTTGAAATAGCAATGGAACAAACATCAAGAACAAAATATATGGAATTTTTAGGGAATGTGCTATCAGCCTTATAATGTAAAATTTGTCAAAAATGCTTTACATTGCTTAATTTCATAGGTACATTTTCTTTAGTGAGGTATGTGTCAGGTTTGGGATTTTTGGTATTCATTTTGCATTACACCATTGCCCTTATATTCTGGATGGTTATGCTAAATTGTTCTTTGGGTCAACTAGCACCATTCTGCCATGAGATTCAAGATTGAATACTGCTTCATCAGGTATTCTGGAGGTCAAAATTTTTGAAATGGTGAACGTTTTTAATATTTCAGAGGTGAAAATCGAAAAGGCTGAAACAGAAAATCTAAATCCATCTAAAATTTATTTGATAATGAGAAGTGCAACATTTGTTCAATTATGTAATTTAAATACAGAAAATTCAAAATTCAAATGAAACATTCTAATCATGACAATACCAAAAGCAATTGATAGTGGAAGGATGCTACCCTGAGGAGTGACATATACCCTGTATAATTATAAAGTAAACACTATTCTTGAAATTCAAGTGTCTGATAAACTTTTCTGGTGAATGGTTGTCTCATTGGCAATCTTTATTGTAGTAAATAAACATTTTGTAAGATGTTTCTACCAAGTTTTGAAATTTAAAAAAAAACATGAAATTTCACCATTTTATTTTCATTAGCAATCATTCATGTACATGTATTACATCTTATTATATCTTTTTATTCTTTGATGTCTTTTGTGGTATAACTATTGATTGTCCAATGAAATTTTGGTCAGACCATTAAATAATAATTGCCTTCTGAAAGAAATGTTCAGTGAACAATCTAGGACCTTTGCTAAGTGTGGACAGAAGATTGTCAAAATACTTCTTTCTTCTTTCAGGGAAAGGTTTAAAATGACTGGTGTACGACTGGTCGGAGCGGTGGCTGTTTCAACAATATCTTTGTTGGCTTTGATGTGGTATGTCCGACGCAAGAAACCTCAAAAGTCACCTTCAAAAAAGAGAAATAAATCTGAAAATGCAGTAACCAAAGATAAAGAAGGAAATAACAGTCTGAGGCATATCTCATCGCAACCGTTGATAGCTGAATCAAGTAATGAACCTGTGTCAAATCAAGTCAATAATATTATAGATGATAAATTAGTTAAAGAAATTGAACGAGAAATTGAAAGACAGGAAGAAATGATCCTTAAAAAAGAAACACAATTGACAACTACAAAAAATGATATAATTTTACTGGAAAGTAGTGGTAACTTAAATGAAAACTTAAATGAAAAAAACCACCAGAATAAAAAAATTGAACATGTTCACACAACAAAAAAATCAGGGAATGCTTCACTACAACAAGATGACCTCATTTTGGCAGAGGCAGCCAACAACCTTAATAAATCCCCAACAATTACAGGCAGTAATGATGTTAGTGAAAGGAATGGTGCATATCAAAATTTTAACTTGACATCTGGTGAAAACGAGACAATCATCTCTGAGAATGTCTCGGTTCTAAATGAGGCAATGACCGCCTCAAGGATGAATGAGATGAGTTTTGTCAACAAAACTGAAAGTGAAAGTAGGGAAGACAGGGCAGAACAAGAAATAATGATTGAGCAGGATGTTCTCTCTGTGTCAACCATGGTGCCATTATTAGAGTCGACAAACCTTGATATCACTTGTTGTCAAGGAAGAGATAATGACTCAAACACTGATGATGTTATCAAACCAGAAACTTCAATAAAATTGGAGTCTTCTCTCTGTGAACATTCTCAAAACCTTCCGTCTTCAAATGGTAATGATCTGTCTCATTCAGAAGGAAAGAGTTCAGTGCTTAACAATAAATCTTCCCGGAGAAACAGAAATGATTCAAACTGTTCAAGTCAAAGTGCCAGTCATGTGGAAGATCGCATTTCAGAAACAAGTAGTGAGCGAACAAGTTCGCCGCCTAAAGACAGAAACTCAGTGTCTCCATCTAAAGAATCACAACATGGCATTATTGAGAATGGTGTCCAGAGTTCAGATACATCCAACTGTGATAGTGTTAGTATAAAAATGATTTCACAAACAGCCACAAATACAATACTTGCTAAACTTTCTTTCATAGGATACAAGGTTGCCTTTTTTTGAAGTCTGGAAATTTTTGCAAAGGGTTTATTTTGTGAATATCCACTCACATTTTATAACTTTGGTCTCAAAGGAATCCAGAATCAAGAGCAAGAAAAATGTGAAAAAATAAAACCTAGCAATCTGGGTTGATCTTAGAAATAGTTAACTTTAAACTTACATGACTAAGCTCCACAAAAATAGAGCAAATTGAAGGAATTTTTTAATATTTGCATTATCATCTCTCACCTCCATGACCTCTCAGGACACTTTTGTAATTGTAAGTGTGGGTTATAATTGTATGAGAAGTCAAAATTTACACTTACTTACAGTTTGGAAAAGAAAAACATACAAAAAAGACATCATCAGACATCTTATTGTACAATTAACAAATTTGGAAAGTATTTGCATGGAAGTCAGAATGCATAATCAAAAATGCTCCATTTTGTGAAAAAGATAATTTTCTAAATTTTTAAAAAGGTTAGAGTATTGCCTATTCTAACTAAGGATATGCATATTAGTACAAATTTTTGTATGCCATATTTTTGCCATGTCATTTTTCAGGCCTCCATTGACAGTGACCGAGGCAGTAACGGATATCCAACACCTAAAGTTAAGGATGACAAGACAAAGATTTCATACAAGTGTAACTTTCCAACAGAGCTCTGTGGAAGATTGATTGGAAAGTTTGGAAAAAATATCAATTTTATTAAAGAGAAAACTTTGGCTAATGTAGCTTTGAGTACAAATCCTTTCACACCAGCCTTTCAGCTCTGCTCTGTAGAAGGTAAATTCTCTGATGTATTGAATGTGTGAACATTATGTAATTCTTTTTTCACTTGAATAATGATTTAGGGCTTTTCCAGTTCTGAGTCAGAATAATGTGTCAGGGTAAGGTGACATGTCTTTCTGTGGACAGTTAACTTGTGAACTAGCACTTTAAAAATCAATCCTTCTCAGTGTGTCGGTCTAGTGCAAAGCAGGGTTTAAAGTCATATCACAATATTGTGTTCTTGTCCTGAATAAGCATTTAATTTGCCACTGGACGTTAAACAGGCATCTATCACATTTATTCAGTGGATAAGACGGGAGAAACTTGGGGTTAATATATATTGATATATATATATATACTGGTTTTATGTTTGGGTGCTCTCAAGTTAATTATTAAAAAAATGATTCTTGCTGATATTGAATATTAAAACAAGAAGAGTATTTGCAATTTTTTTTTACAAATGATCACCCTTTTAAATTACCCCTCATGTCCTTTTTTAGTATTCCAAAGTTTAGCCAGTATTAGCAAATGCTTTGTAGAATGATTTGTTTCTGTACAAAACGTACAGTGAGATTGCTTCACTTGTTTTAATGTCTAAATGATTAATCCTTTAAAATTCAATTCTGTCCAGTAATTTATGAAATAAGTGCTCAGTCTCAATTAAAGTAACTTGCATGTGTTGAAGAGTTATCATATTTATTGTGTAATAAGCCTTTAAAGCAGTTAATTTTCTATATATGAAATAAACGGGGAAAATAAAGTTTTATTACAAAAGCCTGCTTTAGAAATAGTGGCTAGTGTTAGCTGTACTTCAGAAATAGTGGCTAGTTTTAGTCGTACTTGAGAAATCGTAGCTAGTTTTAGCCGCACTTTAGAAATAGTGGCTAGTTTTAGCAATTCTTGAATAGTAAAGCAACACCCTGCATGAAATTTTGTTAAATATAACCCATTGTGTTTCACCAGGAAGCTGAGAGGACATGTAAGAAAATGTTTTGAAAATTGTCTGAAAACCAATATAAAAACATCAGTAGACTTTCGAAACTTTCCTTTTTGTACGCTCGTTTACGGGACGTATTATGGTATACCATTGTCCGTCTTCAACATGTCGGACATCAACTTCAAAAGCTGTAACCAATTTGCATAAAACTTTGGTGAATTGTTTATATCTATTGACGTGAGCTCCCTTTCGTTTTTTATAAATTTCAGATTTTATGTTTCTGAGTTGTGAGGTTTTATTCATTAAAAAAAGGGGGATTTTCCAGTTTTCAGACAATAACTCAAAATGCTTTCACCAATTTGCAAGAAATTTTGGTGAATTGTTTATATCTATTGACATGAGCTCCCTTTCCATTTTCATAAATTTTAGATTTTACGTTTCTGAGTTATGGGGTTTTATTCATTAAAAAAAGGGGCAGTTTACAGTTATCGGACAATTACTCCAAAATGCATTAGCAGTTCTCATGAAACTTTGGTGAATTGTTTATATCTATTGATGTAAGCTCCCTTTCGAATTTAAAAATTTTAGATTTTACGTTTCCAAGTTGTGGTGTTTTATGCATTAAAAAAGGGGGGATTTTCCAGTTTTCGGACAATACCTCAAAAATGCTTTCAGCAGTTCTCATGAAACTTTGATGAATTGTTTAAATCTATTGACAAAAGCTCCCTTTCAATTTTCATTAATTTCTGATGTGACATTGAGAAGTGATTGAACTTTATTCTTTGAAAATGCAATGGGCGTATCATGCGCTCATGGCGCAGCTGTTTATTTCACTTGGAATTGTTTAGTCTGTTTCTTGAGAGGGAAAGCCATGTCAGGATAAAGATAGTAAAATATGTGCAATATTGTTTTTAGGTACACAGACACAGATAGACGATGCCTTGTCCATGATAAGCAAGCGGTTCCCAGAGGTTGACCTGAGACCAGTAGATGTCCCATCATTGAATGAACCCCAGCCTGTGGTATCTAATCCTCTCCTTATGCCAGAGTTAATGCAGGTAATACCAGGAATTACACAGGTAAATTCTTTTTCATAATTTTACTGTGGTCAGCAAGATTACCTGGTTTCAATGCAGAATTTCATACAGTGGTTTATATTGATGGTAACTTCTGAAGTTTAAGAAAAAAAAATTTTGTTTAAAGGTACAAAAACAGTAAAAAAAACTTTCTTCAGTTGGTGAAAATTCTGCATTGAATACTTGCCTATATTTGTGTTTGAGGTGGAGGTGAGTTCATTGACCATAAGATTGTACTTTTCCCATTGGTTTGCATGAAGCTTTTGAAGGTCATTAACCCCAAAATTCAGTCCTGTATTAATTTTTTTTTTATATTTTGTTGGTTCTATCTGCAGTTTAAACCTCATTGCTTCACTAAATGCAATAAATTTTAAAAAAAAACTAGCTAAAAAATGATTTGCAAAGTCCTAAATTAAGTGTTTAATTGGACAAATACAAATTTATATATATTTGTTATAGAACAAAGTGTGGTAATATGGTTAGTCCTGGACTTCGCAAGTCTGAAATGGAAAAATCTTTGCCAAACTGGGATGTCCGTGTGTGTTGGATGTTTAAATATGCAGCCACTTCCAATAAAATTGGGGACATGTATTCTGATGCCTCTTTTAGGGAGAGTGCCATACTCTAGGCATGAAAAACTTTAAAGAACCATGTAAGAACTCCGGGGAGTCAGTAGGTTGCCTACCCAACCAACCCATTTTCTTCTGACAATCCAAATTGCTCTCCCTTTGTTCAGATTGAACCACCTATTACATCAATTGTTGATTTGTTCTCTTCCTCAATATGCATGAAATAATTGCCACTGGACATTAAGCAAGCCACAATCAATCAACATTAATTTTAAGTTCAGTGATTAATATTAGTATTTTGTGCAGTACTTGTACCAATACAAGATTCTTATCGTTAGGACCTAAGAATTAATAAGGTAAAATTGTAATTCTGGAACTATCAATTATTTTATGTATATGATTTCATTGGAATGAGTCCTTAAGGTTCATGTGGATCCTTTGGCTAAAATGGCTGCTTTTTCACCTCAAAATTTTCTCTTGAGTACAGATAAACCTGTGTAACTGGAAAAGTTTTAAGGCATAGCATGCCCTAGATAAATAAAATTCAAATGCATTGTATGTTTTAGAAAATTTAAAACTTAACTGGATTTTGCAGTGCACTTTTTTTCATCCCTGCAGAAGATGATAAAATCAACAAACAGTTGAGTTTCACATGAAATGGTCCACTCTAGTACACAGTTTAAATCACCAATTATTGTCAGGTATCTATTGTCCATCTATTGACTATGTCAATCAATACATTTCACTTCAATTATTACCTGTGGGGAAGTTCTCAAACCTCTTTCACAACTTAGTTTATTTTGGTGCCTTCTGGAGGAATGAAAAAAAGTGCACTGCAAAATCCTGTTAGGTTTTTAATTTTCTAAAACATAAAATTTTTATGCTATGCCTTCAAAATTTTCCAGATACACAGGTTTGTCTGTACTCAGAGTAAATTATGAGGTGAAAATGTAGCCATTTTAGCCAAAGGGTCCACATGAACCTTAATCTGACCTTGTAGAAAGCTGAAAAAGTTTGAAAAAATTTTAAAAATAAGTATTAAAACATCATAAGTAACTTGTTTGTTACAAGCAGCATTTGTTTATTCTTTGGAATAAAAAAAAGTTAAATATATGCATTGAAATCTTAATTTAATAGACATGATACAGAGGATGGTCAATTAACACATCAATATTTAATCAGATATCTGGTAATAGTCTTGAAGTCTAATGTCTTAATATTTCTTTGGTTACATTCATAACTTAAATATGCTAGTTAATATGTAATTTAAACACTTGTTTTATTTTTAAGAATAGAATATTTGTAATAATTTTGAAGTCTTATGTCTTTATAATGCTTTGGTTTCATTCATGACTTAAATACGCTAGCTAGATAATGTGTGATTTAAACACTGTCTTGTATTTTTAATTAATCAGTGTATGTAGAATTATATTCTAATTTATGTATAAGATTGCAATGTAAAAAGAATAGCTCTTTCTATATTTCTAAAAAAAAAAATGGAGGTAGGTTCTTAATAGTTAACTTATTATTGTAAGTCTTGAATCGTATATAATCTCAAGCAGAACATTATTGGGTTAATAGATTGTTTTGGACACTCTCAATATTTCAAATGATTTTTGCTAGCAGTATTGACATACTATTGATTTATATTATATAGTAGATGTATACATTTATCAGACTCATTAAAGAGGTGTATACATTTATCAGACTCATTAAAGAGGTTAGAAAGAGAACCAGTCTGATGGTCATAACAAGAAAAATCTTTTCCAAACAATAAAATGACGTTTTTAGTGGACTCAATGTTCAATAAGTTTCTTAGAATTTTCTTTTCCGCTATTAAATGATTGATTGTCCAAAGAATTTTTTTTTTAGTCCAGTGTATAATGATTATTAATTAACAAAATATTCAGTGAACCATCAAACAATGTTGTAAGTTATCTTTAAAAAAAAAAATTTCCTTTGAATCTAATGGGCAAATTGGAATCAAACTTAATTGCAATTATCATAAGGGTATCAAGTTTTAAAAAAAAGTGTCCAATGATCCTGCCTGCTAACAAACATATGGCTGACATAGCAGAAAAAAAGAACAGTGGGGTAAAAATGCATGTTTTGTCTTAAAAACCGTTACAAGTAGAGAAAATCTGATAAGGCTAAAATATTCAAAATGTCAAGATCTTTCAAATATTGGGCTTTGAGCGTTCCTGACTAAGGTAAATCCAGAAAAGCGCTTCGGAAGCATGAAATTATTTAACATGTTATTTTCATTTTTGATCATGTTTATTATCTACATACTGTCTTTTGTGTCTAAAATTGTCAGAGAGTATAGGAGTTGTAGTAAATGGTGATTTTAAACCAATTTTTGATGTTTTTGCCTATTATCTTGAAAACTAAAATAGGTAGAGAGAAACAAATACTTCAAAGCAAATGACAAATATATGTGGATATATAATAACACATAATGAGAAGATCCTTATTCATTTTGAAGTCACAAGGTCAAAGTTAATAAAAGTAGATTTGTGTAAAACAATTTTACTAGGTGAAATCATAACAGGAAATAATGATACCCAAAAGTAAACAGAAAAAGCTATGCCAGCAGGTTACTATATACTCTTCAACTTAATATGTGGGCATGGGTCATGTGAGCTTCCTCTTTGAAGGTTCTTGAATATTGGTACTGGAACTTTTTTATGCCCCCGCCATAGCGGTGGGGGCATTAAGTTTTACCCTTGTCCGTCTGTACGTACGTACGTCCGTCCGTACGTCCCATAATTGGTTTCCGTTCTCTAACTTGAGTTTGCCTCAACCAAATGTTATGAAACTTACACACAATGCTTATTACCACAAAACACAGATCAAGTTTGAATTTTGGTGGCGTCACTTTAACCGTTCTAGAGTTATGCTCCTTCATAAATGGAAAAATTGCAAAATATTTAGTTTCCGTTCTCTAACTTAAGTTTACCTCAACCAAATGTTATGAAACTCATACACAATGCTTATTACCACAAAACACAGATCAAGTTTGAATTTTGGTGGCGTCACTTTAACCGTTCTAGAGTTATGCCCCTTTATAAATGGAAAAATTGCCAAATTTTTAGTTTCCGTTCTCTAACTTAAGTTTGCCTCAACCAAATGTTATGAAACTTATACATAATGCTTATTACCACAAAACACAGATCAAGTTTGAATATTGGTGGCGTCACTTTAACCGTTCTAGAGTTATGCCCCATTATAAATGGAAAAATTGAAAATTTTTATTTTCTTCTAAATATCAAGTTATTTTTTATTTTAAATTGGAGTTATCTTCCTTAGTCCATGATTATAGTTGAATCAACTACAATCAATGCTTTATACAATGCAATGTTTAATTTTGACTTCCACTGATAAAACACAGATCAAGTTGAATTTGGGTAGTGTCACTTTAACCATTATTGAGTTATGCCCCTTTATAAATCGAAAGATTGCAAAATTTTTTCTTTCCGTTTTCTAACTTTAGTTTGCCTCAACCAAATGTTATGAAACTTATACACAACTGTTCTAGAGTTATGCGTGTTTACAAATAGAAAAATTGCTGAATTTTTAGTTTCTGTTCTCTACTTAAGTTAGCCTCAACCAAATATTATGAGACTTACACACAATGCTTATTACCACAAAACTCATATCAAGTTCAAATTTGGGTAGTGTCACTTTTACCGTTCTTCAGTTATGTCCCTTTATAACTATATGATATGCAAGCGGGGGCATCATCTGTGTCCACATGTGGACACTATCCACATTTTTTTATTTTTCAGTTAGATATAATTGAAGACATAGTATCAAGTGTCATAGATGCTTAAAGTATTTTGTTTTGTGTTTTTCAGTTAAACCTTCCAGAAGGAGTTTCTGTAGACGTTGTAGTATCCAGTATTGTTGACGCTGGACATATCTTCATGCAACAACCTACTCACCCATCATTCCCTTCATTGGAGAGGTTGAATCAGTTCATGAATGCCTGTTACACACAAGATGGAATAGTGCCACAATTACCAAGACCATTAGAGGGTATATCAGGACTATTTTGATTTTTATACGACCGCAAAAACCGTATATTGGTATGACGTTGGCGTCGTCTTCGTCATCGTCCGAAGACACATTGGTTTTCGCACAATAACTTTAGTTTAAGTGAATGGATCTCTATGAAATTTTACCATAAGGTTCAATACCACAAAAGGAAGGTTGGGATTGATTTTTGGGTTGTGGTACCAACAGTTAAGGAATTAGGGGCCTAAAAGGGGCCAAAAATAAGCATTTTTGTAACTTCCAGACAATAACTTGTGTGTTAGTGTATGGATCTCTCTGATATTGTACCACAAGGTTCCATATCACAAAGGGAATGCTGGGATTGATATTGGGGGTAATTGCCTCAAAATTTTAGGAATTAGGGGCCAAAAAAGGGGCAAAAAACAAGCATTTTTCTAGTTTCATGACAATAACTTGTGTTCAAGTGTATGGATCTTTATGAAATTGTACTACAAGGTTCCATATCACAAAGGGAAAGCTGGAATCGAGTTTGGGGGTAATTGCCCAAAACGTTTAGGAAAAAGTGACCAAAAATAAGCATTTTTCTAGTTTCCAGACAATAACTTGTGTTCAAGTGTATGGATCTCTCTGAAATTGTACTGTAAGGTACCATACCACAAAGGGAAGGCTTGGATTGATTTTGGGGGTAATTGACTCAAAATTTTAGGAATTAAGGGCAAAAAACAAGCATTTTTCCAGTTTCAGGACGATAACTTGTGTGTAAGTGTATGGATCTTTATGAAATTGTACTACAAGGTTCCATATCACAAAGGGAAAGGTGGGTTTGAGTTTTGGGGTAATTGCCCTAAACGTTTAGGAATTTTGGCCAAAAAGGGGCCAAAAAACAAGCATTTTTCTAGTTTCCAGACAATTACTTGTGTTCAAGTGTATGGATCTCTCTGAAATTGTACTGCAAGGTACCATACCACAAAGGGAAGGCTGGGATTGAGTTTGGGGGTGATGAATCATAAGGGGGTTCACAAAATTTGGGGGGGGGGGGGTTTCCTTTTTCTTTTTTTTTTTCTTTAAAATTTTCCATGTTAAGTTGGTTATTTCTGATTTATATATAAAAGCAAATAATAATGATATGGTTTGAATAGGTAAATTAAAAATTTTAAGTTCTTAGACCACATTCATTCTGTGTCAGAAGCCTATGCTGTGTCAAATATTTAATCAAAATTCAAATTCAGAGCTGTATCAAGCTTGAATGTTGTGTCCATACTTGCCCCAACTGTTCAGGGTTGGACCTCTGCGGTCGTATCAAGCTGCGCCCAGCGGAGCATTTTATTATGGTTGTTTTACATTTTGCAATTTTGAAGTTTGTTAGGAACTTACATGTATTTAATCTGAGATTGCTGTGTCATATGGGGGGCCTTTTTAGGACTTTCTTGGGTGGTGGGATATCAAAGCGCACTTCACATAGAAAGCATAGAAATTTGTGATCAAGACTTGGGCCAGCAAAAGTCTGTCTTGAATTCGTTAGATCAATTTTCAAATTTTCAAGTAAAGGCTGTTTTTATGCAGGGGGAGGCACTCAAATTCATAAATTGTGGGTGGTTGCATTTTCTTTGGAATGTAAAAAGTTTAAGTAAATGAATTTTCATCAACCGACCATCTTCAGCAACATATTTGCATAACTTTTTAATCCCCTTACTTTAGGAGTCTTGTGAACTTTAGGGTTAAACTCCAATATTTAATAACAAGATGAATATGTTATTGACATGGCATTGAAGGTTGCACATGGCTTAAAAGTTTAATCATTTAAGCAACCATTTTATTTCAGTATATTGAAACTTCATAAATAACAGGGAAGATTCTAATCAGTTTTTATACGACCGCAAAATTTTTTTTCGGATATATTGGTATGACGTTGGCGTCGTCATCGTCCAAAGACACATTGGTTTTCGCACTCTTACTTTAGTTTAAGTGAATGGATCTCTATGAAATTTTACCATAAGGTTCAATACCACAAAAGGAAGGTTGGGATTGATTTTGGGGGTTATGGTACCAACAGTTAAGGAATAAGGGGCCAAAAATAAGCATTTTTGTAACTTCCAGACATAACTTGTGTGTTAGTGTATGGATCTCTCTGACATTGTACCACAAGGTTCCATATCACAAAGGGAATGCTAGGATTGATTTTGGGGGTAATTGCCTCAAAATTTTAGGAATTAGGGGCCAAAAAACAAGCATTTTTCTAGTTTCATGACAATAACTTGTGTGTAAGTGTATGGATCTTTCTGAAATTGTACTACAATGTTCCATATCACAAAGGGAAAGCTGGAATTGAGTTTGGGGGTAATTGCCCAAAATGTTTAGGAATAAGGGGCCAAAAAGGGGCCATAAATAAGCATTTTTCTAGTTTCCAGACAATAACTTGTGTTCAAGTGTATGGATCTCTCTGAAATTGTACTGCAAGGTACCATACCACAAATAAAGGCTGGGATTGATTTTGGCGGTAATTGCCTCAAAATTTTAGGAATTAGGGGCCAAAAAGGGGCAAAAACAAGCATTTTTCTAGTTTCAGGACAGTAACTTGTGTGTAAGTGTATGGATCTTTCTGAAATTGTACTACAAGGTTCCATATCACAAAGGGAAAGCTGGAATTGAGTTTGGGGGTAATTGCCCAAAATGTTTAGGAAAAAGGGGCCAAAAATAAGCATTTTTCTAGTTTCCAGACAATAACTTGTGTTCAAGTGTATGGATCTCTCTGAAATTGTACTGTAAGGTACCATACCACAAAGGGAAGGCTGGGATTGATTTTGGGGGAATTGCCTCAAAATTTTAGGAATAAGGGGCAAAAAAGGGGCAAAAAACACGCATTTTTATACGCCCGTCAATTTTTTGACGGGACTTATTATGGTATACAAATGTCCGGCGTCCGTACTTCTGTCTGTCCGTCTGTCTGTCCGGCGTAAACATGTCGCACCGTAACTTGAGAATGACTTATCCAAATTTCATGAAACTTAACATAGTTGTTTCTTATGATGGTCAAACGATCTGTATACTTTTTGGTGAAAATAAGATTAAAACTTTTTGAGTTACCGGACTTAGTAACTAAAACAGGTGTGTGTTTTTTTTTCACATGTCGCGCCGTATCTCAAAAACAATTTATGATTATTGCTTAAAACTTTACACACTTCTTAGTTATATTAATCTTAAGATCTGTATACTTTTTGGTGATGATTCAAAATTTTATTTTAGAGATATTGAGTATTTTGTTAAAAAAGGGGGAGGGGTTTTTCACATGTCGCGCCGTATCTCAAAAACAGTTTATGATTATTGCTTAAAACTTTACACACTTCTTAGTTATATTAACCTTAAGATCTGTATACTTTTTGGTGATGATTCAAAATTTTATTTTTGAGTTATTGAGTATTTTGTAAAAAAAGGGGGAGGGGTTTTTCACATGTCGCGCCATATCTCAAAAACGATTTATGATTATTGTTAAAATTTTACACACTTCTTAGTTATATTAATCTAAAGATCTGTATACTTTTTGGTTTTGATTCAAAATTTAATTTTAGAGATATTGAGTTTTTTGTAGAAAAAAAGGGGGTTTTCGCATGTCACACCGTATGTCAGAAACTATTTATGCTTATTGCATAAAAATTCACACACAAGACGACAAGCGTATCATGCGCTCATGGCGCAGCTGTTTATTCTAGTTTCAGGACAATAACTTGTGTGTAAGTGTATGGATCTTGATGAAATTGTACTACAAGGTTCCATATCACAAAGGGAAAGCTTGGTTTGAGTTTGGGGTAATTGCCCTAAACGTTTAGGAATTTGGGGCCAAAAAGGGGCCTAAAAACAAGCATTTTTTCTAGTTTCCAGACAATAACTTGTGTTCAAGTTTATGGATCTCTCTGAAATTGTACTGCAAGGTACCATACCACAAAGGGAAGGTTGGGATTGAGTTTGGGGGTGATGAATCATAAGGGGGTTCAAAAAATTTGAGGGAGGGATTTTTTTTTCTTTTTTCCTTTTTTTTTCTTTAAAATTTTCCATTTTAAATTGGTTATTTCTGATTAATATATAAAAGCAAATAATAATGATATGGTTTGAATAGGTAAATTAAAAAAATTTAAGTTCTTAGACCACATTCATTCTGTGTCAGAAACCTATGCTGTGTCAAATATTTAATCACAATCCAAATTCAGTGCTGTATCAAGCTTGAATGTTGTGTCCATACTTGCCCCAACTGTTCAGGGTTCGACCTCTGCGGTCGTATCAAGCTGCGCCCAGCAGAGCATTTTATTTAACTAAGAGCTGGTAGAAAATGATGCTTTTAAAAGAAGTGGAGATGTTTCCAAATACATTTTTCTGATTTTCAGTTAATTTTATTTGATAGCAAAATCAACCCTGAAGCAAACATGTTGATTTTTTATTTTTTTTTTTGAAGGCTTGAATTCAGAACTTATAATTATATTATATTTTCAGTGGGCGTAATATGTTCTGCACCTATAATGGAGGGGTGGTACCGATCACAAGTCACAGCTGTATATGAGGGTCCCGATGAATGTGATATCAAATACGTGGATTATGGCGGGTTTTCACGAGTTTCAGGATCAATATTGAGGCAGATTAGGTAATGTCTATATAATCTTGTGAATTCTTTATTGCCCAGTTGCATAAATGTAGTTTTTGTCTGATTTCAAATGTCATGAACAAAGGAGTAGGGCAACAAGACCCTTATTTGGCCCAAATATTAGTGCAAATTGAAGTTACCATACATATTCTAAAATCTGTCCTAACTACACTAAGGTACAAGGGGTTCAGAAAATATAAATAAATTTCGCATTTAACGAGTTACCATGGCAAAAAACCATGACAAAATTTATATATTTTGTAAAATTTCTTGATTTCCATCATTTTGTGTCTACTTTTAAGTATTATTGGATTGGAAAAGTATGTGCAAACCAAGAAATAAATTTATATTTGGTGATAATATGTCAATAGTTATAATAAAGCTTCTCTGAATTATTTTGTTGAATCTTCCCTACACACTATGTCTCCACAAAGGAAATACTGATGGAAAACTGCATAAACTCTGCAGTTTTCTTTGTTTTCATGAAAAAACATGTTCATAGTTTGGCATAATTGTGACGCCATTACATCAAAAATCTTATGTAATTCATTTATATTTCTTGATTTTATGCATTTCCAAACATTATGTGCAAATTTGAAATAGTTCTCGTAAACAGTTTTTTTTCTTGGGTCAAAGCAGGGCTTTAATGCCCCTACTCCTCTACTTTGTGACCTGGAGTCAGAAAGGTAGGGACTGTTGGTTATGATGTAATCTAATCAATCACTAAATGATGTCCATCTTCTAAATTTCCTACCATTAATGTGTAAGAAAAACAAATTTGAACTTGCATCATTTACACTTGCAGAAAAAATTCGGGTTGCATACAGTCACAAACATTTTCTGGGCTTAAGTTACTTAACTTTTTGGAAAGTTATGTTACAGAAATGTAAAACTATCAAGTATATTAATTAATGAGATCTCATAGCTTAAACTGTTCTTCCTGTTACCGTAATAGAGTGTTGTTGCTGGAAAATAATGGAATTTTTTTTTATTTTGTTAAATTCAAGCCGACTCCTGCTCTCTCTACTGTTTCTTAAAGTTTTTGAATTTTGTAGGAGTGACTTTATGACATTACCATTCCAGGGTATTGAATGTTACATGGCTAACATAACACCCTTACAAGGTTAGTAATATGTGTATTAATAACAAATATTTGAATTGTCCAGGAAATTATTTTTACAATGCTTACTTTTGCTGGTATAAAATATAAAAAATTAAATTGAGAATGGCAATGAGGAATGTGTTAAAGAGACAACAACCCGACCAAAGAGCAGAAAACAGCAGAAGGCCACCAATGGGTCTTCAACACAGCGAGAAAATCCCGCATCAGAGGCGGGCTTCAGCTGGCCCCAAAACAAAAATGTGTACTAGTTCAGTGAAAATGGACGTCATACTAAACTCCAAAACATATAAATGAACTAAAATTAAAAAAACATACATGACTACGAAAGGCCAGAGGCTCCTGACTTGGGACAGGTGCAAAAATGCGGCAGGGTTAAAATTGTTTTCTGAGATGCAAAAGCACTTTCTGTCCTTTCCTTGTGACGTTAGATGACCAACATTTCCAAGCTTTTATAATAGTATATATGTTTAATGTACAGAAGATTCTAACTTGATGACAATAGCTATAAACTTTAAAGTGGGAAATTTATGATTTTGGTATGTCACCTGCACACAACAGAATTTCATGAAACTTTGTAGATAATAAAGACATACTATGTAGATGTGCATATCAACAGGAATTTATGATTAATTTTTTTTCTAGGAGTTATTCCCCTTTGAACTATGAATTTTGGCCTAAATATACTACTGCAACAGTTTGTCATCACAACTCCTCTGAAACCACAAAACAGAATTTCATGCAACTTTGTAAATAATAAGGACATACTACGTAGATGTGCATATTGACAGGAAATTATGATTCAATTTTTTTTCTAGGAGTTATTCACCTTTGAACTTACAAATTTGGCCTAAATATACTACTGCAACAGTTTGTCATTGCAAAAATTAACTCCTCTGAAATCAAACAACAGAATTTCATGAAACTTTGTAGATAATAAGGATATAATATGAAGATGTGCATATCAACAAGAAATTTTTATCAGTTGCCTATTGTAGGAGCTATGAGTCTTTTAACTTAGGAATCTGGTGAGATTTAACTTAGGAATCTGGTGAGATTATGTTTGCCAAGGGACAATGTGGTGGCGTGCGGTATGTGATCGCGCTCACAAAGGTTCTATAATTTGGAAATGTTGTATATAGTAATATAAGTGGTTGTACTTTTGTCACCTGTCAGCCTCTCTGGTCATAGGATTAGCACAGATATTATTGTTATTACAGATGAGGAGTATTTTAGTTCTGAAGCAGCTGCAGTGTTAGAAGAGCTCACCCAAGGGAAGTTACTCCAGGCTCAGGTTGTGGGAAGAAATGAGGATGGCATAGCTTACTGTCATATATACCAGATCAATGGAGATAAGGTGAATATTGAAAATGAAATAATGGTGTCTTTGTGTAAAGTCAGCAATTATATTGTACATTCAGCCAGTTATAAGACAAAACAGTCTGTCAGTTAATTATTATACCCCCGCTTTAAAAAAGTGGGGGTATACTGTTTTACCTCTTCTTACCGTCCTTCCATCTGTCCGTCAGTCCATCCATCCCATGAATATTTTTTGTCGCATCTTTCTCAGGAACTCTGAGGATTTCTGAAATTTAGTTTCTGGGTTTATTTGAGTCAGCTATACCGTGTGATGCGTTTTCAGATTCATCACTCAACAACTTCCTGTTTACCTTATACTTTTAGCGGGGCGGGGATATCATTAGTGAGCAGTAGCTCACAGATTCACTTGTTTTGATTGCCATGAATATGAAGGAAAATGTTATTGTATGAAAAAGGATTGACAGATGTTAACACCCAGCAGCAAATAAATTGTTATAGGTTTCATAAAGAGTGAGAATTAGATCTGGCTTGATATCAACTCTAGTTATTGAAGTTCACTATTAAAATAAACGAGCCTGTGATGAGTTTATTATTATTATTGAAATCACATAACTTATTAATTTCTCTTATTGGAAAAATTATCTATGTATAAAAAAGAAAATTCTGCAAAACATTGTTCCTGTCTCATGCACCTAAACAGTTTGACATCACAAAGTCTGATTCCGGTGTCAAACATTAACATCAGAAGTTTTCAGTCTTTTTGTAAGCTTTAGAATGGTATTAAATTAGACAAAAGAATATTTTCAGGTGAAACATGCGAGTGTTTGGTATATTATTGAAGAAATCACAAATCTCTGTTGCCACAGTAAAAAGTAATCTGCTGTGACCTTTAAAAGTTATCATTGACCTAATGAATAGCCAATGGAAATGTAGCAATTTTGTAACAAGATAGGCTGACCAAATTAGCACATTTTTGGTATAATTTATTCATATCACATTCTGTTCAGTTTGATACTAGAAATATCTCTTCATGTGGGACATAGATAACAGACCACAACCATAAGAGAAATGAATATTCAGAATAAGAACTTTTTAAAAGTTATGCCCCTTTACAAATGGAAAAATTGCTGAATTTTATGTTTCCGTTCTCTAACTTTAGTTTGCCTCAACTAAATGTTATGAACCTTATGCACAATGCTAATTACCACAAAACACAGATCTAGTGTAAATTTTGGTGGCGTCACTTATAATGTTTTAGAGTTATGCCCCTTTACAAATGGAAAAATTGCTGAATTTTTCGTTTCTGTTCTCTAACTTAAGTTTGCCTCAACTAAATGTTTTGAAACTTATACACAATGCTTATTACCACAAAACTCAGATCAAGTACGAATTTGGGTAGGGTCACTTTTACAGTTCTTGAGTTATGTCCCTTTATAATGTTATATGCAAGCTGGGGCATCATCTGTGTCCCATGGACACATTCCCCATTTATTTATAATGTAATGTGGTAAAGAACCCTTCTTTATACTAGATTGACTTTAGTCTTGGTCAGTTTTCAAGGTGCTAGCTCATAAGGAAACTCTACATAGGCTTTCAAATGGTCTCTTACCAATTACTTACAGTTGGGAGTATTTAACCACAGCTTTTTAGGTATGTCAAAATTGGTTCAGATATTCAAAGGAGTGTCTCACTCCCCCTTCCAAAGATTGTTATCCAATGATATAAATTTACTGCATTTAATAAGACTAGGCATTTTTAAGTAAGTTGTCATAGAATAAAAATGTCTACTTATATTTTGCAGGTTACATTTGTAAATAGAGAACTAGTCAACAGGGGAGTGGTAAGGTGGATAGAAATTCTATCATGAGACTGCTGAATCCACAGCTTCAATCCTGCCAAACCTTGTGTTGTCATCATATATGGCCATGTTTTTATCATCTTCCTAAGGAGGAGAGGTCAGAGACTGAATCATGAACTTGCTATGTGTTAAATCGTGTGGTAGCTACCATAGGGGTCTTGTTGGAATAGATCCAGTTGAGATTGTTAAGGAAAAACATAATTCATCATAGTTCATTGAATGTTTAATGATTTTGTCTGTGTGAATGAAAAGGATTAAAAAAGTACTATTTACTATTAAAAACAACGTTTACTTTCTGCTCAGAGCAAGCAAATTTTGGTTATTGAGAAATTATACAAACCTTCCATTTAAAAATTGTAACCATACTGTTGATTTTTTTATAATATTTTTCTATTATAACTGAGACTTTCAATTTAAGCATTGATCACCTGTTAAGAAGTATTAATGTTTTAAACCTTAGTTTGCATGACCTCATTTTACATGGTTTTGCATTTATTTGTTGTACATCTTCTGATATCAGTTGTCCACATACATTTTAAAAGAGAATGCTTTCAGATATATACCACAAAACTATGATTTGACTCATTTCTAAGGTGAAATACCTTTAGATTCTGAATGACTATTGCATTTATTTTGTATAGCAATAATCCTTGCTTTTAAATTCGTGTTAGTTGTGAAATCTGCAAGTTGTGAATCCCTAATTCTGTTTTGTATCTCTACAGTTAAGTTTTTGTACTGCATTTGCTATGCTATAAAAGATATACAGGTTGTTCAATCCGATTGAAATGACATCATATTGGTTATTATTATACCTTACATATATTATAAACAATTATATTGGGTAACACGTTATCACATGACATGGAATAATTCAGTTAATTCTCATTTAATTGCAAGGAGGGACGAATAACCCTAAAAATTTACACCAGCGGTGAATAACCTTATTATTCACTGATGAATAACCTTTGAGTTTCTTGATTTGTACACGAGTTATCTCCCATGAAAATGATGTCACATACGTAAGTAAACAAAACGGCAACGTTCAACTTCAAAATACAGGAAGCCCATCAAGTGACAAGGAAACAACTTTGAAGGCTTTGGAAATGCATCTAGTGCCAAGGATATTTCTTATAAACGGTCCTTTTCAGGGCCATCAATATTTTACAAAAAGATTCTACATTTGTTGTACATACGAGAAATTCTAAGACAAAAATGTATTTTCGAATGTCAACTTTTGATTGTTACTATACTATAGTAAGGTAAGTGCTTTTTCAATGGTTCAAAAGCCCCTTCCACTGTTAGTTTGGTATAATAAAACAATTGTGGCCCTATAGAAGCGATGAATATCCAAAATTGTCAACCCTAAAAAATTATTTCACTTCGGGCTGCACCCTCAGTGAAATAACCTTCTCATGTTGACAATTTTGGATATTCACCTTTTCTACGGGCCATAATTATATATTATTTTTTCAAATGAAATCGTTGAAGATTTAAAAGAAAAAGAATAGAGTCTTGGACATACTTGGAATTATGCTTTTTATATGTGACAATGATGAAGAATGCTATTGAAATTAAATTCTACTTAATTGTTTTAGTTCCATCAATTTTTAAGTCTCAAGAATATTACTTATACATGATATTGAAATTTAATTGAATTTTGAAATTAAGGCAGACATAATCTTGCAGTCAAGATAAGATATTTTGAAGTTAGCTTACTTTTATAATGACATCATTGTGATATTTTTTTTACAAATATCTGGTTGAGTATCAATGAAATACTTATAAAAAGTTTATAAAGTAATTAATTTGTTATCGGTAAGATGTAATGTAACATGAAAGAGAAATGGCCAAGATGTATCTCATTACAGTCCCAGGTGCATAATAAATTGACTTTAGCTATGTTTTATAGTTATGGTCACTCACCTTATAACTATTTGTCTTATCTGCAATCTAAACTCTTTAACTACAGAAACAAAATAAACATCACAATTAGCTTCCAAGGCAAGGGTAGAATAGCGCAACAAATTTTATTTCTTGATTTCATTTGTGTGTTTTTTTTCCATAGCCAAAAAGTGGATTTTGTTTAAATGCTTTTTCTTCTAGTTCAGATAAATTTTAATGTTGGATGACTTCAGTTGATATGAAATGAAATTACAAGCTGTCTTTCTGTTCCTGTCCCATATCATTCAGTGACATTTCAAAAAAAAAAATTTTGATACAAATTTCCATAAAAACATGGAAGATTTCTGTATAACTTTTGGTCAATTTTAATTTCAATTTTTTTTTTTTTTTAAATAAGAGTCTCACATAATTTTTCTATGGTCGATGAGATTTGATATATATTGAGTTTACAACTTTTTTACAGGGTATATGTATTATCGTTAATATAATCATGATTTTTTTATACTCTAATTTAAAATAACATTGTCAAATATGAAGTATTTTTCCACATATAATCTGAAACTGGTAAAATAATAGAAATTTTTGTAAAAAAGTGAAAGTAGTCAATATCCTTGAATAACACTTAATACTTTTAGTTCAGATACTATTTATGATATGTAGAATAGTAAGTATCCTTGAATAACACTTTGTACTTTTACTTCAGATACTATAAGTGAAGTATAGAAGGGAAATCAGTTCAACTATATTGTATCCTCTCCTCAGATAAGTTTAAAGATGTAAATAACAAGCTTAAATAAATTTGTTATATTTTGAATTAGTCAAATGTTTGATAATTTGAAATTTATTTTTATAATCTTTTGGAATAAAATTCACTGTGCTTTTTCCCTTTTTTTTTTTTTTTTGTTATGGTAGGAAGAACCCAGAGATAATAATAGTGCTAGAATTTTAAAACTTATGAAAGTAAATTTTTCACTTCTGAGTTTTTATTCGAAGCATCCAGAGAAGCCAATTTAAGTTATACACAATAGTATCAGACAAACTTACAATATGCAATGGAAAAAATTCCAATTAAGGTTATCTCCCTTTCTCTATAAAATAAAACATGTGCCATCACCCATTACAAATGTCTTATAAAGAGATCTGGTAATGGTAATACATCAGTGAAAGACAATATTTTTGGTTGCCTCTCATGATATCTCTCTTAACACTAGATGAATGTATTCACGTGATACGTAGGTGGATAAATACTGCTGTATATTTTAAACCTCACAATAGTGCTGTCTTCATACTTGTGATTAATGTTGTTATTAGAAGAAAATTTGACTATGGAAGTGAATGTGTTACTTAAGGAAGAAAAAACCTTTTTAATCTTTATTGTTGTAGCAAAAGAACAATTAACATACACTTATTATTTTACATGACGAAAGTTATCTCAATGTACTTTTACAAAAGTAAACAAGAAAGTTGTTTCAAGGACAAATGTCTGGATTTGATCTTTTCCCATCACATTGATACATTGTTTTTATTTGTTATCAGGAAAAGCTAGTTATAACTTAGAAGAATTTGTGGTTTGTAATTTGACTTATCAAAGAAATTGTAAATTTGCTTTTTATTTATGACAAATCCTATAAAAATCTTGATTTTTTTCTAAACCTATATGTATTTAATTTGTTAAATGTGAAAATCATGTGAGATGAAATTAACCTAAGGCTGTTCATTTGTGATATTCATTAGAAAATAGTACCGTTGAGAAAAAGATCTTCCAAATTAAACATTTGAAAAAATTCAGATGCCATTGTGATTTAAATCCCTTCTATTTTATTTTTTTTGAGACATATAAAATCTATATGGAATGTGGTCTCAGTTCATTGTCAGTTTAAGAAGTCCCCCTGTGTTGCTCAATTTAATGGTTGCTTTAAATAATATCAGTACATCCTTAACAATGTCTTTGAAGAATTAATAATTGATTGTAGGAAAATGATCAGAATTACTTCCCTTTGGTTGTCAAACAGCCAGATTTTTGTATTGTAGTGAAATGCAGCATGAAATGTTCACTACATGCCATTGAATGAGAAACCAATCAACACAACAAAACCAAAAAAGACATCTAGAAGTTAAGATTCAGTCAAGTATAGTTAAAATGAAATTAATAATCAGATAGTTCTTGTTCTTATTTTAGTTGCCAAAAAAAAACTTACCTTTTGATTGGTTGTAATATAAATGTTATTGATAATCCTTAAAAAAACAGTGTTAATCATGGTATATACATTGCATCATGTCATCACTGTAAACTATATAAGTTTTGCTTTGTTGATCTTTCAAATATTTGCTGATAAAACCCATAAGTATTGATAATATAATGATATACATTTTGTTAATTTTTTAGTGCAGTTGTTAATGTGTTTCTTTGTATATTTTGTTTTTATGTGTTTATCAGCGAGAGAATATTAAATTTTGCTTGTGTATAAAAGAAGAGTGCTGTATTATTTTTTTTTACTTGGTTTTCATTTAGTTCTTTTTTGAATACATATTTTTGGTTGTATAATTTTCGTTTTATTTTGTATTTGTATGAAGAGAGATATAGATTACTTCAAATTTATATAGTACAGGCTTGATTAGTTTCTTGGATTTGTTTTTGTTCGTTATTCTACCAACTTGTGAAGGTTATGGAATGCTAGCTTTAAAAAGTATTAAAATTTCATTTTATAATTAAGGAACACCTGTTTTCAAAAATTGTTTTTTTAAATACTGTAAAGTCAGAAATTATTGCATACATTTGTTATTTCAAATTTTAAAGAATGGACAAAAAAGTGAGATTGATTACTGTGGATTCATTTATTTTCGTGGGTACCAATTTTCGTGGATTGCAGAAAACTTGCATTTTCGTGGATATGTGATTTCGTGGTTTTGCTGAAGTCAGCATACAACCTGATAGAAAATTTGTAATTCGTTGAACATTCAAATTCGTGGTTTACCTGTATCCACGAAAACCACGAAAATTGGTATCCAACGAATAATAATGAAACCACAGTATTGCGATTTTAGGAAAAGCTCAATAGAATTTTATAGCTGTCACCAACTAGGACTATTCCATTAAAATGAAAATTAGATACGGATGGGTAGGTAATGGTCTGTTAAGCCCTTGCTTCCCTTTATCCAAACTTTTTTTGAGTAATTTTGTATGTATTAAATGTATGTTCAAACATAAATGACACACAACATATTTTAGAAAAGTTACCTTTCCTTCATACCCCTCAAATTTATTTTAACGGAAGAGCACCATAGCTTTCTTTAGATTTGATTCAGGATTAATCTTTTTAGGCTTTACCTTGCTAACAGATAACTACAACACATCAACATCTTATATGATTATCTAAAATGTTAAGATGGAAAACAGTTGATAGAAATACAGAGAACAACAAAATTATCCATTGAAATGTGATCATCCCCTTAAAAAGTGTCTTTCATAATTCTAAATATAACTGTTTGCACAAAAAAAATCACATGTTATAAATTAACTACTGTAAATTCAGAAATTATTACAAGCATTTATTGTTGCAATATTTTAAAAATGGACAACATGCGAAATTAATTATTGCGATTTTAGGAAAATCTTCAAACATATCTATGTATCAGACATATGAATGCGAGTTCTTATTATTGTGATTCTCACCCAGTCACATTATTTGCATTAATAAAAACCTCGCAATAATTTCTGAATTTAAAGTATAATAATAACTGCCTAGCACCACCAAAATTGTTAGAAAGTTAGAATGTATATTATTATTACAGATACATATTTTACATAATTTATGTTATGATAATGTAACAGTTGTTTCAATCGTTGTATGCTTAGAATCAAAACACATTTTTATACAATTTAAATATGTATCGGTTGTTGATAACAGTCGCTGAATGTTTTTAAGAAATCCAAACACTACGTCACAATTACCTCCTGATCTAATGCACCAATGTTTGTAATGTTCATTTTGATTTAACAAAGCCAAGCACAGACGTCATGTAAATGATTTTACGGCTTTTTCTTTCAGTTACCTTAAAATTGATACATCAGTATTGTATTTGAAGATTTGCGTTATCATTTGCGTTGATTCTTGCAAATCAATAAATACAATACTATTATCTCTTAATAATATAGAACAAATCTCTAAATCAACTGTCTCCATACTAAACTATGTCGGCATAATTTTTTTACATTTTTTATATCCATTAACAGAAGAGGTACATAATCAGGTCTTCACAGTATCACATTCACTTGTTTTATAAATACACAGATTACTGTAAATTCAGAAATTATTGCAGGCATTTATTATCGTGATTTTTGAAGATTTAACAAAAATGTTAGTTTAATTATTGCAATTTTCGGAAAAGCTTCATACATATATATGTATCATATATCAGTATGGGAGTTCTTATTATTGTGATACTCAAGATGTCGTATTATTCGCATTAATAAAAACCTAGCATTCATTTCTGAATTAACAGTATTTAGGATTGTTGTGTTATTCTAACATAAAGTGTAGTGCCATGAATTTATCAACATTTAAATGTTTTTGTTTTTTAAAGGGAGGGGGGGGAAAGGGGTAAATAGATTCACAGAATGCCATGTTTTGTATAATTAGCCTATACAAGGACTAACAATGTACAGGAATTTAAAAGATTTTCTTTAAAACTTGTGCATCATATATATTTAACAAGATTGTATTTATCACTAATCTAGTTAGACGGATTGGAGATGTAAACGAACTTTACACAATAATTTATACCTACCTACCTAGGTACCCATGTGTTTTTACATTTATGGCACACATTCAATTGTATGGCTGAATTTGATTCATTTAACCAGAAAATGGCTGAATTTGATCTCTGTTTTAATCATGGTATGTTATCTAATCTTAGTATTGTATCAATATCTGTGTTTAAGGGTCGTTGTAGATTTGAACACATGAAGAGAAGCACTTTTTTAAGACCCGTACCACCCATAATATAAAATTTTTAATTCACTTATAATTTTAACAAAATTCTAAAGAAAATACAACCACCCACAACTTATTAATTTGAGAGCCTCCCAGCCCCCTTTATGTGTTTGAATATGGAACAGCCTTAAGTTAGTTTTAAGTAGTTAGACACTATTTAACTAAGCAACCACCTACACCCTTTTTGGATTTGTTGCTTGTTTTATCAGTAGGTATAATTGTCTATCCACCTTAAAATTAAAAAAAAATAATAATAGATCCACTTTAAGATTTTAGATTGACCCTGAATTTTGGAAAGGACAAGTGAACTTTTGAACTTAATTGACTCAAATTTCATTCTGAATAAAATGCAGATCCTGTGTCAAAGCTTTTACAAAGAACTGCCAACACTCTGTTATACTTTCAGTTTTAAAGACCTTTCAGGATCCTCTGGTTTTGTCAGATTAATACACACTTTCAAAAATTTCGAAGGCTGAAATTTCATTGCCTAACGTAATAATTACCAGAACAGAAAGTAGGATGGACTGTTGTCCTTGCAATTAAAGTATGTAGTTTTGGGGAGAATATAATTTAGAATTTTTGAATTTTGGCATAAAATTTAATATTTTTTTTGTTAATTTTGAATTTTGAATATTTTTTTTTTATTTTGGCAAAATTCTTATTTTTTGGAAATACTGACAAAATTTTATCCCTGGGTGAACTGGGGTGGGGTGGTAATTAACCAATCAGATTTCAAGATTATTGCTTCATAAGAAATAAAGTTAGTTATTTTCACCTTTTACATAAATGTACCACAAACATAAAACAAACTATATTTAGTCTAGTGAACAAATAAAATGTTAAGTATAATAGCTTATAAAATAGCCTGTAGATGTTTAGTGTGGAACA